AGCTGCCACTGATTGATATAGCATTTTTGAGTATATTCTTGTACTTGCTCAGGATTGCTATCTCAACACACTCAATGTGGCATTTAGAGTAGAGTGTGGAGGCTGTGGCTTGTAGGGTTTCAGGAAAGTTCAGGCCATATGTTCTTTTTCTCCACAATTGAAGCACTTCCCATCTTTGCAAAGCACATCAATGTCCATCAACTGCCTCTGCCCACCATACACAATGCTGGTTTCTGTCTTCTTGTCACCCATAGTTGATCCTTTTGGAGTCAACCTGGTAGTGACAGCCTTTCCTCTCTAAGTAGTGGCTCTTGTTTCACTATGACTGATGGTGTTGACCTGAAAGTTATAATTCATTCACATGATATATCACTTCCATTCATTGTATATGATGAGAAAGTCATTGTCCCCATGAGTGATTGTGTTGCAGAGGTTGGGTCATACTGCATTCTTGATTTGTTCAAGCATGGTGTTACTGTCATTCATCTTCTCCATCTGAAATGCTAGCTCCTCAAACTCCTGAAAAATTTTCTCAGCATCCAGAAAGTTATCCTGGTGCAAGGCCCTCTATTTGATGGTGTGGAGCTTCATCTCAGTGTCCTCCTTGAACTATCATTCTATAGCAGTTTTGAACTCTGGGTACAATAGGTATTACTATTGTCCAGTGACTGGATCATGAAGATGAGGCTCTTAGAAGTTCCACCATTCTCATATAGTCTCTTCAAAGCATGCAATGCAGAATATTACCCAGTGCAGACCAAACCTGCTGTTGCTTATAGAGAAGTAGGTGCTGGACACCTCAGAATATGCTTTGTATTGGTTAAAGAATCTTTTGAGGTCCAAGCTGACCTCTTTGAATGGAAGAGGTTCTCAGACAATGCTTTGCTTTAAGTTTCTCTATGGCTTCATACTTTCTGGTTCCCATAGTGGGAGTGTGTTGGAAGGTGGTGATAGCAGAGTCAGTGGGGAGGCCTGCTGCCTTCATGGCCTCAGCAGAGACTGTAGCCTTTGGTCATAATGCATATTGTCAGCTGAGGGCTCATCTAGTGGTCCTGCTGGTGCTGCTGGCAATGCAGGTTCTTCTCATTTCTTTCTTTTACCAGAGAGTGCTGAGTTTGCTAGTTCAGCATCTTCTGGTCCATCTCCTGCAAATAGGCCACTGGAGAGTGCCAGCATAGAATATTCACTGGTTTGAAATGGGTTCCAACTTCTCCAGCTACTTAGACTACTCATGGCTGAGGGCAGCCAGTGTGATATTCAGTATGGTGAATCAACTGGCACTTCCTCACACCTTTTGGCATTTCTGACTACTTCTTCTACTATTAGGAACATGCCAATAAATTGGGCTTGAGTGCACATGCAGAGACTAGCAGAGTGTGTGAGCATCAATGAAGCTATTGGCAATGTAACTCTTGAGTTGGGGCCCAAGGACTTGGATGGACAGAATGGAGTTCCATCAGAGAAGTGAAGAGGAATATCCTTTGGAGCAGAATCTGACAGATGAGATGGAGAGGAGCTGAAGTGAGTATGAAGTGTAGATGGCTATCCAAGTTGATATTTGAACTGAGTAGTTACAGTGATTGTACATGGTTTATATACTCATGGTAGTTAATTCTGAGTCAGGGTCTGTTGGGTTCTGGTGTCAATTGTTCACTACTGTGTTCAGAGTCTAGATACTATGATGTGAAATACAGATGTGAAATGTTAATGGTAAAATGAAATTAGTAGGTAAGAGGAAGCATACAGAGTCCAGTGGATCTTGGTGAGTGACTTTGTGGTTGGTTGTGGTTGTGTGGAGGCAGGCAGCATGCATGTAACACCTACTCTGGTTTCTACCCATATGTTGTCTATCAGGTCTCTAGTATGGTCTGGCAGGGCAAGATACTGGAGCCTTCATCTGACTCAAGCCAGTGGGTATTGGCCATCTGCATCTCTCTGAGCCACCAATACTGATCAGAGAGATTCAACTGCCATATAGTTTCTCCAATTGAGGATGTACTTGTATCCTCTGCTGGGCTCATATGGGTCTATGGTTCCCAACTTATTGGACTGGGACTTGTTCCTTATAACATTGTATGCATCAATCCTGAGGACCTCCTGGTCTATGATGTTCTGCCTCTCAATCAAGCAGCTGCTGGATGTACTGGCAGCTGGACTGGTTCAGTCCATCTGCTAAGAGTAAAAGCTAGAGGCCCCTCCTGGAGTATGCCTTTGGTTGTACTTGGCAGTGATAGTAGCCATTGAAACAGGTCTAGGCTCTGTGGTCAGAGATGTGATGATATAATCAGAGGAAATGCTTGAGGGATTTGGAGGCGGCTGGATGGATGATGATATCCTTCTGACTCAGAAATGTGGCTTGGATTGGCTGGAGAGTGTGATGAAGGAGAGCCACTCTTCTTTGACTCTTAAGCTTCTCCCATTCTCATTGTTGTCCTCTTCTCTCTCTTGGTACCCATACAACATGGTACCTGATAATTCCTATTACTGCTATGAGCAGGTATGCACCTGCAAACAAGATTACAATGAGGTTGCCAGATATGAGTTCCATATGCATGTCCTAGGCCAAGAACCATCAGACTAGAGCATGTGGAGTCTCAAGCTAATTGTTATACTACTATCAAACATCTATAAATATCTGGCACTGCTTCTGCTGGGGTCTGCTTCTGTATATTGTTGTTGATATTGAAGAATAATAAAGATGATAAGAGGAATGAGTTTGTATGGCTGGTAGATTATGTCTGCCAGGATGGCAGAGGTAATCAGACCAGATAGTCAGAGAGTTTAGTAGGTATATTAAACCTTAGCTTGAGACTGGGGTACATCATTGTAAACTGCAGTCTTAAATACTGTTCAGAATGCCCTTTGCCCTACAGGCAACTATTGTCCCATTTCCATATCTTCTGCTCATTGTCTTGATGATGATAGCTGTGCCCATACCTTCAGGCATCATTGTTGTTCCATAGTGCCACTATTATGGTGAGTTTCCCATATGTCACAGCACTTATTATGAAAAGGGCATGCAAGGGCAATAATTTGCATGCTATTTCTGGCTACTTGTTGTGTGCTGATGAATAAGATGCAGCCATTGTATCATCATGGCATTGTCATTTGTAGTTCTGCATGGTTATAGAAAGGTTTCTCCATGGCTGAGGCCATGCTGCAGTCAGGATTGGTCAGCCTTTTGTAAACATCAGCTTACTAGGTGTTGGTAGATCACAATTAGGGGTAAAAATGATGACATATATGGATCTGCATTCTTTCATTTGGTCAGTACCACAGGAGGAGGTAACTGTTCTAGTTGTAACTTAATTGATCTGTACAACTCATCAGACATGGGTGCCAGAAAGGCATCAACCAGTTCTCTATTTGATAGTACTTTGCTTAGCATAGATGTAAGTACTTGAAATTCTCTCTTAAACTCCATGAACTGACTTTTATCACTGATCTGGGCTATTTTATAATGATATACTAACCTTTTGAACTCTAGAACTGCATCTCTATCACTGTCCCATATGCCATCATAGCAATCTAAGACTTTAAATTTTTCACCAGCACTGAACTTTAGAAGTATCTTCCACTAGCACTCTGTCTTAATATCCATATAGGATATTGTTGCTTTCTTCTTCTGTTCTTTGTCAATGACCACACACTTATCAAAGATGTCTTCAAATATGGAGAAGAAATGTTCTAGTTCCTCAGGATCCAAGGACAGTAAAGCACTGTTCACAGAAAGATGGGATCTTATGTGATACTCCTCTTGTTCCTGTTGTGTTGGTATCAATTTCCATCATTTTGCTTGTTCAGGCTCCTATCACAGACATGATGAAGCAGCTGGAGGAATCCCTTGATGACCTCTAAGGCACAGATGTATTGTAAAGCTATAACCATATGGATATTGAATCCTTGCTGAATCCAGAGATAGCAAACATGGATGTGGAAGAGACAATGGATAAAGACATCTTCAATGCAGTGATGGCATCACAGAATGCAGAAGAAAGCATTGATGAGAATGGACTCAGAGGTGATTTTGATGGTGATGATGATTTGGTGTTGGAACCTTATCTTAAGTGCTGTGAGGCTCTTTCGCACCCCTGAGAGCCTCTAAGTTGACCTATAACATCCTCCCTCCAACCCCATACTCCCTTGTAACCCATAGCTCTGAGGGTCCACCAACTGCTGTGGGTTATGAGAGAGTTGACTGTATGTTTTGGAGTATGTGGTTTTATTTAAATAAGACTGTAATTTGGTATATTCAATAACATCTTCATTCATCATATTTGTGCTCAACTGCCCACTATACTAAGGATTTCGATAATTTCATTAGGCTATGGGCCTTGGCCATACCTAAAAATTCATTGAAGCACACTCCAGTATTGTCTCATCTTGCTAATAAATGCCAGCCATTTATTCCATCCTGTCTAAACACAAAACCTCAAACTACCATCCCCAATCATGTCTGCCATTGTTAATAGCAAACTCAGTGTGTATTTTGTCCATATACCAAATTGCAAGGAAGATGGAATGAGCAAGATATTCTATCATCATCATGTAATATTTGCTGCCAAAGCTGCTGGCCTTGGAGACTATTGTAGGTACTCAGTAGCCATTGGCAGTAGAATAGAGGGTTGTATTTGGAAAGGGAGAGGTGGGAAGATAGATTCTAGTCTATGTACAATAGGTACTTATATACTAGTATTCTAATGGGTGGCAGATGTGGGTAAGACAAATGATAAAGGTAATGATGATAAAGACAATCTAAAGGAAGTAATTAATGGAGACAATGTAATAGACTTGACAAAGACTTCTTGTGAAAGACAATGGGTGCATGCAGTGCCATGAAATCCTCTACACCATTTAGACAAGGCTCACAAGGCACCAGATCCACTGGTTCCTGCAGACCCTTAAAATCCTACAACAGAAGAGACTGCATCAATACCTCGCCACCCAGGAGTGGTGAAGCTATGGAAATCGCAGGAGGTGATAGTGCAGCAGGGAATCCAATTCCATCGATGATTCCAGATTCTCTTGTCTTGAAGGCTAAGGGAGAGGCGACAGCTGGGAAGATGTGGGAGAAGGTGAAGGATGAATTTGAGAAGGAATCGAAGATGATGACCGTGGATTTGCGCCGGAAGCTCCAAGAGGAGCGTCTCCCAGAGAATGGAGACATAAAGGCTCACCTAACAAAGCTCAAATCCCTACGACAGGATCTCACAGCGATAGGAGCCCATCCAGGAGATGAAAACTTCGCCGCAATGCTCCTAGGATCACTACCGTCATCGTATGATCCATATCTAGCAGCATTAACTGCAGCGTCTGCTCTCCTCAATAAAACTCTCGACCCAGACACTTACCTTCGTGGCATTGGCGATGAGACTGATCGACGAGCCGGACCAGAGCTTGCATTCAATGCAGATGCAAGCTCGTCTAAAGGTGGCCATAAAGTTAAGCGAAGGAAGTCCAATGTGGAGTGTTATAATCGCCACAAGAACGGACATATCAGCGCACATCGCTGCGCGAAAGGAGGAGGAAAGGAGGGACAGGGTCTCAAGCAGAAAGGCAAAGGAAAGGCTGCTGCAAATGCTGCTGAGATAGCGACAACGACGGCGTTTGGACAGCCGTATACGAATATGATTCAGATGCAGAGTCCGAATGGTTGGAAAGGGTAGAACAAAATATTGCCGAATATGTGGCTGCCGAAGATTCGAGAGGGGAGGAGAATGATCGTTCGGAAGGACAAGAAGTCGAATTTGTGAACGAGGAAATTGCCTAGCTAACAGACGATGGAGATATCAGCCTGGATGAGATGGAAAGCAGCGAGCTCGACGCAGAAATGGACGACTCACTTCCTAATTGTTCCCTCCACGGAATCGACACTGAAAGCGACAATGGATCGATGCCAGACCTTGAAGATATCGATGACAGCGACTGTAATTCGATGCCAAACTTGCAGAGTGTATCCAGCTCGGAAAGCGAGTTGGAATACGACGACTACACATCCTGGACATGGAATATCGATGGAATATTCGATGAGGTCCATGAAGATGATATTCCCGGCCTATAAAGCGTATCAGACTCGTCAGAAGCATTGGAAGACGATAGGGACTTGCTGGATTCATTCCAAACGGATGGATAATTCAGTGACATCGAAGACTTCTTTGAAGGCATTCCAGATGTGCAGATCGACTTAGAAATGGGTTCAAATGATCCTGAAGGTTCAGAAACAGTCTCTGATCAAGGAGACGAGGCATATACATGCACATTTTATAATGCATTCCTTGCTGGCACTGGAAGCTCGTCACTGGTCGAAACAGAGCTATATGACTCTGGAGCCTCGCGTCATGTCTCCATATCGCTACAGATTCATTAATTTCATTTCCGTCGATCCCAAGGACATACCAGCTGCGGATAATGGAACAATCAGTGTAGGACGAGGGGATCCATTGTTTTGAAAGATGTGTTGTATGCCCGACTCTGAGTCTGAGTGTTACCGTCGTGTCTGTGAGCAAGATTTCTGCATCAGGGCATGCTGTATTATTCCGAGGGACGAAATGCAGAATATAAGACCGAAAGAACAAAGTACTGGCTGAAATTCCGGTCAAGCATGGTCTATATCGAGTGGAGAATGACTCACCAAAGGAAATGGCTGTAGATGGAAAGGATGGTCCACCAATAACCAGAACAATTGATAAATTGCATCGGATGATGGGCCATATTTCTCCCGAGGCTGAGAGACGATTGGTGAAGGAAAACCTCTTCGAAGGAATTGTTCTGGACGAAACGGAATCGCCAAAATCGTGTGACTCGTGAGGGTATGGGAAGAAGACTCGCAAACCTGTCAAGAAGGTTAGAGAGCGAGAGAGGGCGAAGAATTTTGGAAATAAAGTTCATTCCGACCTCTGGGGACCCTCGCCGGTTGAGACACAGCAACATAAGGAGTATTACATCTCCTACACCGATGACTACACTAATTACACTAATTTCTAGACTATATTCCTTGTCAGAGCAAAAAGCGAGACCTTCGAGACCTACAGACAGTATGAGGCTTGGGCTAGGACGCATTCCAATGCCAAAATCAAGGTCTTACACACAGATCGAGGCGGAGAATGCCTCAGCAAAGAATTTTCTGCTTACTTGGCTGAAAAGGCAAACGCGGAGAGGGACGTCTGCGGAGTCCAGGATACGAGAGGTCTGTGATAAGTGATTTGATGGTGTGCTGGCGGAGGGAGTGATACGCCGGGCAAGAAACAAAAACATGATGAACGGTTTCCAAGGCGTCCCACCCTCTTTGATAATTGGGGGAGGTATTCCCAAACCACTAGAATTGGGTGTACCCAGGGTCTAACTGATCAGACCTCGCATAGAGTTGTACGGATGAGGCTCACAAATAAGTGTGGTCAGGAGGAGTGCGACAATTGTATAGTGGCAGAAGCATCGTCGAAGCTGGGCGGAAGTCAGGGCGGAAGTATGAAGTAGAAGTTAGTGCGGACAATATATAGAAATAGACGTCAACTTCGGCATTGACCCTGAACAGCTTTTTTCTTGTTCACGAAACTGAGGGCGCATGGAAAACTGTTGCCGGACCGAAGGCTTGCAAATTCAGTGCCGCGGCATAGCTCCGTAGTAGAGCAGTGTTACCCTCAAGAATAACCACTGCAAGAATTGACCGACAAGACAGAGATTATTCACTGATCGGAGGAAGTTATTGACGAAACTTTTTTTGTACTGGATCTATTCCCGGTAATGACCTCCACAAAATCATGCATTTATTGAAACAAGAATCGAGAATAACCGTAACTCGAGCGGGCTGTATACGAAATGAAACCTTTACTTTGACAACGTCATCCATTCTCGAAACAGAATCCTTCCTCGACCTTGGCCATCTCTTCCATAAGCATGCAATAGCTGAGCGCATGCCTTGGAAGAGGCCTGTATTCAACCAAGGTCAGTTTCGTATCCTCTGTGACACAAATCAAATACACATCTGACGAGATAATACGCACAGCGTTGTCAGTGACGAACCCCTTGACGATCAGGCGAACAACGAGAACGAAATGAATGGTACTGGTCATCTCGAGGGCGATGATAACCTCCGAGGTCATCACCAGCGACGGCTAGAATTATCTGAGAGCACGCCACCTGACCTTCGGCATCAAATATGACGTGAATCTAGATAAGGTCCTTCAAGAAAGTACATATCCCAGGGATTAAAAAAAACAGCGTATGGGAGCAAGCAAGTCGCTGCTTGGATTTGGGAGTCTAAAGTTTGCGAGGCATGCTGCAAGACTGAACCAACCCGTTAGAAAGAGGGAAGGAAAGAGATGTGCAGGGAAACTAATCATAGCATGAGGACGGTCGACGCTCACTCCAAGACCTCGCAGGTTGCCTGGATGTTGACGAGTCCTGACCATGCCGTCGAAAGCAATTTCGAGAGCAACGACATCGTTGCGGTCCACAGCAAGGGTAGCGACCGCAAGTTCGACGAGGGAAGTGTTGCGAATTGCGAAAGAACATGCTGAGCTTTGCTTAGCGCGACTGCGATCAGTGCAGTTATGGGAGGATTGATATCGTAGTTGGAGGCATTTTAAAACATTTAACAGGTGTCGTGCTACTTGGCGGTCGGAGAACCACAGATCATTACACAAGTGCAGTTACGATGAATGGCTCGACGACAGCACTAGATTCTGCGCGTTTGAGATAAAAGTAGCCTTCGAGGCGCTTCCTTTCAGAAACCCTTGTTTTCCCATGGAGTGACGCGATCGAGAAGGCAGACCTTCAGTGAGGTACGACATCGGGGTGAGAGAGACGATAGTTTCTGAATGGAGAAACTAAATCTAGCCGCATAGATAAGGGAGGGAAAGAAACAGATTTACCTAATCCAATGATATAGATAGTATTCACCAGTCCAACGGACCACGGTTCGAAGGACAACTCGTCTATTCAGCTACAGAATAGAGTCAAGACGAGGGATAGAGAGAGACACGTACTTGTATGCGTCTCAAAACTCGAGGATTACATCCTTCACTGCGTTCCTGGATGTTGCAGCGGAATCAGGACAAGCACTGGCTCAATATATGGGATACGCTCGCCCCAGCACCATGCTGTATAGATGCTCTACCTCCAGTAGGGACTAACCTACAAGAGATTCAGCATTTAACGTTCGAATCTCACATACAGACTTACACCGTTATCATCGTATCACCGAAAGACCTGGTTTTTACGGCAATAACAACACAGAGACAGTACTGTTCAAGTGATCCTATGTCCGCTCTTATTGGTAAGACGCAAGAGAAAAAAAAAGAGCGCATACTCCCAACTACTGTGATTTATAACTGTCCTGTAAATAGTGAGCCGAGGTCAGCCAATGAGAAGACACTGGTCTTGAATTCGCAGGTCCTGGTCATCGGCCCAGCATTATCGAGGCTCTGCGTCGGACTTGATGAACCAAGGCAATTGTAACAGTGAGGGACCTGGGAAAGCAATGGGCTGCATTGAAGCTATCCCCATCTGAGTATACTGACTCCGAACGGAAAAAAAAAGATGTACTCACCTACGCCGTGCAGGCATAGGTTGACAATCCTCCCCCAACAACTTCAAATTTCGCTATCTTCTTTCCAGTGGGCCATACGGCCTTCGATGCTAGGCGCAGTCGACGCGTTCTCCAGAGTCCAATGACGAATTTCGACATATATTACCAGAAAAATTCGCGTCGTATTCACGCGAGAGACGGGTGGAACCTGGAGGGGGACGGAGGTAGGAAGAAAGGAAGCGACTTCGGAGGTCAAAATGTTCACAAACAACGCGTCTCAGTTAGGTGACGTCCGCATTTTGCCGTTATTCCAGTCACTATTCTCCCACACCGGCCTGACCCAGCATATCCGGTGGACCGCGACTTGCCGATTTCCCCTCAAGATTGCTACAATAGATGAAGCCATCCTGAAAGAAACAACACAGAAGCGGCTCGGTGGGTCAGAATTTATCGGACTGCAGGCCCGGTACTGATCATAAATTTTCACCTTTACAAATTTCACCAGCGTTTTTTTCACACTAGTTTGCCACGCTGAATTATTTTCTGTCGAACTTGCTGACATTTATTCCTTCAGGAAGTCAAAACATTGCTCCAATGACAGGCTCCAATAGCAGTCCAAACCCCCAAGCTTAGTTGCCACTCCCAAGCAGATTTTACTTTTGGTCAATTACTACCGGCACCATGGAATCTTGCGTAGCCATGGGAATAAAGCGGTGTGTAATGAATCAGTCTGTCACCCACGAGCACTGGGAGGGCACCTCGTCAGCGACGGCTTGGCTACGAAATCTTCTAGAGGGTCGTCTGTTCATTACGAGTTACCCCCTTGCCGGAGTCTTATTTCTCCTATTCAACTGGGAGTCGTGATCATCGATGACAATGGGCACACTACGACTTCAGGTCGATAAACAAAGACTCCGGATTTAGGTGCGAGCTCCTTGACGCATACTAAGACATGGATGGGAAGGTTATCGATGTCGCTAATAGCCAGTGAGTGTCGCAGAATCATATTTCGGGTTCTACAGAGCTTATCATCTTATCAGCCAATTCGGTATCCTCTTAACGAAGTCCTTGGCGAGTGGATGGAAATAAGGAGGATCCGAAAATGGCGACTAAGGTGCGTCTTTATCATGCCGTTTCTCTTTAACTGACCGAAAATATGTAGTATTCCGTTATTGCCCACACAAGCTCTTCACTTCGTAGGTCTCATTTCATTGTGTTCGGCTGATCGCGCTAATATTGACGTTCAGGGTGCTCTCTGATACATCATTACGCATCAAGGGTTTTTTGTACCCATCTAAGTTCTACGCCAGGTACGCTAAGGGTATTCTTTCTGCTATGCTCCCGGCGTATGTCTAAGAAACTGGAAACTCCAGACCGATTCCGAAGAAGAGACGTGCCGACAGTCTAAAGAGAAGGTACGAACGATCCTGTCTCCGGATCGTGAATGCGTATACTACTTTTCTAATGTCGACAGCCTTCTGAGTCCTTCATAAGGGGCTAGCATGGAGTATAATATGACAGTTCATACAGCCTCATGTTCGGCTTATCTGGCCACCTAGTTGTGGTGGAAGTTCAATACATGCATTAGCGCAACATTAACGTTCCATGTGCACGATGCACCCCTCGACCAACGTTTTATGATGCGCGGTCTAACCCTGTACAATGAAAAGACTGCGGCGACTGCGCCAAAATACGTTAGTGCTGGCACAGCATTTCATTTTTTATTCCCACCAACCTCATGATCCTCATCCCACCCGAGCAGCATATGGATATGTCGGACTCTTTACGTGGCCAGGAACATAACGCGCACCAACCCATTATCCTTCTTGATCTCTCTGGTCCATCTGATGAGCTTTGTTCGAGACCGTGATGTGCCCAAAAATTCGATCATACGCACGGATCGCCCTACATTGCGGTTCCAATGACCCATAGCTTTTCATTGGCGCAAGAGAAACAAGTCGCCGTACTCTTCATGGCAGTTCAGTAAGCGGAAACTATAGTTACCCGAATACGTATTATCCTCACCTCACCGATGCAGATAAATCCGTTCCGGATATAATACAACACTACCAGCCATTGGGGGGCATATTCCTGTTCTGGGAGGCATGCGCGTAGGAACAAGGTCCCAATGCCCGTGATGCTACTTTCCCCGACTGTGGAGGTACAAAAACCCTGAGACTTGGCATTCCGACGTTTCTCCTCTACCCTTCGAACATGTCTGCGTTCTACCCAACCCCTCCACCTCCTGCGACGAAACTCGGACACTATCGCGTCCTTTCTCCCCTTGCTGGGGTGCGCGTATCTCCCCTTCAGCTTGGCGGGATGAGCATAGGAGACAAATGGGTCAAGTTTGGTATGGGATCCATGGACAAAGAGTCGAGTTTCAAGCTCCTCGACGCGTACTACGACATGGGAGGAAACTTCATCGACACCGCCAATGGCTAGTAAGTAATCCATCCGGAATATGACTACCCCGTTATGACTGCGGACAGTCAGGACGAGTCCTCTGAGGAGTTTATCGGTGAATGGATGCAGTCTAAGGGGATACGTGATCAGATCGTTGTTGCGACCAAGGTTTGACTCCATGTGCTCCGTGCCTATCATTAATTTTCATGGATCCGGTGTTCCGTTAATAGTACACGGCGAACTACAAGCACAGGAAACCTTCCATCAAACATCAGGTTAACTACGCCGGCAATCATGCGAAATCTCTCAACGTATCCGTGACTGAGAGCTTGCGAAAGCTCCGCACCAATTACATCGACATTCTCTACGTTCATTGCTATGACTTTGAGACGTCAGTTCAGGAGACTATGAATAGCCTGCACACGCTGGTTCTCCAAGGGAAGGTGCTCTATCTCGTAAGCCATTTTTAGGTGCAGTTTGATGATATCTAGCTGACATTTAATCAGGGAATTTCGGACTCCCCCGCATGGTTTGTTGCTCAAGCTAACACATACGCTCTGCAACAAGGGAAATCCCCGTTCGTCATCTATCAGGGCCGGTGGAACCTCCTCGAGCGATCATTTGAGCGAGAAATTATCCCTATGGCACGGACGCTTGGTAGAGTCTTCCCTGGATTTGTTCTCCATTTTGACATCATTACCGAAACAGGTCTCGCCCTCGCTCCATGGGATGTCCTCTGCGGAGGAAGACTACGCACAGACGAAGAGGAAGAAGAACGCCGACGATCTGGAGAGAAAGGTCGAACTCTGGTTAGTGATTGCTGGGAACGCACAGAGAATGAGAAAAAGGTATCCAAGGCCCTTGAAACCGTCGCTCGAGAGCTCGGAGTAAAGAACATTCGAGCCGGTGAGCCTCTCTCTTTCTTTCTCTTGTCCAGAGAAAATCTCAGTTGATTGCATAGTGGCAATTGCGTATCTGATGCAGAAGACGCCATACGTCTTCCCTCTCATCGGTGGTCGCAAAATCGAACATCTCACTTCCAACCTGGAAGCGTTGGATGTTGTGCTTTTGCCTGAGCAAACGAAATATCTCGAAAGTATCCTACCATTTGATTTGGGTTTCCCAGGGAACTTCGCTGTAAGTGTCTGGTTTTTTCTCTAATGCTGTTTGCGTATTCTCATTTTTATATCTTGTAGGGCTCTGGAGAGGATAACGGGCTCTGGTTGACGTCGACGGCATATGTGGTAAAACAGCCCTTGCTGCAGCCCATAAAACCCGCTTCTAAGCTCTGAACGGATTGTTCACGAAATTATTTATCATATATATGACTTCTCTGGTATATTATTCGTCTCATTAGTGTATTCAGCCAAAGTACAATCGTACAATCACTATTATCCTCACAGGACAATATGTTCCCTTGGTTCCCGTTTCGGACAGATATTTCGATACATTCCACCTCTTTGAAAAATCTCACAACTGAAAAAAATGTACCTTTCAAAAGCGTATTCCAACTTCAGTGAGCTCTGATGATGCAAAAACCTCCCTTAAATCTTTAATTTCGAAGGCAAGGAATCGAACCCGAAAGCTAGTAGCCACATTAGACGATGAAAGCCATTGCATCACAACCGAACATGTAACCGCGGCATTCCTTTCTTCTCGTATTGATCAAGAATATTTCGTTACAAATACAAAGCATTCCAACTTTGTACACCTTCTGCCCGTACCAACACGAACACCGTTATAACTCATCGCTACTAAGAGTGTCCAGAAATAGCCAATGGCTTATATTCCTCCTCCAAAAACTTGATATCTTCCACCGTAAGCTCAACCTTCGTCGCCTCTAAGCCAGGGGTTAGAATGATAAACATTTCAAAGGCGAATCGCACCTATAAGCTCCTTTAAATTGTCCAGCGACGTCGTCCCCACAATCGGCGCAGAGACACCTAAATAAGATGCAGACTCAGGACTCGAAAAAAAACGCGTGTCAGCTCACCATCTTTGCTGAGGATCCACGCAATCGACAACTGTGCCATGGTTAATCCTTTCTTCTTTGCGAGCTCTTCTACCCTACAAAAATCAATGAGTCGGGGGTCTTTCCCACCTGAGCTGGCTGCACCTGTTAATAATGGTACCCGTTTTGTCCGTTCCGCTGTATCGTTCGAGAAGCCTGCATTGTGTAGGTTAATACATGTTTACCAAACTGGGAATATGAGATCAACCTATCAGTTTCCCCGCGTATCGTATCGCCTTGCTTGTCGAACGGCCTCGTTAGCTTCCCTCGAGCAAGAGGGGACCATGGGATGGAACCCACGCCGAACATCTAAAACGCATTGAGAAAGAAAGGAAAACGTCATTAGTGATATGCTACCTTCAAAGTGGGGAACATTTCCCTTTCTTCCTCTCGGTAGATGAGATTGTAATGGTTCTGCATAGAGATGAATGGAGTTAGGTTGTTCTGAATGGCGTAGTCTAACCGTGTAGAAGTCAGTGAGGGATCAGCAGTTGAAAACGGGCTTACTTTGCATCGCGTGAACTAGATGGCAATTAGATGACATTTTTAAATAAAGGAAGGAGGACATACATTGATACGCGTAACAGGATGACATTCCAATGTAACGAACGTAGCCCGCTTGGACGACGTCATGCAAAGCTCTCATCTAAGGAATCGAGTTCATAATCTTTTTCACGAATAAAACAGTAAGAGAATGTACGGTCTCAGCGATGGGAGTATTGTTGTCAAATCTATGGCCTGAGGACACAATGAATGAACGAACTGTAAAGCGGCATCAGAACGTACACTGAAGGACGTCGATATAGTCGAGTTGTAGTCTTTCCAGGCTATGCTTCACAGAATCGAAGATGTGCTGGCGATACGCGTATGGATGAGAGAAAATCCACGGTGAGAGGAATCAATATCGAACCTTTCTACTAAGCCCGTGCTGGTTAACATAACCCGACGAATCGGGTGTGGCGCCACCGAAGAGACGCGTCCCAGGCTCATTTCCGACGACTCCGTATACCTGAAGTACAGAGTGATAGATGTGGCATTACATTGTAGAAGTCAGGATGCAAACCTTGGTCAGGACGACAATCTTGTCCCGCGGAAAGTCGTATTTCTTGATAGCTCCTCCAAGAATAATTTCAGACAAACCGTTGGAGTATACCTGCGCTGTCCGTTAACCAGGTACAGGCATGGAAAAAGTGCACTTGCGTTGGCCGTATCGAAAGCGTTAATTCCGGCATCATACCTATGATATATGAGAGAAGTGTATATAGATAGAGGGACCACACACGCAGCCTTGATATGAGCGATCCCCTCCTCCTTCCCCAGTACCCACTGTTGCCATTCCGGACTACCATAGGTCATGCATCCCAAGATGATCTTGGAGACCTTCAATCCAGACTGGCCAAGGCGCACTACGAATGAAGTGAATATACGTCGTAGAAACAGGAAGATGAGTGGCTCACCGTATTGCATACTAGAAGACATGGTGGTGATCGATGGTCAAAAAGTGGTGCGCTTATACATCCGCGAATTTGAATTTATCATCTGATCACGGCCCAATCGTATTGCGAGGAATCGACAAGGCGATGGGAAGACATAGGCTGATAAGGTTTGTCTTCAGGTGAACAGTGAGAATACGAAGGACGAGAAGAACAGACAAGAATAGTAGGACCTTGCTCTTCCGGTAGAATGCCTTGTACTTTGATTTTCTTTCTGGTGCAATTATAGCACAGAAGTTTCCCTATAACGTCTAGCGTCCAGCAGGTTACATGCCGTCATAATAGCCAGAGAAAATATGCCGCAGGATAAGTAGGGCTGTCCCATATAATTTTGGAGTTGAATGGTATGCGGCAACCCTTCGAAGGATCGTTGATAGCTGGGCCGCCACAGACGAGGAACGGAAAATAGGTTTAGATATATTCAATATAAAATGGTGAACGCTAAAGGGGGCAGCGATAGAAGAATATCTTTTGTCCTCAGGCCTCATGAGCGAAAGCAGATGTAGAGTCCAAGTGTTAGAGTTGACGAGCGAATAAAAAAGTCAGACAGAACTTAGATCTTACATAAGTATATCGTAATGATAACGGCATCCCTCAATTGCAGATGGACGTACTTGATTCAATAAGACAAAAAGGGTCTGCGAACATTCGTTACCATAGTGTCGGCCCTACACACCAGCATCACCTTTGTTCTACTACCAATGAGAGAGCGCTCAGTAATCAATGGCAAGTATTACCGCGGTCTTGAATCAGAAGTAAAGATGCGGTCCAGAGACATAACAGACCATAGTCAAGACTGGCCGGCGCAAAGCGGCAGATGAAGGAGATGTTTTTGTCGTGGGTTAGGATTATAGCAGAGCATACTGGTGCTTCGGCTGATTCCGCATTCCCGCTTCTTTCCTCCGCCCCTCTTCTGCCTCGATGGTGATAGTCAGATATTAAGGCCAGAAAAGATACAATCTAATACATTCTAGTACGTTGTTCTTCTCTCGACGGTTGGTCGATGATGGCACCTGGTCGCTCTTGTTATCTTTTGCGGTCAGTACCAGTTTGCTTCTAGGTGACGCCACTCTGAATAGCGATGATAGCTCATCCTCTTAGCGAGATATCTGGTGCCAGGCAGTTCGAGAAGCTTCCCTTCAACTTACTCAGGACCTTGCAATACCTATTGGCTTCAGTAACCTTCCTTTAGAGCAACAAGTGCCTATTGAATTCACTGTAACGCGGATCTCGGGTCTCATAGACACCAGTGAGACGCGCCTGTTGAATGTCTCAAAGCCTAACAAAGTGCCTTTGTGACTGTAGGGATTTTTTTAGCTTGTTATATGTCCATTCTTGACCCTTACTAGGCGCTTTCATCCCACGGTTCGCCAACGGATATAATGATAAGCATGTATATCGCTAAGGGTCGTTTGTCCTATTCCTCCACGGTGCCTTGTTTTGTTCCTATCACCCTTACTTGGATTGATAGGCGCTCATCCTATCCATACAATTAAAATCCCTCAACTTCATGAACCGCTAGACTCGATTCCCCCAAACATGCGTTCACACAGAAGTAAACCGAACGATTAAGAAGAAGAGACGATGGAGCTACTAACTCATTTACACCGGAGAAACTGGCACTTTCTATCTAAAATTGAGTCGGACAGGCCTTCCGTGCCTACAACCACTCCTCTCGCAACATCAAAGGGTAACCTACTGAGTGCTGCACCCTTTAGCATGGTCGGACTGTTATTTGGTGCAGGACTTACCGCAGGAATACACCACTGAGGAAGTCGTGGTACCGAAAATGTAGCATCTTCACCGAAATTTCCGTTGTCGAATATCTGGAGTACGTGTTTGGCAACAACGGGTTCCATGATCACCTATCTGTACGTTCACGCTGACCGTAGCCTGGGAACGGATTCTTTCGCGTTCGTTTCAGTCTGACACACTTATCGGGTGGAATGCGCCTGAAGGCTGTGGGAGTGCTTGCAACTATACAATTGAGTATGCCGCACCGGCTCTACGATGTTCGGACATTGACCAAGACGAGATACTTGATGATCATTCTTCTGACCTCTCTAACCATTCTGCCGTGCTTCTGAGTGTAAACGTCACCATAGATACCGAGGGTACAACGCCACATCCGAGGTCGACGATAATGGATGTAATTTTACCATAGCTTGGAAGACGTACCATGGTTCCCAGAACATCACTGTTTCCGGTGTCCGCTTCTCTCTCTATAACACCACCCAACAAGCTGTAGTTTCGTTTGCCAACAACACAGCGATCATCTCTCCAAGTGTCATTTCCTACCCGTTCTCTCTCCTTGACCACGACTCGGACTGCGAAGGAATCGACAGCGGTAACACTCCGAATCCCTTTAATATGACACGCGCTAGAGGAGATCCTGGTGAATGCGACGATTGCGCTGATAAGTTCAGGGGAAGCTATGACGATAGTGGAGGCATCGGTTGCGCGAGATCAGATCGTGTGGGTATATCAGTGTACGGCTGGATGTGGTATAGCGGGGTTGGCCTGTATGGTAAAGAATAAGGAGATGGGGATTCTCAGCTATCGTTAGGGCAACTAGGAACGAGGATTTGGATTGTGTTTTTGGTGATGAGGATGTGAAGGATGACGCAGTGTTGCAGTATGGGTCAAAGAGGAAGGATGACCTAGGTCATTTTCGCATATTTGAATTAGCACAGTAGCAGCGGCACACATGATTCATGAAAACACCCAGTGGATGAAGTCTACGACGAGAGAAACCGGTGTGGAGAAGTCAACCGTCGGATGTTCATTTAGGCGCAGTTGTTCTAGTTGCCTGAAGTTCCAATGAGACAAGAAGATACTGGGCATCCAAAAATGTTGGTGATGAGACACGTTAGCAAGGAATCTGCATTTACTCTGGACACAGCATTACGAAAGCATCTGGCGTGTTGATACACATCACGTGGCAGGCTCGATCTGGATTGGTGCAGCGATGTTGGTAGGAAATGATTCGGAAAGACTGCGCTATATGATTTACAAATAGAAATAAGCAGTAACAGGCAATCAGAATATAGCTCCGATCAGCAGCTCTCATCCTTGACAAACCAAACACCCCATACACCGCTGAAAATACCCTAAAAGGCCACATCATCAACGACTCAGGAACTATGTACAGTGCAAAGACCGCTTACCCGATGGTCACAGCTATTCGGCTGGTCAAAATGATACCCACCATAGTCTACAGGTGTCGTAGAGCACATCTCTCGCCAATTATCCCATGGCGGCTGATGATTCTCCATATGAGCTTCAATGCGCTAAAACATAACCATTGGTCAGATCGGCAGTGGTAAGGACCGAAGTCGTTGGACATACGCGACGCTTTGAGCCTTTCGCTACGCATCCCTGAAGAACGTGTCAAATCAGTGAAGTATCTATTATTGAAATTTAAAACACACCTTATCCTGGAAGTCCTCCCACAATGTCTGACAGCTTGGCTCATTCGACTCGACCGTCCAATGACCATAAATCCGAGGGTTCGTCGGCGCCTAAAGGAGGATGAGGCGACAGAATTTTTCGGACGTGACGCTGGACTCACAGAATCATCCACATCGACGGTACAATACCCTGGCTTCTCGAAATCGACGCTGTGAATGGTAATTTCTTTCTTCTTGCACCATCGCAAGCCATCTTCGCCTGGGAGTACGCCCATTAGCTGAGCAGAGTATTCTCGGGTGCTATAGCGTAGACATCGGTTTGACGGAGTCAGGTCCGCCCATGCGAGACCGTCATGTATGATTTGGTGCCTTTTCTTCTTTACGAATCCGCCGAGTACGAACAGGCAGATTACGAAGATTACCATGGCACAAAGGATTCACCTTCAGGATAATTATCAGTGCTGGTGAAAAGACTAGAATCTTCAGACGCACTTCGATGATGGTGACGTGTGGGTCCTGCGAGGCTATTCTTTATCTGTACTATGGGTAATGAATGGTTAAACACTTACAAGGGCGCTGGATTAGAAAGAGGTAATTGTCCAGAGTTGGCTGTACAGAATGGAACGATAAGAAGGGGCCGTTTCATAAAAGAGCAGTCACGTACTGGGGTACAAAGGGCGGCGCTCATTCACGTTTGTCACTCCCCGTTCAAGGTCATTGCTATACGGAGGCGGTGGTTGTACCTGGGAGCTAGAGGTAGCTGTACTTGCGTCCATTGGCGGTAACCGTGATGACTGCCTTTCGTCGACATTCTCCTTGATGCTCACGGTCATGATGGTTGGAGATAGCCGCAGCGTTGGGTTAGGGTTCCGCTCTTGGATTTCGGATGTTCGGCCCGAATGCTGGCAGTGTGTTTTTGACCATCTCTGTATTCTACGACTATGTAACACACCAATGGACTGTATAAGAACGATTAGAGATACCTTCCACATGTATTTCTCCACAAAGAAACAGAAGACGGACGGCGAAGTCTATCCAGGTGAAAACTGAAGAATGTGAGAAAGGACTTACGGCAGACCAAGACGCGCCCGGAATTGAACCTAGCTCGAGCTGTACGAAACATGCGTTACACCGAAAACATTTAGTACAGTCCCGAGATCATAAGCGCAGGTATATCAATCCTGTCACTGCAGAGATCTCTTAATTCATTGACCCAACAGAGTGTGTCATTCAAAGCCAGAGAGCGAGGTGCGAGTGGTCGGTAAATGTCCCACCCCATTCAAATTATGCCGACCAAGACGGTCCAGTTAGAACGTGAAAGCTTCGAGATGGAGACAGTATAAGCTGTGGATAATCAGTCATCGTAGGGAGCTTCTTTGTCCCAATGGAACGCCTCACCCGTTGCCAAATCTTCGCCGCGCTCGTTAAGTAAACCACATTGATCAAAATTTCCACGACAGAAGGAGAATAAAATAGCGTATCAGGAACGACATGAACCACAATGACGACTGTTCCTCAGCTGAGGCTACTGCACCACTCAGATTCAACACCAAGGAGAGGAAGCCCCCCTGTATACGAAAGACATTCCCCAAGCCTCGCCTAACGTTGCCGCTGCGAATGGCAGTAATTCCGCTTGTATATCAGGTACGAGTTGGATATATGTACTCTATTAATACAGTCGAGACAGCTCCCATAACTATAAAAATATGAGTAGAAACGATCCGACTCCGAATTATGGTTACGCTGCTAAGCTTCCTCCCACGCTGGTCTTGATAGCTTTGTTCTTTCACACCGAACTGGCTCCGTGGGGTGCTGATGCTCCCCGGTCAATGGCTTGTACACACACGAGAACCTGGTAGGCCTGGGGAGGAAGCCGGTGGGCGTCTATTCCTGTTTCCTATTATCAGATTCATAAGCTAAAGAAATTTCGAGCATGGAACGATTGGCAAAACTCACGACGGCAATTAAACGAGTATCGAACCATCGATCCGTACAGAGGCTGCACCGACGCGAACGACACTCTCAGCAGGGGACGGTGGGTCAAGGGGAAAAGAATCTAAGGTCGTCTGTGTCGTCCTCGTATGGAAGTCTGGTAATTTCCTTGGCAAGACGGCCGCTTGGCTATTGCTCCCTATTATGTCATTCTTTCGACGTATCCAAAATGTCCAGTCGGTCCGAAAGTTCGCTCTGATGAGAAGGATTCTACGTAAATGAGGAAAAAGACGCACCGTGGCGTAACAAAGGAATATTGCTTCCCCACCATGTTCCGTGGACCACGTCTGAGGAAGGGGTACGCCGAAACCTGGATGTATGCGTATTAAACATTTCTGGATGCACTTACAGTCAAGATCGTTGAACTAATACTAACAACAGAGGGACGCACCAACTGTTACGTTCCTGCCTTGGTCTTCGGCGCATTGTAAGGAACCGCTCGCCTCTGAGAGGACAAGATTGAATCCGCTTCATCCGCTTGAAAAAGCCATGATTTTAGGCGAGCAAACGCCCGCAAAGGAGAAATACTCGTACTGGCACATCGTTCATATCCGCGAAGGGAATACGAGCACGGCGTCGTCCATGTCGTGTGCTTGTCATCGAGATTGGCAGCATTGTGCAGTGTTCTATTATCATTGCATCCTAACGCGAGTGGTAGTCCTGCCTGCAGAAATCGAGCCACATGATGCTCACTTTGACTTCAATGCCGCGACTGGCGCTACTCGGAACTCCGATGTTAAACTATCACCTCGTACATGTCGAATTGAAGGCACCAGATATCGGTGAAAATTGCGCTGCGCGAAATACTTTAGGAGCATTCGAACAAACGTCTCGCTGTTCTGTCGGCTTCTTTCATAGTTGGCTAAAATTGAACATTATCACCGCGGCGAGCAACGATATGGAAGAGGAGATAAAACAAGCAAAAAGATTGATAAAAGCGAAGCGTTATGTCGGGCCCCAAAGTCCGAATCCCCTCGCCACCATAACAATTACTTAGGTGGACCGCACTTGTCAGTTTGTATTTCCTCTATTTATTTCAATGCATCAATGAGTTCTGGCACCAACGCGCATCGCGTAAGTATCCGCTAATAAATTCCGGGCCTATGTTCTGGCATCTGTCTTTTGAACACTCAGTGCAGCTTATATACACGCCGACACTGTGTTGTCTAATACAGGGGGGATAACGTTACTCGAGAATGTTTGAACCTGAAATACACTCCGACATAAGTACTATGTCTCTTGCCTTGAAGACGACGTGTTGGTGATCACATTTTGACATGCCTGTCATCATCGATTAGTGGTAATGCTGAAGGAGAATATGATGGTTCGAATCCGTTGATTGGCAATCAAGTATGTCGCTGAAGCTCTTTACCATTTTGGCAGCTGTAGATAATAAATAATCTCTGAAGTCGCCACCGACTATTTGTGTGCGAGTCCAGGAGTGCCCTGAATGGTAGACTCCATGCATCACTAAAGACTAAACACCAGGCCTCATCAGCGCCAGTCTCCATACCAAAATAAAAGAACAAGCCGCCCATGAATGATGGCTTAATCCTCGCCATCAGCAATGCCTGGGAACTTCCACCTTGGTACTTCCCAACATTAATACCAAAGTTGTTCGCCAAAACGACTACATGTGCATGTACAGTCAGTCAATACCTTGAATGGTAGACAATCAACACAGATGACATACAAGGCAAAATAATGGCACCCTTGGAAAGCATGATTGTCCTTTTATAATGTTAGAAGGGTTGGATGTGTGCCAAGTTATGACCTGTCCCTATGAGAAAGGACATACCAGTCATCAGAGAAAGAATGAAATGGTTGAAGATGTCATCATTTAACAAGAATTGCAGACATGGCTGCAAAGAGAGCAGCAAGGAAGGTAATGATATGCCAGGCAGCTGTACCAGGTAGAAAAAGGAATATATTTATTGTTTTTCTCCACCTTGTACCCACTCTTGTAAGATAGAAGAAGCAAGCAATTACCTGGTGAGGGCACAATTCCATCAAGTGTGACATCTCAGTATCTAGCAGAGACTGACATACTAGCAGACCTCTCTGTTTAATATGCAAGGTTCCCAGGTCTGAGAATGGGGACCTGAATGACTGGCATATTGGCAAGGACCAGTGTTAGACTCAAGCATCATGTGAACAGAAACATGTGATAGACAGACATCACCTTGCACTTTGGGTGATTGAATGAATCCACTGGTGCATATTCTGATTGATATGGCACAAGGCCTGTTGACTGGCTTAAGAGTAGAATGAGATGAATAAACTTTAGCTCAAAGCTGGAGTTACCAGCAAGAATGAGCTGTCTTAAATACTGTACAGATCATAACTAATAATACTACTGCCTATTGTGTGTCACTAAGTCCTTTGTGCTCATTGTCCTTGAGCATCATTATCATACATAAAAGGTTGATTGTGCATCATTGGGCAATGCTGTTGCATCAAAAGGCAATGACAGACTTGGCCAGTTGTGATAACTAAGCCTTGTCCTACAGTTGTAAGTGCTTGTCTTTGGTGCTCTGACTAAGCATAAATAGGGTTTAAAAAGAGAAAATAAGGTAAAAAATCATAACAACCAGGGCCTAGTCCAATTGATCAACCAGATAGCTGTGTATGAGCTCATACCTGCCAGGAGATGAGTTTAGCCTACATGGTTGGATCAGCAAATATATTATTTAATAGTCCATTATGTTAGTCAGACATATGTAGCCAGAAAGTATAAATACCAGATCATGTATAGAAGGAAGAGAGTTTTTCTGCCCCTCTCTCCCCTTCAAAATCCTACCAAGTGAATAGTATAGGTTGTGTTCAGCTAAGAGCTTTGAGTCATAGACTCAATCTGAATAATATTGTGGTGATCAGGTCACTTTGTTTTGTGCAAGAACCCCCAGAATGTTATGATTTTTTGCTCTTTTCTATATTTTAACCCCTATTCTTGCTTAGTCAGGGCACTTAACTAAGCACTTAAAACCATGGGACCTGCTTATGCAACCATAATAAGTGGACCCAGCTCATTGTCCTTCAATAGTGCTAAGCTCCTTAATGATAGACAATACTCTTTTGTAACAGTAGCAATGACTCAGGACAATGAACACCATAGCATAGAAACACATAATTGGTAGAATATATTTATCCAGAGCATGAACAGTATATAAGTAGTGAAGCTCTCACTATACATACCTAGCTTTGAGCTAAAGTTTATTCTATACCATTCACTCTTGAGTCAACTTGTCTTTGGCCTTGTAGTACTTTGCCTATCAAGCACAATAAGCAGACTCAGATATGACAGTATGAACATGATACAGCACCTGTTTATCACATGTTTATGTCATTGGCAGCTTGGGCTTAACACAGAAAACAACTGAAAGTTTATATCAGACAGTCAGAACAGACCCACAACAGTTTAGAACAGCCAGTATTATGCATAAGTCACAACCAGGTGCATCATATCAGTCTAGAAACTGCATCAGGCAGACCATTTGAGAGAGGTTTTGTTGTGTTCAGTGACACAGACAGTTGTGTTCAAGCAAACCACAATATATATCTTTGAGTTACACTTTATTGCACCCCATCCACATTACATTCTCTACATACTTAGAATCCAGGCATTACTATTCCTCCCTCAAACCATATTGTGATTTGGTGTTAGTGTTTTAGCAATGTGCATTTTGCACATTGTTGATTCATTTATTGCCACTTCTCAGCATTTTAGTAGTAGAAAAAGTGAGTTTCATAGTGTGTGTTGAGAATGAAGAGGGTTTCTGTCAGTTTATGTACTACTGTGAGATGAGTAAGCCAAAATGCAGACATGATAACATATGACAATGGTAAAAAAAAGGTAGTCATGATGGCTGATACTAGAATACAGGATGTTTGACCATTGCTGCTGTTGCAGTATATATCAAAGTGGATATAGATAGTTTGGCAAGGTTGTGAGCTGTTTGAAGATCAGCTGAATGTAGATGGAATTTGGGTTGTATGTCAATACAAAATATATCTAGATGTAGAATTAGTAAAGAAAATATATAGACCACTTACTGAGCTCAAAAGAGAAGGCTCAGGGCTTCCTTGTGGGCATGATGCTTCTGGTTCAAAAATAAGTGTCAGATGATGATCAAACAATGAAAAATGATCAGAGTCCAGCTCCAGTGAGATGGATGGCATTATGAGAGAATATAAGGGAAGGTCCAAAAGAAATGGTGAAGTGTGGCCAGAAATAAAGAGCAAGTCTACTGTTGATGTGATGTAAGAGCCATGTCCTTTGGAGAAGTGGTCTTTCAACAGTGTCAGTGTGAAAGGAGCTGCATTATGCATATAATCAAAGTCAGAACTCTGAGAAAATAAAGAAACTGAACATTTGATTGGACTCTCTATCTCATATGAATCTCCAGGACATGAAGATGTGATGTCCTCCATCTTCAGAGGCTGGAAGTCAACATACCAGTAGATATGGAATACAAGACTGGTATGCTCTATTTCAAAATGATGTGGTGCCTTAGAATCTCTGATACTCTTTTATTACTCTCTATGTTAGTTTTTAATTAGCTAATATCTAAATATTAATTAATAATTTTACATAAAAATATTTTGTGCCTTTGGGTGTGATCTTGAGTGAGATGTATGTGTAACCCATTGTGAGCATAGATTTTAATTAAGAACAATATTTGTCTGTATCAAATATTCCTTAGAAAATAGAACTTTAAATGAATAGGATTATACTGTAGCCTGTTTACATCCAGATTAAAGCTGACAGCCACATAATCTAAGGTCATTTTCTGAATGTATGGCCTCAAAATGTACAAAACTGAGTGCAATGTAAACAATTAAACTTGTGAACATTAAGTATAAATGTTGATTTTTTTTTCCTTTTTAACCCCTATTTATGCTTAGTCAGAGCACTTAGCCAAGTGCTAAGGATTGTGAGACCTGCTTAGTCACTATAATAGGCAGGGTCAGCCACTATTCTTCATAGACAATGATGCCTCTCAACAACAGACAATATTCTTTTGTAGATGGTGATAACACTCAAGGACAAAGAGCTCAGTAGCATAGAAACTCACAATTAGTAGGTATATTTTTATCTGACTCTTAAACAATATATAAGTAGTATAGCTCTTGCTGTAGATACTCAGCTTCAAGCTAAAGTTTATTTCTCACCATTCTATCTCAAGCTAACTAGTATTGGCCTTGAGACACATCACCACATAAACACATACAGTAAACTTAGATGTGATTGTATAAACTCAATACAGCATCTATTTATCACATGTTTAGGTCATGTGTCACTTGAGCATAACAACAAAGAACTCTGTCTGTTATATTAGTTATTATCTATTTAGGCAATAATCTAACTAAGCTAATCACTGAGCTCAATAATGAATATCAAATTGTAATCATAATGAATATAAAATACATCTCTGTCAATGTATAATGCTATAATCTTATAGTTATAATATATGTCTGTTAAGTTATATAATAGATGGTAGCCAAGTTGAGTGTGTAATTTCTATCCAATGTTTTTCCATCATATTTGAAATTCACCATCAAGCTGTAGATATCAGCAAAGTCAGCATTTGTATCAGCCCTTCAAGCTGAAATTTTTTTTGTGTTTGTCTAAATAATAGCAGAAGAATATAAGTAATAATCTATGAAGGAGTGTGAGTGATATAGTAGAGGATACAGCAACAGTATACATATATTAGTTGGGCATAGTATTAGTGAAATGACTGAGGTATGGGTATCTACAGCCAGGCTATATAGGTGATCAAGTAATGACAGAGGGTGTATATATAGTAAATAAGTGATAATAAAAAAAAGAATGAGTGATGACCAAAAGGATAAAGAATCAAAAGAGTAAAATATGTGGGTATATATATAGACATCCTCCAATACTAAGACCATCCAGTCTTTCATTGGAGACCTGTACTCTGTGTGTGTTGCATGTCTATTAATTAATGTTACAAGATGTCATAATTATGCTCATAATACTTGCTTTTTGTATATGATATTCTTTTAGCCACTACTTCTCTGGCATAGCTTGAAAAACAAGGCTGATACTAGATTCAGTGTCTGTAAAATAGTTTTCATCTGGTTATCACCTTAGATAGATAAAAAATAAACAACTTCAATTATTAATTATTTATATATATTTGTATCAGCACCTTGGAAAAGCTTTCACAGAGTCAACAGAGATGTAATTGCCTAAGATAGAGCACACTTTTGATAATCTCAATTAAGATAGAAATAACAATAATGAAAATTGAATTTTTCTTATCTGTTGCAGATCTTGTCTCCAGGGTCATAGTATCTTATATAGTAAGAACAAATATATATAAATATCAGATATTGATATAACTGGTGTATAACTAGAGTGTACCAGTCTTGTATTCCATAGGTAGACATCTATCTCCAGAGCAATGGTAGTGATTAATGCTGGAAATGACTTAAGGGAAGTTTACCCCCTTTAAAATGAAAAATCTACAAAAAACAGAGGATCCTTGATCATATCTTATTTTGGGTGAAGATGTGCCTCAGATTTCATATGGAGATCCAGAAATATATCCAAAAAAGACCAATGTAGACAAAATATGCTTTCCAATCCCTTCTGTCCCTCTGCACTGGATGTTTGAAAAAGTTTCCAAACATAATGAAGACTTCTTGAATGGATAATAAATTACATCATGAATAATGCTTTCATTTTTAATATATGCATGTAAGTATGCTCTGTGGACTGGCATGAACACCACATATGCAAGATCCACAAAAAGTGAAATATATCAAGGTATCCTAGAAATGCCAAAACCAGTGTCACTAGGCAGCAGCAGCAAAACTACAGAATGAGGCTGACTCTCCAGTTCTGGGCCTGCATCCCTTCCTTCCTGGTACTCACTGGTGGGGCATTTTCCAGCACCTGGTGAATCTTGTTGGTATACTTACTGTATGCTGGTGGGTTCATGTGCAGATTGAGGTTTTGGCCAAATCTCCATACACCATGCATTGTGTTGCTCCATCCCCAGTCAGGCATGGTATTGACAACTCCACATTCAATGTTGACTACTACAAGGAGCCAGACATGTCATCTGTCTATAAGTTGGATGCAGCCCTTCCTCCACAGTTTTCTGGAAGTTTTGTGGTTCATGTTGCCTGTCAATATGACAACAAAATTGGGAAGGGAGAAGAGCGCACATTATTTGGCATGGCCACATGTCGTGACTCATCACGCGAGTGCTGTGAGGTTGATCTGCTGCCACTAAAAGAATTAACCGCTTTTATTCTCCATCAAGGCATATGGACATCATACTAGGCATTCTACTTGCACTTGGCAGGTATTCCTCCACCTTCAGGGTGGCTCTGCCACAATCTACGGGCCGACCCCAACATTAACGTTTGTGGTGCTTGGCACCCGTAGACGGGAGTCCGAATTTTCGGCCTTTTTAAAGCTTTCAGTTCATCTTATGACGTTCCGCATCGACTTGTTCTGTCTTTCTCTCTGCCGTGCACTGCATATTTTACAATATCTGTACATTCCTCGCTGATCGCCACTGTCGCAGGAACGGATGACGCTTGCATGCTACAGCCTCTCCTTGTGGAAGTCGTCCATTCATGCTTTTAGGCACAAACTCTTGGCTCTTCAACCTTGCCGTCTTTAGCCAATGTGGTTTGTCCCTCGGCTAGACCTATGCGATCTCCGAGGATCCTCCACAAGGCTTTCAGTCTTCTTTTCTCATGTCCATTCTTCATCATTACTCTCGAACATCGCTCTCAAGTCGCCGTTCGTGAGAAGATACGGCGTCAAGTAACCGTCTGCAAAATGGTATATATAAGTTGAAAACATCCCATTCTTTTTGCCTATCGAACAATTCGACATGAAGCTCGCGTTTTCTACTGCATTCCTTGTAGCCTTCTTCGCACGATCCACTGCCTCTGCTGCAGTGCGCAGAGACATCTTTGACCCACCCATCCTCTCCCCTGGTAGCGGAACAGTCTGGATGGTGAAGACGACCCAAAACGTCTCCTGGGACACCTCCAACCCTCCTGAACCCATCACAGACCGCAACCACAGCAGCATCAGGCTGACCAAGGGCGGCAGACAGTTGCCTCGTACGTTCACGTGTTTTTATCTCTATCTTTTGCATGCGACATACTGACCTGCGTTTCGGTAGTCGTATTGGCAGACCAGTTTGATATCCTCCTCGGGAGCATCGAGGTGGAGGTTCCTTGGGTCACTGAAGGCGATGACTATTCCATTATTCGTGAGTGCAATCTTCTTTGCTGGAGCAGGTAGGATGGCATGTCTCATCATCTGAATATGCAGTATTTGGCGACTCAGGTAATTGGGGCGAGACGTTCAGTATCAAAGGCGGCCCTACATACTAGATATATATGGTACGGCTTCATTTGTCTCAGATGCCGGGCAGGGATTCGTACTGGTACTTTGCATTATCTTGTGATGCATTCATATGAAACAGATAAATCGCGAGTTGCCATTCCTCCCGATCGGAAACCATGCCTTTTGACGACCTTTTATTAGCCTGCGGATAAGATAGAGTGCTTTTGATTATGACTATGACCGTGGGATGTCGCGGCTCAATAAAGTAATAAGAACAACATTGTAAGAACTATTGGAATAAGTAAGTAAAGTGTGTACAGGTATATGAGTTAAGTAACATACCTCAGTCGGCGCAGTATAAGTGAAACAACTGAGGGTGTGGACAACTACTTGGTATGTATACTATCGGGATGAAGTATAGGTGTTCAGGTAAATGAAAAGGGTCCATAAGAACGGTATGGGTAAACGATAGGGGAAAGGGTCGGGTACACGTGTCTCGTTCAACACTCAAGGTAAGCTGCTTGACAGAAAATCACATTGGGAGCGTTGGCACGGTCCGGTTCCTCCGAGATCACTTGTTGCATTACCGTACATTCCCGTTTCTTCGTAGCCACAACCGAGACTATCACTAGCTATTCCCGATTCCCTCTCTTGGACCTAGCGATACAGTTCCAACATCCATGGCCGATATTGCAGACTATAGATTTCCACCGCAAAAATTCCAGGCAAATTTTCATACTTGGCGTAGGCTCGCGCACCATCTTCCACGTTCAGTAGGATGATCTCGGACCTGAATTCTGAGAATAATTTTATTCCTTCATATGAGGCTGTAACAACTGATAGCAAATATAAATACCCTAGCCTCAAGAAGGGCCAATAACAACGGGTTTTGTCTTGGACATCAACGCGATAGTCTCATCGTCGACGTTCAGATGCGCCTTTACTATGTGCGGAGGAGTCAGGGCCAGCCACTGGAAAATGTCATCAGATACTATGCCAAGGAATTCGCGATGGCTCACCTGGCTGAGACTTACGTCCTCGAAGCGATCTTAATGAATTTCCTCTCAGTGAGTCTGTAACTAGCCATACAAGAGGCAGTCTTACCGGACTTGAAGAGTTCGATGTACGCCAGAGTGGTGTTACCAGTGTTCTCGACATAGTGGCCTAAATCCACATGAGGCCAATAGTCCTTCTTTAGAATTAAGACGACTTACCCATACCAGCGGGAACGTAGCCTGAGTGTGTGGGGGGATTGAATTTTGTTTTTTAAAAAAAATGAAAGAAGGAGAGGACATACATACCGACATCTCCGGACTGGTAGTTGAACGTTCTTGCTCTGCCTCGTGCGGCAAAGATAGTCACCCGCCCTTCTCCCTCACTAAAAGGCAATGTCAGCTTAATTTGAGATCGTTCCGTGACAAAAACCGACATGAAATAGCTCCATTCATCCTGTGTTGGATGCCAGTGAAGTTCTCTGGAGGAAAAAAAAACATTTTATCGGACCGTCATCTTTAACCTCGGGATAGACCTTACCGCATCGCACCAGGCTCAACGGTGACCTCTACCATTGCGATGGTCGTCGATATTTGAAACGTCGACGAGTCCACGACTTTATAGCTGCCGCCGGAAGTTTGGGTCACGTTGGCTTTCGATGATGCAAATGAGTAAGGTAGGGGAACAGTTCCTTGCGGACTTTCAGGCGGAAGCGCATCGTCCTCCGGGGTTGCTTAAGGTACCAGGTGAGCTCCTGAAGAGGTTGGAAGAAGGAATGAGACGCACTGCTCGGGAAGATGTATAGTTCCTTTCCGGGTACGTGTGCGAATGCGGAGGCATCGACTTGGAAGTTCTTTTCGAGTACTGTGAAGGGCAATAAGAGCAGTGGGACAGCAAATGAAGCGAACACACACGCCTTCCGCTGGAATGTGGTCAAGCCAGTCGATAAGCTGACGATGGAATGTAAGGCAGGGAGTAGTAAATCTTGAGGAAATTCAAGTACCGAAAATGTAGTATCTTCACCGAAATTTCCGTCGTCGAATATCTAGAGTACGTGTTTGGCAACAGGGTCAAGGAGCGACGAACGCGCAAGCGTACCAAAAGGAATTCGGATCCACCGTCGTCGTCGCCGGTTGCTTGAAGGGAATGCGGAACGCCTGCGGGGAAGTACCACAGGTCGCCGGGTCCCTGTTGAAGGTGGGGTCAGGTCGAAGCGTGTTGGAAGAAGATTGCACGTACTACCGTAGCAACGTAGTTACGACCTTCACCGTCAACAGCCGAAATCTGAGTTGAACCCTGTACCAGAAATATATTAAGAGCCCGTATTAATATGATTGCGAGACGACCCGACCTTCAGAACGTATGCCCACTTTTGGTATGAGTCAATATCAGGAACCATATCAGTACAAAGGGAATCACCTACTTCCGAAGTCGTGTGCCAATGGAGCTCCCTAAATAATTATTCGTCACCAGGTGAAATCATTTTAGAGACGAAGAGAAAGAAAAGAAAAACTAACCGGATCGATCCAGCTTCAAGGCGCATGTTTGCACCGGCGATTGCTGGAAAACGGATATCAGTCCAACAAACCCGCAACAGTATGAGAGAATTTTTTCACATGTGGCGATTGGCATCACTGCGACTGTCACACGTATATGGTTTTAAAAAAATAAGATTGGACCATATAAACGAGAGCAGGTTTCGTACCGGTCTGCTCGCGAACCCAGCCTCCAGTCTGTAGACGCGTGTGACTTAAAGAGAATGGCCATTTCGCGTTCGCCCTTCAAAAGATATCGGTTCACCCGTGAGTCAGAGAAGAGAAAAAAGCCAGAGCCCAGCACTTACAGCTCTCCAGAATCAGTGGAGGGGGGAGCGAGGAGGTCGGGATTTTGGAGATCAATGGCGATGTTTTCTGCAGGAGCTGGACGGAGGAACGGTGCGCCGAGCTTTCCTCGTTGGGGTTGGACGATTGATGGATCGCTGTCTTCAGTCCATAGGGACTCGTTGGGATCGGTGCTGATGTAGGGTATTGTGGGTGTCGATGACGCCGCGGTGGAGGTTGAGGAAATGGTGACCGCGGGGGCGCAGAAGACAAGTCCCGCCAGGATGAAGACTGCAATCATCAAAGAAGGCCTGAGGAACATGTTCAAGCGAGAACGGGTACTGTTGAAGAATCCGGTGAGGTTCGACGAGTTCCTTTTTATACATGTCGCCCTGCACCTCGCTACCTCTCCTCAGCGCCAGTGTAGCAAATCATTTTTTGGTTAAGATCACTCATCTGATTCGGCCGGTGTCGGAGTTGTAGATCACGCAAGTCCACGGGCAAAGAATCCTCTTTTCTTCCATTGGGGGGATATGTCATGTGGTGAAACAGTGACCGCTCGTAAGCAAAAGCATGGATTTGTAGCCACATTGCGTTCCCAGGACATTTTTTGATCGACAGCTCACTTCAGAGTTGAGAGGTACCACTGAAGGAACAGATGGATAAGGACTCGTTTTCGTGATTATTGGCAAACAAAGACGCAATATCGATTGGACTGGCCGCTTCTTTCCTGTGAAATGGCACAGGTACATCAGCGCTAGAATCAAACATAACACTCACAACTGCCCATCATGAAGGTTGGTTACGCTTGACAGATTGTGGGTGTTTGTAAGGGCCCAGGTTGATGGGATGTTTGCGATCCGGAGAGGGTTGGAGGAGCGGACTTCGTGTCCTACTTTGATAAAGTGGAGGACTACAACACAACATGAGATGGAGCGTGAGCTGAGGGTGGTGGTGTTAATTCGGCTTCGCAGACACCCACAATGATGGAACCAGATGGCGAGTTAGAAAAAAAGGCTTAAGTTTCGACAAAGGCACGTGGTACAGTTGTTCCGATTCTTAGGATCAGTGAACATCATGAGATGTAAGAGCAATGTGTACGCAATAATAACGACTGTTACCAGGGCGGCTTTGGAGGTGGTTTCTATCAAATGAAGCTGAGAAATTGAGTCCATGAGAAGAATGGTTTAGCGTTAGCTACGGTATTTGTTAGCATGTCAAAAAATGGATTGGATTGCTTACTGGAAGTCCGATTGACGATTGTACCTCAAAAACACTAGGCATCAGGAGAAGTAAGGTGAACGGTTTGGGCTTTTTGTTTTTTATCAACGTGTGGAAGAAGCTTCAAAAGTGTGCATACACAGAAGACGAAAACGTGGTAATTAAAAACTGCAGTGATACGCTGGAATGCTTATTGTAAAAGTCCAGTTTTGAAACTGCTGCAAGATATCTTAAAAAATGGTAACTGTGCAGTATTGGGGGCAGTGACGTCCTTGTTTCGAGTAGTTCTTCCGTTGATTGAAGATCGGATAGAGCGACTAATCTCAGGATTAACCCGGGGCGCGTTAGTCCAGAAGATCACATCGTCTTTGTCGGGGTCGTTCCTGCTCTCGAAAAAGTAGAAAAATAGGTGGCGGGCTATCCGGGCGGTGTAGATCTATGTGGTACTCTGTAGGCTATCATTTCTCTCCATTGCGCCATACTTATTGTATAAGCGTAGTGATACCGTCCTTGAGCTTAAAGACCCTAGCACACGGCAGCACTTCCTCGACTCTTTACGTAAAGTCAACGCCATCTTTCGTACTGTCGATGAACTGCCGCAGGGGGCCACGGAAGTTCGAGGTCATCGGAGACCTCGACAACATCGCTAAATACACCACGGGAATGCCACGACCAAGAACCGACCTCCTCTCACTCGATGGTCACGATGACAATGTAGATTTTCGGTCTTCGATTTTCAGGCGCCAAGGGAGCCATAAATTTTCGCATGTCCAGGTGTGCGTGACTCCGAGCAAGCTGCCCGCGCACCCTACGTATCGGTGGATGAAACAACAGCATGTCCGCTCGCTGGATTGTCTTCATGATCAACGGGAAGGTCAAGTGCGTGTTTTACGTTATGCCGATGGACGAGGTCGGATTGAGGGAGGTGTATGGCGTGTCGAGAGATGAGTACTCGTACCGCTCTGCGTGGCTGAGAACAAAGGGCTGGGATTTGGCTACGATGAAGCAAGTGTATTTAAATTAATTTTTTCGCCCATGTTCACAAATCCGATCCCACGGACTACACTGTAGGACCTTTGCGCACAGAGGCAAACGCCAGTTCGTACACAGGGTCAGGCGGGACTCGGGCTTCGCTGGAACAGGCCCACGCTAACATGAGGGAGTTCGCTGAAGGTACTCTGGCTGAGCTGGTTTGGATGGAGAAGCAGAGGTTCAAGGGGGGACAGATGCTCTCGATAGAGACGTATTGCTGGATGTATTTGGGGATCATGCAAGAGGGGGAGAGTGGGCGGTTGCGGTACTTTGTGCATGGGATTAGGAGGGATGCGTTTATTGAGATGTTCCTGTCGGAACTTGAGGAGGGAATCTTTCAGTACCTGAGTAATGAGATTCTGGAAGTGTTCAGTGAGTGATGGAGAGGAGGGGAGGATGTCTCTGCATGTGCAGAGGTTGGGTTTGTGCTTTGTTGTATCATGTTTCATTCATATTGCTTTGTGACTGGAAAATGTTGGTTTTAGGGATATAAAGAATTCATGTAATCACTTTTTTCAGTGGGTGAAAATGAGTTATGTTGTTGTTTTCCTTGCTGATGCACCTTGGTATTCCAGTCTGCTGCTCTCTACTTTTGCTCTCTGTGCTTAGGCTCACAAAAGTGGGAGTACCTACTGTTTATATTTATGTGTTACAAAGCAGGACTATAGAATACAAGACTGGTATGCTCTGGTTATACACCAGTTATATCCATACCCAGTATTTACACATATTTGTTCTTACTATATAAGATACTATGACCCTGGAGACAAGATCTGCAACAGATAAGGCAAATTCAATTTTCATTATTGCTAAAACAAGTGACTTTTGTTTTATTTTCAATATGATGACAAAGTAGATCATCAGCTTAGTAATACCTCATTTTCCTTTGTACAGCTACAAATCTGAATCTCAAAAGATCTTCAGCATTTCACAAATCAAAGACTAGTGTGCTCAACTGTGACTATAATATTACACCACCATCCTCCAATTCTGCTCTGTAAGCATCCTCTCATTCAGGAGTTGATCTTGTCTAATCAGAGTTTTATTATAATGATTTTCAGAAATTTGTAACATTTGTCAAACTTTCAACTGTATTGTCATTCCTGTACAATCACCACTCAGTCTGTATTACTTGGTACATTTGAATATAGCCTCTCTTTCTGCTGTCTTATGGTCTCAATTTTGCTTTTATCTTATAGAATACACTCTGGGCCAGTATCATCACTAATAGCAATCTAGTGGAAAACCCTTGTATCAATCCAGAAAAATAGACTGTTGTATGATATGAATCTTTGAAAACACAGGATTAGGTGAGAATAGTATGTTTCATCCTATCATATGCCTTACATCCAGGATTCATGCATCTGATGGAGCAGGAGTTTCTGAATCTAGCTGCCAAGGCTTAGGATTGGACAGGTCTCTTTCCAATAGCATGGAGTGTCATAGTGTGAGTTTGCAGATGGGAGATAATATTAGAGGATGAGGCCAACTGGTACAAGCCTGGGAGGATGAGCATTCAGTTCTCAATAGGCAAGATTGAACAGATAATAATGCCAGGAAATTTCTGGTCTGAAAGTGGGGTCATGCAAAGATCATTGACTGCTTTACACTTTGTATGGAGGTCAGCAATATGGGTGTTGATACCACTGGCTCTGTCAAATTTCATAGCATTCAGTGTGAGTTCAGCCTCAGACAAAGCCATGTCCATCTTTTTTGCTCATTCCCAGAGGATGGAATCCCAGCACTCCTTCATCATCCCATCTGTCTTGACTCCTAATCCAATCAGATCAATGATATTCAAGACAATGTGTGAATGTGTCAACTGGTCCTGAAATTTCCATTCATCACAGGAGGGTATGGAAGAATAGATAGATGTGGGTGTAGGGTCTGGTGGGGGGCCAGTGGTGGTCACTGAGATTGCTGGACAGGTAATTGTACCATCAATGTAGCCAGAGAGTCCTTTTCATTTTTAAGATTTCAGTAATCTGTAGCTTCCATAAAGCAAAGTTCTTCCCATTGAAGTGGTTGTTTGGGTCCAAGAGTGTGATGACTCCAGGTATGCTCAATGACATGTCTGCAGTGACCAGGCAGTAGTGTGAGGTGGTGCATGGGCAGGTATTGTGGGTAAAGTAGTTTCAAAGTAGTGAGTCACATCAAATAAAAGTTTTTGCTGTGTGTTCTTCTTGACTGATTGATTCTAGGCAACCAGGGCCATAACCTAAAGATGAAGAACAATAATGAGATCTGTATCATGAAGGTAAGTAAGTAAGAGATCTGATACAGCTAAGAATATATGCACCTCAGTCAGCACAGTGAAGGTGTAAATGACTGAGGTACTGCAATGTGCGAGAGCAGCTTTTATAGGTGATCGACATAGGTACAAAAAAGTAACTGAGAAAGAGAGAGAATATAAGTATGGCCTACGGATCCATCTTCAACAATATTGGTCTCAGGCAACAAGGACGAGTCTTCATAAACTGTACACGTGGCTGCTCCGACGTCCATGTCAACCATACAATAGATTTTCCCGCAACAGAACTTAATTTCAGCAACCTATGATATACATTTCCCGGTTCCATTCTTCTTGTTCCGAAGTTCCACCCACATGGCGAGGCTCCGTCTGGTGTGTAATGAACGGGCAGGTCATGACGCATCAAAGTATGGTTTCCAGTCCTTGCTGATCTATTTGCCTTATGCTTGTTTTATTGCCAAGATGCGACCGGTCCCTGAATCCGGATCTCACATTAAAGTTTCACAATTTTTTCTGCTAGTGTAAGCTGTTCATATTATATCTATCACGGAACTGACAAAGTCCACTGGTGTGACACTATACCAGCACCAATCTTCGCTGTTTCCGGGCGATTCATCATGCGAAGCTGGGTATGAGTCTAAAGTATCCTCTATCACAAGACTGAGGCATCCGTGTGTCCTTCACTCCCTTTATTTATGAATTCTCGCTTCTGTCTGAAGGTCGCCCTTCTTCAGACACTGACTGATTCGAGAGGCAGACTATCATCACCGATAGTTATCGTCGACGTAACAGACGGCAATCTCGCACAGCAAAAACGAGCAGCCGGAACATATGACTCGACATATAGTCCGAAGCGCCCATCAACCCTCATGGGAACTCTGAGGATGGATATAACCACAGTGGAGGTGCATCCAATCGTGTTCCCCCTACCTCCTACGTTCCCAGTTGCCAGTTTCACCTTCTGCTTTCGCCCACGTTAAGTCAGGTTGTCAAAGTACATCTCAGGCCACACAGATCGCCGTTGTCGCGATCGGGTCCAGAGGACATTCGCTCATAATTTGACGGCGAGGACCTGGCGGATATAATCGAGCCCGTGGAATCTTTTTAACGGGCTACTGTGACTATCGGGAGCCCCTCCGATACTGTTTCAAGATTCCAATGATATGGGACTGTGATAAATATATCCTAACGGCGAGTCTCTCTTTGCCAATGAAGAAGGGAGGCACATGATGATACTGTATTGGTAGGATATTCTTCCTGATGACTGGTAGTTGACGGCTGTATCGATTGCACTTGAACATATCTTGCGCAGACTTCACTTCTACGACAATTATCCATTGCATATGCCAAAGGAGATAGAAGTTGTCAGTTATTTTTTTTCTCATGATGAATATCTTCATCTTCCCATTGACGTTGAGTTTCTGTTCAGCACATAGCTGATGTCTATGGTGCCGTACTTGTATTTTCCTACGGGATACGGGAGTCTTTCTGTCGCCACGGAAAACTAGATAGTAGTGCCTTTTATAGTTGATACATTTTCTCGACTGACTAATGCTCTCTCATCTCAACTTATATTATCCACTTGGTATGGCTCGCGATAGATGATAATTTGTGCCTTTACGCAAAGGAAAGTCATGATGATGATTCGAAATCCGCATAGCAAAATTTATGGTATATCCTAAGAGCTCTACTTATTTAGAACGAGGCAGTTCCGTTACCACTACCCGTACCTCCACTGCTACTGGTATCAGACATCACACCGCCATCCTCGGTCAAGGTAGCAGCGGCAGATGTGGTGTAGCTCGAAGAGAGGTCGATGGCCATGGAACCCCAGCTGCAGGGATACGCATCAGTAAGAGACTGACGAAATGTGTTGCTGTGCTCACGCAAGGAGACCATCAGATACGTCATCCCCGAGGTAGACATACTCCAGAACGGGGTCGATCCCGTCAGTCGCATCCTCGACTTCCTGGGCCAAAATGGAATCGTTGGCATTGGTGGTAAGTTGCTGGGTGTTGGAAGTATAGGGAGAGGTAGCTTCAACGACAGTGATTAGGTCTTGGTCAAAGAAGAATTGTCCTGAAAACAATGGTTAGATCTGAAGGGCACGCGATCGGAGAGACTAGGCTTGCCGACGTGGTGGTCGCTGTCGGCCTTGAACGTGCCGTTGTCGAAGAGAGTTCCGTTACCGTGGGCTATAATATGGATGTGGTTAGCTCGTGAGGTGTAATGGCCTGGAAATGGACTGTCAGGAGGGGAGAGAAGCCATGGAAAGAGGAAAACATACCAGGGAAGATAGTCTCGAATTGGGCATAGCCCTCGTCGTTGGTGGGTTGGATGCCCCGAAGAAAAGTCTTGTTCTACAAGAGAGTTGTTATTGATAGAATAAAGGGGTCGAGCCAAATGGCAAAAGTGAAGGAACCCACCACGTTGGTCGCGTCGTTGGAATTTCCATTGCCAGACGCGATTACACCGGCGTAGACACCGGTCGCATTACAGTGCCAGAAATCGATGTAAACATCCGAGACAGGCTCACAGGTTGATACATCAATGAGTTCGACATCGACATAGGTGTAGACGCCTTCTTGGTCCTCGGTGATGTTGGAGCGGACGTATTCACCGTCGACGTAGTAAGGGCCCTGGGTGACCTCGGGCGCAAGGACGCAGGATGCGTTTCCGTCGAAAGGATCAGAGTCGGCCGTAAGGCCTGTCGTGTTCGATTCGTGACTCGTAGCCAACACCTCGTCCAAGGTAAGAGCACGTTTGTAAGGAGAGCCTGGGAATGAGCGTAGCTAAAGATGGGTAGTGAGGAGGAACAGGGAAGAAACTCACGTGTGGCAAGTCCCCTCTTCTTACGGAGCTCGTCAGCGAGGGCCGCGCGGCGTGCAGCGGACTTCTCGAAGTGGCCACGACGCCTAAGTTGGTCCTGGCATTGTCCGAGAGAGCGACGCGTTGCTCTGTGGAACTCGGCACGGCGAGCGAGTTCACCCTGGCTCATATGAGCGGCTGGGTGAGCAAAGGTAAGACTCGCAGCGAGAAAAACGAAGGAGATGAGAGCAGAAAGCTGGACCATGTTGGAGTGAAAAGGAAAGAATTAAATTGTACTGGGGTTACTCACTCGTACAATGTCCTGCATATATACCTCGATGATGCGCAGTGGTAGTAAGCGCAGCGCTCCATGAAAATTTCTTCTACTCGTGTTTACACGAAGCATGTGGTGAGGTGGTGACCATTGGACCAATGATTGAGACTTGATTTCAGGCGACGGTATCGGGGCCTTCTGGTTTAGGTATTGGCAGTATCAGAAATTTACGCGGTTGCTGATTGTAACTGATCGTTGAGAAGCGACCTCAGTAACAGTCCGTCTCTTCGGATAGGTCTCAACGAGCCATCGCGAGAATCATCCACGGAGGTACTTTGCAAGTACAGAATGCATGTAGTTGGAAGGTCGAGTTCAACAGGAATATGGAGGCGACGAGAAAAAATACTCGAGTGAGACTTGAAGTGACGAGTGGTGTACAACGTCCTCCTCGTCTTCTGGGACGTGCGAGAATCTCTCTGTCAATGCGATCAACATTCCCTGGAAAGTGTACCATTAGCGTCACAGACTGCGATTGACTGCGATCAGATTTGCGAGGAACAACGTAAATTCCTCCGGAGAAATGCCAAGCCGATTCGTGACATCCAGAGAAACCGAAGAGCCTATCACATGGAGGCGGTTGCTAATGGGTGGTAGCAAGGCACACAAAAAAGAACCCTCGGGCCCTTCGATACCGAGAACTGCGCAATGTAGGCTTGTCAAATTTGAGCAGAGTAAGGTTCTGGTGCATGATGCATGAGAATCGAAAGCGCGGATAAAATAATGAAACACAAACGCGGCAGGCTAAAGACGGCCCTTCCAAAGTGATTTAGAGGGTAAGTAAAAACTCTGGAAGGCGATGCAAGTCAGAATAGGCCGAACAGGCGGACAAAAATTTCTTGTGGATGAGAGTAATCGTCGGTCAGCTGGTACTGGGAGCGCAGTGACAATGGCCTAATTATATTGTACATGGACGCGAGATCTCTTGAGTGTATAAGAGGCATTTAGATCGTCGGAATGCGCTACCATTGGCATATACCTAGTGACAGTAAATAGAAAAAACAGAGGGGACCGTTCTGCATTGGTCGCACTCGTAAGGAGTAATTGTGTAATCACGCCGGCCTAAGCCACCGACGCGTACACGATATCGCATACGGCTTTGTATCACAGACGGGAGATCGCGTTGGGATTTAAGAGTCTGATGAGGAGGAAACCAATTGGAGAGAATCAATCTTTATTGTTCATAGTAGGCAGAGTATGCAGAGTCTCCTGTAGTTATAGTGCACGTCAGTATGCAGATTCCCCTGTAACTACAGGTGAGCTATGGAGTATGCAGAGCGTTTGCACAGGCTCTTCCGGCTCTGCATACCATGGAAAAAACATTACGTATTCGTCTATCACCCTCCTGTCTTTCCGTGTCACCCTTCTGTCCTTCCACCTCGCCCTCATCGTTTGCGACGATGAAGAGACATCCTCTCGCCGTCCTCCCGACGCCTACCTAACAGGGATTGTCCCATCGAGATCTGACGAAATTCAGAGGATCAGATCTCCATATTGTCAGCACACTTTTCCGTTGACAGCGTGAGGACACGGTGGCCCTATATCACGGAACTGCAGTATGGATTTTTCGTCGTCTCCCTCTGCAACTCAAGTTGTAGATATAAAATTTAATAAATACATAAAACTACACGAATAAGTACTATTTTCAGAATAAACGACGAGTGCCACGCAAGGGTCTATCACAGCTCTCTCGATGTCATTAGCACAACTCGCTACTCATCTCGTTCTCCTGCAAATTTTCAGTAAGCTTTTAGTCACTTTTATGCTGGATAAATACTTACTCTAGCCATATTACAAATTACCATGATTTTGATAGGGAAATTCGGCATCGCTTGGCGGTAAGTCGACAAGAAGGGTAGCAAGAATCAACGAGATCTAAAGATGTGTAGACGTCTCATTCAATGGATACTGACGACATTTGGACACGAGTCGGAGGCATGCAGGTGCGTATGGTATATGTTCTAGCTCTGGTTTCGGGTGTTGACAGGCCGGTCAAGCTAGATTCATTGATACCTTTGAAAACGGATACGCCTCCTCAAGTATTCATCGCGCCCAATGTCTCCACTATGTGGGAGCGCACAGGTACGCGAGTCTACGCCACGGTCGTCCATCGTACCGATTCCATCACCTCAGATACACAATTTTACCTTTACAGCGCCTGAGAACCTGCAACAGAGTCAGAGTTAGATGTGCTCATTATGGGGTCAGGGGATTCGTATAGAGGCAGATGCGCTACCATATTCTATTCATTTGGGGCTGATTATTAACCTCTTGCGCGAGGGCTGACAGCCGAGTGGGACGCAAAGACATGTCATACGGAGCCCGACGTACTCTCCCCAGGGTTCCTAGATACACTGAGTCGCCATGAAGAGTTGGATTAAACATTTTGAAGATCGTATCAACAGTACTTACACTCCTACATTTGAAGTGAATTCATAGCGACCGACTTTTCCGATGGCCTTTTTTTTTTTCATTAACTGAGAATTATGGCACGAATGACATGGACCACTCACTCAAGGCCTCTACGGTCAGCATCAGGCTATATATGGTAAGGCGGGCTGCTGATCACGATGTAGCATCGGTACCGGTCACTCATACGAACTTCGAACGAGAGTTTCGGCTCTTTAAACCGGATAAGCACATTGAATTTGACTAATTCGGCATCAAAGCCGTTTCAAAGTCGGACGGGGCCATTATCTGTTTTATTTCTTTAGTCAACTTAGAGGGAGATGGGTGAAATCTTACCAGGTACATGTGGGAAGACAGCGTACCCCAGAGATCACAGATAAGCCAGGTGGGATAGTAGAAACAAGCGGTAATATGGAGGTGTTCACGCCCGATACCACTGGCAGAGACGTGGAATGCCAAATAAGAGAGCTGAAATGGATATGAGGACAGAGGACACAATACAGACGGAGGCTCATACCAAAAGACATTAAAAAACGTCAGTAACCCCCGTTCAGGACCCGTCTCTCAAAGTGCACGTACGCATACGTGTTCGATCATTGTTGACTCATGACCAGAAGGAGTGGCAGAAAAACGAATATCACATTGCGAGCTGGGTTAATAATGGTAGGTACGGTAACTTCAATGTATGTTCAACTAGACTCACCAGGATAGAACATGATCATTCCAGTAGATGTAAAGGTATATTTAGTTATTCATGCCAACATGCAGAACACTGTCTCACAGGTCTGGTGCGGGGCGAGGATGTTGATGGAGAGAAAACGACGGCGTGGCAGGGACGTCGGAGTGCTGTCAGAGGATGTGGGTCATGAGCCCCTTCAAAGGTCGCTTTATGTGTCTCGATGTCGCATGACGGAGCGTATGAGACTACGATGAAGATATAAGGAGACGACGAGGATGTTGGTGGGGGAAGATGATTGCGTGGCAACGAGGCGGACTGCTGTCACGGTAACAACAGATGCATCAGAAATGGAGCCTGCGTGGCAATCGGTACTGGATCAGACACATTAAACCGACTCGTCACTGGTGATTCCCTTACCGCTGCCAGTACCTTATTTGTTCCCTGACGGAAAAAATACATTCAATAGGGAAAAATGAACATTATCTTCAGATCTATAGTAACAAGATTAGGCAAGAATTTCGATACCAACACTGTAGTAGCACTGATAAATGCTCTCCAAGAAATGTCAATGTAAAAGCGCCTACCCCCTGCGGCGCTTTGCAGGCACATGCTGATGAAGAAGAGTCTGAATGTTCCGATCTACGTCCGTGACCATCTGCAGCCACTGGTAACCCTCATTTCCCTGCCCCCCCCACCAGAAGAGGCCAAACAGGACTGTAATCATCCCATTCTGACCCCCTTTGCAAAGACACGCGAGTGACTTGGAATAGTCAGAGATAGGAAGACCGGTATAAAGAACCTGCCTTCAGATCTTGTCTACAACATTCCGGAAGGACTTGGTCCGTGAGGAAGAATCCGGTAACATCTAATCGAGATACACCCTCAGCCTATCGAACGATGATCAGTTAAAATCAATGCTTAGATGGGATCAACAATCCCGAATTCGCTTCAAAAGTGGGTATTGATGACATATAAAACGTCCTTACAAACTAGTACTCTTGTACGACCAAAATCTCTTCATGGCTACTCGAACGATAATGCGGAGCCAGGCTGATAGCCGCCGGTGGACCACTCTCTGTCCTAAAAGGCTTGTTGAGTACCAAACTACCACTTCCGTACCGTGCGAGTGGTGCCGCGGCTTTCAGAGGATGAGCTTCAGTGTTGAAGATGTCTTTTCAAACAGAATGTTAATTGACGAAGGTTGGTTCTAGGATTGTAACTTTACATTTATCAATGTTGATGTTCTCCGGATCGTCAAAAGTTAGGTACCTGCGACAACGATCAATACTCTCCAAATGTTCAGAAAACGAAAACCCTACAGATACTTCAACACTTCTGCGAACCAGAAACTCTCCATATCATCGATCTTGGCGGAGGTAACGTTATTCACGTCGTAGATACCATCGAACGCGACGGCCCCAGGTAAGAACTGTTTGAAGCTATTCACCGCACTCGTCGCCCGATCGAGGTACTTGGTGTCGCCAGTGATGCGCCACGCGTAAAAGTTCGACTCGAGGACCTCCGGTCGCAGAATATAATACGATGATGTAATATAGAATCCATGCTCCTCGTAGAATGTCAACTGATCCTCCGAGGGCGCAGTGGTACCGGTATAGTTCCCATTGGAAGTCATGTAGGCAAAGGATTCCGGTCCAATTCCGGTGCTAGAAGGATATTGTCAGGAAGCAATCGCAGAGTCGATATGAGATACCTACGCGGTGCCTGCATAGCTGTTCCAACATCCTTCCATCAGACCCAAAGCCGCTTCAACGATCGTGTCATTACCGAGTAGAGTACCGCCTTGAACGTGCATTGGCAATCTGATCTTGCAAGAGAAAAAAGGACATACCATAGAGCCAATTACCCGCGTGGAAACAGGTGAGATGTGAGCTGATATAGCGATACTGTTTTCCTTCCGGCGACCTTGCATCGAATTCACTCGTGTAGAGAAAATCGCCAACTGTCGAACGCTATTTAACATGGTTACCCACACCAGCAATTCAAATTGTATACAACTTGCATACCTTCAAAAGATGCTTGATAGATGAATCAACGGCTGTGCTCCATGTATCGATATATAATGGATCATCGAGACCAACAAGCACCGGATACTTCAACAGATACTCAAAGTAGCTGTCCGCTCCACCGCCCCATGACTATGTCGACTTGTCAGAACAGTTCCTACGGCGAAGGGATAAAGGAACTTACAACGTAACCACCGACAAAATTGCCAGTTGACGGATTGATACTCTGAGCGGCAAGACCTACGGGAATCACGGGTAAATTGGCAGATTCGGGGTCCTACAAAGACACTCCATACCTGGTAAAGGTGACCCCTGGAGCAATAAGTATATGAACTGAAAATGTATGGATGGGAACATACCAAGGTTGCGATGTGCCGGAAGGCCTTCTCTGCGAGTTCTTGATAGGTATCGTTTCCGGTGTACTTACTAAGAGTAGCCCATTCTATAATCAGCTGAAAGATAGTCAATATCGTCAAATGGTTGTAATTCGAGGGTCTACCGTTCCAGCTTCCGCGATGTTTGACTGTGAGATGACTGATTAGATGAGAACCAAAGAGAAGCCACGACTTTATTCACCGTAGCAACATCTGGCTTGTCGGTCAAAAAGTCTATCCATCCGAACGGCAGGTCATTATTCTACAGCCGTATCAGTGCAAGACGCTGCTGCACACAGAAGAGGGACACTTACTCCGACCCACGCAAAGGCGAGTTTATCAGCAATCTCTTGTGCCTTTTGGAGAAGTATGTCATCCTTATTGCCCCCTAGTTCATATACACTGAGCAACCCGCCGAGGTATCGAATCGTTGTCTCGAACACACTGCACAACTCTATAAGATAGAGCAATATGCTAACATTGGATGGAGATGAAACGTACCTAACGTGTGATGATGTCTTTGACTCGCTGAAATCAATCGTGCCGATGTAGTCTATGGCGTCATCAAGGAGATCCTGCGGCTTTATAAGAACAAGATAGTGGTACGTCGTGCCTGCATACGTCTAGTCCCATGATATGCTACGTCAACGAAAAATATTAGCCGAAGTGCGTGGAACGGTGCTGCGGCGCCTCACCATAGTCCCCAAAGCATCAACAATAGACGAACCCCAACCATTTCTCCCGTCACAGAACGATTTACTCTCTGGCGTCAAATCATCGTGTCCCCACGCATATTTCCTGATCAAAGACTTAGAATCGAGGCGAAAGATACGGAGTGTCACATACTTATATACGTCGTAACTCTTGACAAAAATGTCCTTCACCGCGTCCCTGGATGCTGCGGCGGTATCGGGCACTGTCAAGCCCACCTTCTGGACTGCCAGTACTGGCAGGTTCAAGGCAGTCGATGAAAGACACAACAGAGCGACTATGCACCGGCGCATGGTTGAGGATCGATAGGAAGGAAGGGAACCTGTGATATAACGTTATATAGTTGTTCCCTGTCAACCTATGTCAAATTCGGCGGAAGCTTTCTGACGGTGATGAAATGGCTACCTCCGGAACAAGCGTCGCGTCGAGAAGAAAGGTTCGTGATACATGGATATCGAGAGGGTGCTACGAGGTTCCATGATGCGCTTCGTGGTACACACAGTAGAAAGAGAATACGGGTGAACTCCGCTATAGAGTCAGCCATACTGGAGACTCGTTGACGTGTGACTCTGCTATCTGCTATCAGCAAAGGTAATAGGATGGCCAATAGGCTCACCTCAATAACTAGGAATGCTCTCAGTGTCCATGTTTTACTTTCCACTGAAACCGAGCTATCCGAGATTCAGCAGTTTGTCCGATAGAGAAGAGACGCAACTCACGCAGTCATCGTATCCAGTATGAAAGCATACGCTGGCGAGCTCCGCCTTGAGAACGGCAATTGGAAGACTTCGTTCGGTGTTGCGATGGGAGTAGCATATATGCAGTACCTTTTGTGTAATTCTAGGCCGAATGTCATTAGACTAACTTCGAGGTGTAGGTACAGAACACCTACCTTCAATGAAGTGCCGCGACCTGCTATCCAACGTAAAATATCGCAACCCATCGCTAGAAAACGCGATAAAGGCCCCGGTAAGTCCCGGCACCGTTCTCCGCCCTCTGTTCTATTCGTCCTGGGAACATCGTTTCGTGGTCATCTCAGCATTCATGAACATGTCCACAGTTCGAAGGCGAGTATGGAGTTATCCACAGGAAGGAGGATGAGTACAGACGCCAGCCGCAGGATGGGATCAGTGGAAGAAAGAAAGTGTCGGCGACCTCAGGTCCTAACTCCAACAAACAACGCGCCACCACGCGGTCAGGTGACAAGGCGACCAGATCTCTCCGCAGACTTTTCTCTCCACCGAACGCGGAACGGATCTAATCGATCGTACGGTCCTAAAAATGAAACAGAATCCATATCTCAACCTACTTCGGCCGTTATGTACCGTATGGAGAACATGCTCCTGCGTCTTGGTCACGTTTCCATCGACGCCTTTACTATTCAAGTCATGGTGGCGACGGCACAACGTTTTTGGGTCGTCGCCCCCTTGGATTATATGGACTTGTACAAGCCAATCATGGATAGTAATCTCAGAGTGACTCTCGTCTGCGTGGCAAGTGACTTATGGGCGCCTTTACAGCCAATGTTGACGTCGTTGAAATGTTTTGGAGTGCCAGCATTTCCGTCTATTCTGTGCGCCCCAATAATACAGAGAAATTGTTGAATCTATAACTTCTAGCTGTAGCGTAGAGAATTCAACGCCTAGCAGTATTGTGTTCAAAGTGGTGAATGTATATATACAAAGGACAGATAGCCGACGGATTGCAACGGAGAGCGACGAGTGGAAGAGAATGTTGACTGTTTGGCTTTGTGGATGAAGAAAAACGCCCAACACGAGAGACAATTCGCTCAATGGAAGCTACCCATATGCTTTTTCAGATTGTCTTTCCTGCCGAAAGACTTCTTGCAGTCTTCGTGTGGACATTTAGGAGCTAGGGAACTACGAGCACTGGAGCCGAAGAGATAAAAGGTCAAGCGCACGCTTCTCGTCTAAATGCAGACTCTTCACATGTCTCTTCAGATGAGTGCATCGAATGAAGCACTTTCCACATCCTTCATACGTGCAAATGTATTGCCTCTCGTTCTTGTTCCGAGCGCCTTCTTCATGCTGAAAGGAATCCATGGAAGCACCGTGTGAGACTCGGCTTCAGCCTGATCGTCTTGATTGAACTCCAGAGCAACAGGAACTTTCCTTCCATGACTTTTCTTACTGCAACAAACTGCAGGTCGTCGCCACTGACGTCCTTCTCACCAAAGTACTTCATCGTCCTGGTCCACCGAGTTCTCTTTTTGGGACTCGAGGGCCCTCGACTAGGGTGGTAAACCGTATCAGAATCTCGTTCGTTGTCTTCGTTATAGGATCATTCGGATGCCGACCGTAGTGAATTGCCCAAAGACTGCGTGCACAAGTCAGAAGCTGAGGATACCCTGCAATTCAGACTGTAGCCATTTACGCTTGTTCCTAGATGGCGAGGGGTCCTGATCAGGGGGCTGTTCTTTCGGCTCAGTAAAAGGCGATGCTCCAGAAAGGACGAAGATGATGTGGGATACAATATATGATCGGAGTCCGGCTCCAGTTCCGTGGATGGTGTTGCGGGAGAATCCAAGGGAAGGTCCGAGAGAAATGGTGAAGTGTGGCTAGAAATAAAGGGCGATTCAGCCGTTGATGGGATGTAAGAGCCATGTGCTTCTGAGAAGTGGTCTTCCAACGGCGTCGGCGTGAAAGGAGCTGCATTATGCACGGAATCAAAGTCGGAACTCTGAGAAAACGAAGGAACCGAACGTTCGGTAGGACACTCTATCTCATATGAATCCCCAGGATACGAAGATGGGATGTCCTCCATCTGCAGAGGCTGGAAGTCAACATACCGGTAGGCGTCCATCTCCAGAGCGATGGTAGTGGTTAATGCTGGAGATGACTCGAGGGAAGTTCCCACCCCTTTTAAACGAGAAATCCACAAAAAATAGGTGATCCTCGACCATGTCTTATTTTCGGTGAATATTTGCCGCAGATCTCATATGGAAATCCAGGAAAATATCCGAAAAAGACCAGGGCGGACAAGACATGCTTTCTTATCCCTTCTGTCTCTCTGCACTGGATATTTGAAAGAGTTTTCAAGCATAACGATGACACCTTTTTGTATAAATAATAAATTACATCACGAATAATCCTTTCATTTTTAATATATGCATGTAAGTATGCTCTGTGGACGTGCACGAGCACCACATATGCTGCAAGATCCACAAAAAGTGAAATATATCAAGGTATCCTTGAAATGCCAAAGCCAGTGTCACTAGGTGGTAGCAGCGAAACTACAGAATGAGACCGACTCTGCACTTGGCTCTGGGCCTGCATCCCTTCCTTCCTGGTACTCACCAGTGGGGCTTTTCCAGCATCTGGTGAAAGAAGGTATTCAGCGCACGGCAGGTATTAAGATTGTAACCGAGATGGGACGATCAAGTGGAACTGACATCTACCCACCTATATAAATTCAGGATGTTACGGTAAATGACACATATCGACTACCCTGCTCCTCGGAACTGCTCCTATGGCATCTCAACATTCCCTGACACATTCACACATTATGGATGCCACCGCACTTGGCAACATGCCACCCTGGCTATACAACTGCCATTCCTGCAGAATTTCGTACTTTCACTCCAACCCAATCATAGTCTGTGAGTGTGGTGCATTCTGGTGCAGCCAAGTATGCCTAGAATCCGTATGTTGCATCCAATATTTTCCTGCCAGCTAACTACTGAAACTCACAAACCCAGTCCTTTACAGTCCATTCCACACAGGCTCCACATCGACAGCACCGATACACAGATAATTATCCAAGGATCAACGAAGGAAAAATATATCGCCATCCAGCACAGAGCACTATTCTAGGTTTCTTATTTCAGCCAAATAGTATGTCTTCACCTCGTTCCCATTTTCACAGACTGAAAATAGAGGCATAAGTGTCAGAGCCTACACGAGTTCGTCTCCCATTCATATTCTGGGACAGAAACGATGGCACCACAGTGGACTGTATACCGCTGCTGTCCAACTACTTTCGTCAGGATGAGCTCACCTGTCGAAGGGTCCGGTTGGAATTGGGCGATCCGCCAATTCAGATTTGGTACTGCAGGAATCGACTGCAGCCAGGTGTCAATGTCCCCAATGCCATTAATGGCAGCATCGCCAGTCTCATTGGTTCTCAGGCACAAGAGATGTTATGGTACGGCCCAGTCATTGCTCTAATTCTCGATGATGAAGGGGGTCGGATGCGGTATAGAAATGCTGAAGAACATCATTTGGATGTTGTCGCAAGGTTGTTCCAGAGTTTTCTCAGTCCCCATTTTTCATTTCTTTGAGTGCGATACTATTTACTATTCAAGAGCTAGTCGCTAGTAACATTTTCATTAATGGACATGGATTCTTTTTAATGCATTCTGTGTGACATGAATCTGAGGAGGTGCTCATGCTGCATTCATTGTCTGACATGCTGTCAGGATGAACGAACCCATGTCCAAGGAAGGGACATTGTGAATGTGCCTTAGAATCATGCGATAGACACCGTGACGTCTTGGCGTCTTGGCACCGTCTTGGCACAGCCCAGTTCCTTCGAGATTCCCGCTTGTTCGTAGCAATAACCAAGACTATTACTAGCCGTTCCTGATTCCCTCTCTCAGACCTAGTGATACAGTTCCAGCATTTTCTATAATTAATATTCAACTTTCAATGAGTGCTCGGGGCTCTGCACTTAACGGTAAACACAGCCCGGCGATCCTAATTCTGGGAACGGATGAAAATTTGATATTCGCTTCGAGCCTCTTGATGATGAACTACCACCATCACTACTGCTGATGACGATAACAACTCCCTTCTGGATATTTCTAGGATCAGCGCGATACCCAGTGGCGATTTTATTTCATGTGTTACATGCCATCACTCTCTATCACTGCCACTGACGACGACGACCACGAAGACAATTCCGCCCTGGATATATGGCAACTTATTTCGTGGTTTTCCGCCGCGGTTCTTCGACTATTCAACATTCATTCACCGCGACGTTTACTGCTATGAATTCGGACAGACTACCGATATCGCCATCTACCACGAAACGTTGCGTTCCTTCTCAGCTTATGCTCCGCCGATGTTCCCGAACGTGTCTGTTGGGCAGTATGTCAGAGACACGGGCGGTGTGGGTCGCGTGATCATCCCATGGGACGTGTGGAGCAAGGGTAAGGTTGAGGCGTTTACTGTATCCTCGGGCGAGTCGATGGTGGATGGATCTTGGTCTGCCATTGTCGAAAGACCGTCGCTTGACGATCCATGACTTTGGTATCTGGTGGGGTGTGGGACCGAAGCCTACTGGTAGCGGAGGCAAGAGAGTCCTCAATAGATCTGTCGGTTATAATGAGCCCATCGTACAATTTAGGGAGAATCGCGGGTTGGATAGTCATTCTTCCTTTTCCCCCACTTATAAGTCATGACAGACAAATAGGTATGATGACTGCTTCTCATCAATCGATGTATACCACGTGAGAGATTTGAAAGAGAAAGAGAATAGGTATGGTATGGCGCAGACTTTCTACAATATACTGATGCTCCTGTCGAGAAGTAACCCTACTAATCACGATAATATCACATCAAAGGAATCCAAGATAGCAACCATGCCATGACCTGCCCGTTGATTACACACCAGACGGAGTCTTGCCATGTGGGTGGAACTTCGGAACAAGAAGAATGGAACCAGGAAATGTATATCATAGGGCGCTGAAATTAAGTTCTGTTGCGGGAAAATCTATTGTATGGTTGACATGGACGTCGCAACAGCCGCATGTATAGTTTCTGAAGACTCGTCCTTGTTGCCGGAGACAAATATAGAATGGACCGTCGCACGCAGCTGAAAAGGGATTTGGATCCTTGTAAGTAGCTTCCGCATCAGACCTCCAAGCCCGATCAAGAGTTGGGCGAAAGATATTCTGTCTGTCACCTGATTATTCATTGAGCCAGAAAGACATTGATATGGCACGGCAACAGCAAGAGGGATATGAAACACCGCAGAGCTATTCGAAATAAACAGAAGAAATGGAACGCACTACGGTATATTCCATCCGTGAATTCGTGTGAGTCCACCAACATTTAATGACGAACCAGCCATCTCTTCATGCATGCTTCCTGTCATCATGGCTCCGCACCCCGTCAAGACCAGAAAGTTGTGTATGAACATAAATGCGCGGATTTCCACGAATCGATCTTTGCCTTTCGAATTGGTAGGGGGATTATGCTAACAACTTACGTACATGCACTACCAAGAGCAGCCAACCCCCAGTGACGAGAAGACGCAGGCCTGCAGCAAATCTCTTGACAAAATATGAATGAAAGGTTCAGACCATTCACAGTATTTCACAGAGCGTTCCTTCGCATGCGACAGGCTTAGCATCGGTACTAACTTGTAGTTCTAATTCGAGGAGAAATTTTATTCCGGCTAAACGGATGCATACATTGTGCCATGTATAAGAGAGACGAGTTAAGACGCGATTGTTCTAAGGTCCAGGCATCCCTGTATATGAGGGCAAGGATGGCATGTAGATGCTATTACGCCCATAACTCCGAATTGGAGAAAATTCTGCATGTCTGCAACAGTTTCTAAGTCAATGTGAATCATGAATATCCGTGACATGCATTAGAAAGCGACGTTCATCTCTGTATTTTCTCAAACTGCCTTCGCAGATCTCCCTCCCATCCGGGACAAGTTCTAAGATCTGTTGGGAAAATATGCGCCTCCTGCAATTCGAGGCTGGGCCTGTGCAAGTACCAGTGTAAATCGAGACTCTTTTCGTTCGTAGCAGCACGTGAAAGGAGATTATGATTCCTATTATTACTTTCCAGATCCAGGTCTGATTACTTTTGCTAACGCGGAGAGGCAGAAGATCTACTTGCGACAACTCAATCATGTTTTGGATTCCCTTATATATCGCGCATCATCGGTCAACTCTGATGCACTCCCAGTACATCCCCAGAAGTGGCGCAATCTTTTGGGTCTCATGTAAAAGAGGGATACATCATAAACTTCAAATCCAGGTTTTGCAGAGGCGGAAGATTTACTCAGCTCCTGCCTACGAGCTCGGACCGTCGCTATAAATTTGATCCCACCAACTCCACAGAACGATGAGCCATTTGATTGTCGGCGGGGTCGGGAACTGGTATGGCACCTTTCCGAGCTTAACTTCCGTGGACAGCTCTTAGTGCTTGACAGGCGACATGCTCAAGCACCGCTTCTAAAAGGCGATGAAGACATCACTGCCATGACCACTAGTTTTCGGATGGAGCGTGAGCAAGCGGTCCTCAGAGTCTTTCCAGAACAATCGCTGACATTCATAGATGTTACTGTTGTTAGTGAGGGATTGTCCTCCCATGATTGGGAGGTACGCTCAATTCATCTTGAAGCACTGCAGGATGTCATGCAAAAGTGGAATGTACCCTTGCCAGGAAGTTGTTTTGGACTTCTGGTTGGAACCGAATGGAATGAAGTAGGATGCAAGAAGATTCTAGCTGCCCATTATGCACAAACTTTCTATGCATCCGAACTGGATCCACCACCTGTCCTGTTCTCGCCTTATCTTACATTAGATGAGCTACAGCATCAGGAAAGCGAGGCTTATTATCCAGACGGAGGATTGTGAAGCTGGTCCGCTATAGAAACTTCGCGCAATCAAACATCGCGACGGCCTAAATCACGCGTGCGGAACAAAGGCTGCTTGGGGCGCCAGAACACGCAATCGATGCGGAAAGGTTGAAGAAAAGTGTTGCCGGCTGAACGGACCGTGTGCTGGCTCGGACAATATCCATGCCGCCACGTTGGTCTGCGGCAGCTGTAGGCCCCCATGACAGAAATTACTTACTGATCGCCGAAACGACATGCTTTTATAAGGAAAAAGATACAATAAAATCGCGCATTTATTCAGATACTACAAAATGCATCGAGCGTAATTCGAGCCAGCTTTATGAGAAACATCCAAGCTCCCCTTCTAACAGAATGTGACCTGGACCTTCGTCGCCTCTGCCACCAACTTGTCGTTCAAATCATTCGCACACGTCTTGTAAAAGGCCTGCACAGAGTCACAGTGACTTTTATACCGTTCGTGAAATATCAATCAAATAAACATACCGGTGTAGCAGCAATGAGATTATTCATAAGTTCACAGTTATCAGCGGCGAGGTCGTTAACGATGATGCAAACAATGGAAACGACACAGATGGTATTGAAGTCATCCTTGAGGGCGACGATACCCTCCAAGATCGAAAGGAGCGAGGGCAAAGTTCGTGAGAGTGGTGCACACCGCCTCTCCGTCACATTTTTCTGGATAGACATTTGTCAGGAAAGTATATACTAGTGACAGTTAAAAAAACGGCGTACCGGGACAAATGGAATGGCATCCGAGTCTAAAGTCTTTGCGGCATTGCCGACAGCCTGATCCGCACCATTAGCAAAAGCGGCGAGAAGAAAGGTGCCGGAAAACTGACCGTAGCATGAGTAAGGTCGACGCTTTCTGAGAAGGCCTTGCAGGATTCTTGGATTGCGAGGACGGTCTTGGCCATGCCATCGAAAGCGGCTTCGAGCGCGGTGACATCGCTGCGAGCCACGAGAGGGCTAGCGACGGCAAGGACGACAGGGAGAAGAAGTGCGATAATGCCGGAGAACATATTGAGCTTTGGTTAGTACGACTACGGTGTGTGTAGTTGTTGGAGGATTGAGACTCAAGTTTAAGGCATTTTATACCATTCAGCGAGAAGTTTTCCTAGGAGAGAAGCGTTTCAGAAGAGTCTAGCAGCGAGAATTCACGCACGCAAGGAGGATTCATGTACCGAAAGAGAAGGTGCAAACGGTGGTCACGGCTCTATTAGAAGTCTACCTCTCAGACTGGACTGAATGGTGGTACCGATGCTGATTCTCCGACATGCCGGCGTAGTCAAGAGAATACATCACAAGATCATAGGACGATCTCTCAGCAGACAAAATCCGTTCGATTCGGGTCACTAAGGGGTGCTTCCCGTGACCACCAACCATTGACGGTATAATGGAAAGGACGAAGAATATCCATATGTATGGACTGCCGTGTTTACTGATGACGTTCCGCAGCTGATCCGCCATCATGCGGTAGACGTCGTACAGCTTAGATTCCCGCCAATAGAAGACTAAATGACGCTCGTTGTCATTGCAAAGCGTGAAAATACAGAAAGGTAACTCCTCATCCTTCTATATGGTGTCTACACTTGTCCAGCATTTGGATCGAGGAGATAGATCTTCGTCGTTGTTCTGAGAACCGCCATTTCATTAAGTCTTCAGCTTTCCAAAAGGAATTACAGCATGATAAAAAGTCCGGTTTCACTAAGAAAGGATCACGAAAGGACATAATGGGTAAAAGAAGACGAACAGCATGACTGTCGTTCAAGACGACCTCAGCAGGTGTGGAGGATCGTACTGCTTGGCGGTTGGGCAATCACAGGCCTGTACGCACGTGCGGTTACGACGCATGGGTTGGTGAAGAATCCAGTACTTGGCTCTGCGAATTGAGCGTAAAGGAGTTGTTGAGTCCTATAATAGCCTCTCCCCCCCCCAAAAAAAAGACTGACTGCTATCCTTGAGAAGCAATTTCTAATGAGTAGAAAGCAGCTATTATTGAAGTACATTCAGTTGAGGTAGGCCGCGATGGCAGGAGGGCTGGTCGACTTTGAACCACGGAGATACACCCAAAGAAACATTGTCACATATGGAGGAAAACAACGCATAATGTGTTTCACTCCGACGACATAGCCAGTCGAACGCGGCCCGGTCGGAAGGAAAGCCGAATTCGGAGGTTCCCGGAAACAACCACGTTTCCGGACATAGACTTCACTCCAGACCGCCATATTCAGGATTACTTTCCCGGCTCTGTCTCCTCCGCAGTTATTCTCTCGTCGTTTAACTATGACATATGGCCGAAAGTATCCAAATTTGTCCCATGGAAGAATTATCTTTCTTTTAAGAACTGCTACTCTCATACTAATAGTGAATCGTGACATATCGTCTGCTCTTCTTAGGCGACAATGGAGACCGAAATGCGAGATTTGGCTGGAAAAGTAATCCATATAAAATGATTTGTAAACATCAACTACAACCCGGTCCCGAACCCTAGAATGGGCCGCAGCATCTTGACCGAGTTTTCTTTTGGGTATTCTCGTTCCTCGACGGCAACTAATTTGAACATGCGTCACGGTATCTTTGCATATCGCTAAGTAGTGCGTGTACCTTACTCTTTATCATAAAATACAGTTCTCATTTTGTTTAGGTAAGACTGAGGGCCGAGGCAATGCCTCTGCTCACCCTCGATTCGAGTTGAATGGCCATTGCCCGGACTTCCGTGGGAAAGAGATGCACCGTTCTTGTATGTACTCGTCATTTTTCCACATGAGCCAGCCCTTACTTCGGGGGAATGATGCCCTCGGCACAGGTATAATGACCAGCAATTTCCCCGAGTCGCCTAAACAAATCCATGGTGACTTTCACCCATCATTCCTATCTCAATGCTATTTTGTTCATCCGATTTCCTCGCATACGTCAGGATATTTTATTACGGCGATAGCGAGTCCATGTCAGCCATTCGGACCCTTGACCCTTTGAAAACCTTTACCTGTGGAGTCTTTATCCGTCGTTCTTCCTTGGGCGTTGACCCTGACAGAGCGTCAGTTTAGATTACACCTCTTCATAAAAATTAGCCCTGATTCGAAGTCTCCTTAATCTCACACTCTCCGCATTTCGAGCGTCGGTTATCATCTTATTTAATGAGCAAACGGGTTTTAATGTAAGTACTAGCGACTGGTTACTTCTTCCTGTGAAATATCAATTTAATGGAAATTCAACCGTCCAGCCTTAAGCGCTTTCGTACGTTATGCCGGCAATTAACCTGCTTTGCTACCATATGATTTGTCGCTAAGCTCCCGCTTTTTTCTCAGCGCCCTGTGGTCACCGCATTACTGGACATAGGTCGCCTTCAGTCGTGACCGCTGACTCTGCACCAACGTCGTTGGGATTGAATTACTTGATGTACAGATATAGCTGCACCACAAAATCTTGTACAATCAACATTGATTACCCATAACCAGATCATTTTCATATCGTCATTGGAGGCGCAAGCCGCCCTTAGCCACCCCCGCGTCAACGCCGCCGTCACAACACGCGGTCGGTAAAATGCATGTTTTGTAAAATTTTTCGTTTGAAGAGGCGGTGCTCTCGGCGGATAATTGTACCGTGCATAAAAGGGCTGAAGTTTGGACCTATGATTCCCGTCGCTCCCCTCATCGACCTCTGCAGCCAATAATGCGTCTTCTTGTTCACATACTTGCATTCGTTGCTGTTGTTCTCGCCGCCAATGGAGGGGGCCCTCAACCATCCTCCCCAGCATGGACAGGATATCTGTGCCCCGACACTGATAATAATGGGCATGCCAAGGTCAGCTGGGGCAGCGACTCTCCACCATACCCGGGTTCGACATTTGGCTGCACGCAAGTTTCAATGAAATTTTCTTCTGTTTCTTTATTGAAAACCATCCTTGTAGGTACCGAACGGGCTCTGGCGTCGGGACGTACCCATGTCAGTACTATGTCGTAAGTATCCCCAAGTGTTTTGAACATTTCTTTGGGCCATCGGGCTGATGTTCCTCAGCAAAACGGTCGAGGGCCTTCGAGCCAAGACTCGCGGTGTCGATCAGGTGCGACGTACTACAACGGCAGGAAGAAGAGGTCGCCATCAGCGGCGGCTCCTGCTCCGGGAGATTCTTATGCTAAGCGCAATATTATCCGCGGATCGGTGAGTCACGTACTTTATGTTCGATCGAGGGACTAATTGGTTTCACTAGCGAGAAGCCGCAGAGTTGGTTTAATAGATTCGCAGTATTTTCCGCTGTTAAGGTGGACCCGCTCCGACTCTTGGTTCCTAATTTCTTGCTAGTAGATTTATTCGCTGTCATTACATACCTATCAATTCTCCGAGTCCATTAGATATTTATATGCACATATATTGCTTCAGAGAGTGAACGTACGGTGGCGCGCGCTTTCCAAAATTCCTAAAACGCGTCCAGATTGCACGCGTCGTGATCACGACGTGCATTCTTGAGGGCATGACCTCAATCGTGACATGGACCGGCCCGGGACCGCTTGTCAACAACATTCCCTGGAGATGGCCAATCAATCCAGTGTTCTAGTCTCCCAGCCTGGCCATCTTGCGCAGTACTTCATTTCCTAATTTATTCTTGTCGAAGAAATTAGTTTGCAATCCTACGGGCCACAGGCCACAACGGGGAGATAGCCTTTCCTTCGCCCCTTACCGCGGAACATATACGGGTTGCTATTGGCTTCTTCTCAGTGTCTACTTATCAACTGATATTTAGAATATTTCTTCTCGGAAATGGGTTCTTCCTTTCTACTTGTAACAACATAATCCGCTTCCCAAAGGCTTTTGTTCAACACTGATATTATTATCCAAGAGATTGTAGGGTCTGAATGTTGAGCTTACCGGCCTTTCTGTCCATCTTGATATAAAGGTAAATTTTGGTCAATCTCTTGTAGAGCTGTACTCAATGATTGTCCAGAGTACATGTGAATCCAAGGGTAGTGAGCATGCGCGAGCTCAGTGTGCCGCGTTATTGTCACTAGCATCCACCGCCGAAGCGAGAAAGACGAGTAGTAGATGAATTGGTGACGAGTAGTAGAGAAATCGCTACGAGTAATAGAGAAAGTCTGTGGTAGTAATACATATGAATTAGAGAGAGATGTAACACAAGAAAGGTGATATACAGGGAGAGGTGGGAGGGTTACCTCCGCCGGGCTTTCATTTCGTTCCCAGCCAGGTGCCATAGCCTTGGCAGATGCCGCGCTCGGGATGACGTCGAAATGGGAGCTTGGTGAGTCATCTTCGCCTCCATCACCGTCATCACCGCGGTCGTCTCGTCGTCGTCGTCCCAAAAAATCACATCGTACCTTTATTTCATCATTTCATTGAGTTTTTCGTTCGGCAGGTGACGTTGCAGCCGATGGTCGGACTCCGCTCGATGTACCACTGGTGTTCTTCTCTAACAAGGCTATAGCTCGAATAGAAAAGGAAGATTTCCTTCGACTGCTGACGGGGCGTCGTAGACTTTACTGCTTCTCACAAAACAATATGACGTTACTGGCTCCAAGAAAGACCATATGACTGTGAGAAGAATTCATTAATAAGTGCTCAGTCATCTGCCCAAAGGACGTCATCTTTCGCATTTCTGCTGACTACAATTAATCAGCGTCTCGACATTTAAAGTGGCTTCAGTATAGTGACACTCCATAAACCATGTCCCGTAAACTCATCGTTGTGTTTGGCGCTACAGGACAGCAAGGCGGCTCTGTCGTCGCTTCGTTTCTCAAAAACAAAGATTACATCGTTCGAGCCGTAACTCGGAAGCCAGATAGTGACAAGGCTAAGGCGCTTGCTGCTAGTGGCGCTGAAGTCGTCGCGGCAGATCTCAACAACTACCAGAGCATCGCCAAGGCATTCCAGGTCCGTTAACTGTAGCTGTCCAAACGAATAAATGCTAAGTTTTTCTCAGGGTGCGTCTGCAGCCTTTGGTGTAACAGACTTCTGGGCTCTTCTACAGACCGTTGGACCTGACGGAGCCTTCGAGGGAGAAATCCAGCAGGGCAAGAACCTCGCCAATGCCGCAGCATCCACTCCCACACTCGAGCACTACGTCTGGAGTTCTTTGCCCTCTGCCTCCACCAATAGCAAAGGCGCTCTTTCTGTTCCTCATATTGATAGTAAAGCCCTCATTGACGAATACATCTTCTCCTCCCTCCCCGCTCTCGCGAAGAAGACGACTTTCTTCTGGGCTGGATTCTATGCCACGAACCTGGCGACTCTTTTGCGTCCAGTCAAGCTGGAGTCGGGGAAGTACGCGTGGGTTCAGCCGTGTGCACCCAGTGCGGCCACACCTATAATAGGACAGACGGACGCGGATGTAGGCGTTTTTGTCAGTGCGATCCTGGCGAAGCCGGAGATCACTCTCCCTTCGAAGTATGTTCTTGGCTCGGTTGAGACTTTGACGATGGGCGAAATCCTGAAGTTATGGGGAGAGGTCAACGGCGTCGAGACCGTGTTTGTCCAGAAGGATACAGAAGAGTACATCGCTTCATTTTTCGCTGGTCCAGTAATTGGGAAAGAGCTGGTGTTAAATATGAAATTCGTCGAACTTGTCAATGGTTGGTCAAAGAGCGGTGTAAAGATTTTGACGAAGGAAGACCTTGGGATCCAGGATGCGGAATTGGTCAGTACGAAGCAGAGTTTTGAGAGGATGGATTGGAGCTCCATTGTAAAGGCATAGTCGTGTATGAACATGTATCAATTGAATTTATATAAAGTCATGTCGTCCTTTGAAGGTATGCTTTCAATGCGATCAAGAGCAACAAAGCTCTTGATTCTGCCTCTTCGGATTTCGGTAACAGTAGTAATACTCATGCATAGTGTAGACGATATTCACATTGAAAGGTAGATATTTTTACTAAAAAAAAATCCTCGGATCCAGCCGGAGAATCGACCTGTCACAATAACTTCCAGGCCTTTATTTGTCGTAGCTTTCACGTACTCTATCGACTTGCTCCTGAAACGTGATTATGTAACCACGACAAACGTCCGAAGGCGTCTCACCGGTGCGTGCCACCGTGCTTGAATCACCTGCACCACTCCAATGTAGTACTCGACATTTCTATGGCAGATCTCGATGTGCTCCAGGTTCGGTAGGAAATCTGGAGATGTAGACCACTCATTCTCACTATTAATATATCTGACCGACAGCTTACGAAGCGATGGCTGAGATATCAGCAGGTCCAGGAGCTGGTTATCATTAGATGCGGTAACTGACATAGTCTTCAAAGAGCAGTGTGACTGCGATAGGAAAGCAGAGGCAATTTCTATGCCGCCCGGATCCACATACCTACTACCCCACAGTTGAAAGTCTTCTAATGTAGGTAAGAAGAGCAACGGGATAACTCTACTCCAAATACTGAAAGGCACAGAACAGTGGGAAGTATGATTGTCGATGGAGTTGTATCAGACAAAAACCTTTCAGCCGTAAAAAGGAGCTCGGTGAGGCTTGGATACGATAGCAACATCGGAAAATCTTTCAGAGAGGTCGAGAAGCGCGAGAAGTGTGATATGAGAGGGAAGCAGGAGCGAATGGAGCGACACTCCTCACCCAATCGTACTTTCCTAAGCAAGGGGGCGTCGAAGACTCCCACACCACCCAAAACATTACTGAAATATTAGATGTTCGCAGTGCTGGGAACAACGATGGAAAGCTCGTACACTGCAAGTGGTAGTGGCCCAAAATTTGTAGCTTCCACCATCTGTGACTGACGTTCAAAACGCGAGAAATGGCGTCCACTTTGTGCTTATCGCTGGAATAAAGGTCCAGGCATACTTTCAACGGAACGTTTCCCGACCGCTGGAGGTGAACCTTGACAAGTTCCAAAGAATCATGCTTGACAGAAGCCAGGGGTACTTTCTGGCGCTGGCGAAACTAGAGTATAAGGGCACCCCATGACAAAGAGAGAAGATCTCTAGGAGGACATCTCGCGGGAGACGTCGAATAGGAGCGGAAATGGATTCAAATCGCTGTATGGCTGTGACCGCAATGTCGATATCGGATCTAATGAGAGTAGCGAGGACTCCAAGTGCGAAAGGCTTCGAAAGATAATAAGCTGGTTTTCTGTCTTTCCTTTTCTTCCGTTAAGCAGAACCCTGCTGTGGCAGTAGCGATGGAGGAGGCCCAGATACCAGTTTCAAAACTCCTCTTTGTACTAATCGAGGCATATGCTGGGTTACAGCATCGACCACCTCTGCATGCCGTACAGAGTCATTAAGCAGTCCTTTGTGGTGGATAATAATATGCACGACATCCACCTTGTAATTTGGTGAGGAAAGCTAATCATCTAGGCGAGCCCATTGTTCCAGCGCTTCATCCACAACGACCCACGCAACCGATTGAAATGCGGTACCAATGACAAGTTCCCTTAATTGGTAGCACTTGGAGCACAGAAGACTGTCAACGCACCACCGCAGAACTGAACTCTGCTGAAAGGCGAGAGTTCGAAACGGAGCAGGGATGATGCCAAATGAGAGTTGGTGGAGGAGGGGATATAGAATATGAAAGATGGCCGTGCTGGCATAATGAAATTGCTCCTCATGGTCCGAAGCGCTTGAAGGTTTGACGATAAAATCAGGTCACGTAAAAGGATGGCATAACTGTCCATGCTGTCTTCCCGGATCCTCGAAATGTTGAACTTGGCGACTACGAGAGCGCGTAGATTGAAAGAAGATGATGGGGATAGAAGGATAGCACGGACCGACTTTGTTACATCGCCATACTCCAAGCATCGAATGACCAGTGATCGAAGCGCTACAGGTTTTTTGTGAGATTGCAGTCGTGCTAGATCTACTTGTTCTTCTGCATTTTCGACATAGGACGTGCCGAAGATATAAAGATTAACATGCGCGCGAGTGGTGAAGCTCAGAAAGAAAGAGAAGAAGGAATCGATTGAATGGATATGGATGCTGTCCAATGATATTCCGGTGAGACGATAACTGGAAATCGTGTCGAGCCACTCCTGGGCCAACATGTCCCATGAAATGTTAAAAAAACAAATGGTGTCAATATTGGTAGTAAACTGCAAGATGGAAGATATCCAACTGTCAATTACAAATGCACAGAGGGACCGTAGGTATACAGTACGTGTTGCAGCTGGGATAATGGGAGACGCGAGATACATGTCGTGATAACACTTTATCTTGTCCGTGGTGTCCAATCTGATCTCTCTGAACATATGAAATGTTGTCTGAGGAAGAATCGGGTCCCATCTATGCAGAACAAAAGTTAGCCATAGTCAGGGTGAAATTTTCACAGAGCTGACGCTACATTCAATATTGAGAGCGAGTGTAACTTGGGATGATGGTAGCTCTAGAGTGAGAGGTGTGGTTGCGCTGCCGAGTGGCGAAGGGGAGATCTGGCGCGGCATAAATTAAAGGGGCAACATTCTGGTCCCTGGACTGGCCCCATGCAATTTAACGGGCAGCCATTCAATTAGAGGTGATCAATTGCGGGGTGGAATGGTGATTTCGAAGGCAACAGACAGAGCTGCAGCTGCGATAATAAGAGATGCGAGGCAAATGTCATTGTACTGATATGTCCCAGGAGCCTCCACTAAAGCCAGATCACCTAAACAGATGTTAATTGGCTTCCGAAAAGTACAGCTTTCCACGTTGACTTAGCAGAACAAATGCCATAATACGACATCGCTAATCAATTTAAACACAACGGTCTTGTACCTATAAAACCCAAAAAGTCCTGGCATATTCGCCGTCAACAGATCAATCACGGTTCCAGAATCTGCATCCTCAATCCGCTCTACCCTGAAAAGAATGCCTACTTCCTGCACCTTGTACGGAGGCGACGATATCTTTCTATCCAGGCAACGCCACTGAGTGAAGGCGTCGTCACTTATGAGCCAGCGGTGTCCTTTAGCAATCACAGTAATGCAAAGCATTGACAGGGAGTAGTATTTCGAGTGCACCACGATGTCAATCCACCACTGTAAAACTGGGATGGGCGGGAAGCCAAGGATCTCTTCAGATGTATCATTGGGAAGAACTCCGACTGTGCATAGAGAGGGAAAGTATATTAGATAAGGCGGGGGTGCTTGAAGGAATTATTTCGCCATGACGATTTGCGCAAGCCATCGCGAAATCCGATGCTGCGACTACATCTCCCAAGAAGCAGATGCCATCTTCGGGGTGTCAGAGCTTAGCCTGGGTATTGACGGAGTACTACCTCAGTTTCGGTACCACCAAGGAAGTCGAATAGAGATGACGGAGAGAAAATGATTATGCGTTCTATATCTTGAGAATTTCGAAAACGAGCAACGGATAGGGACTTGACGAGGATCCATTTTTCAGGGATTGCCGTAACCTCTTCGGCGCCGCCATGCTCATAATCGGAATAGCCAACAGCAGGCATTCATAAAGACCAGGCTGACCAAGATTACATGTGGGGCTGTGTCTAAGGAAGGAATAGTATGATGAATTCGAGGAAACGGTGACATTTCTGAGAAATATATTCTTCAGACGATATCGTGACGACACGCCCAATAACTCCGGGGATAACTCTTCCCACGACGCATTTCAAAGAATATGGTTTCGATATTGGTCATTATTTTCAGGATTGATATTAAAATGGAATCGTCAAAGGTACCGTTTGTAACAAACCTTTGGCTGTTGAGAACAAGCATTCTTGCCGAAGATGATATGATGGGGGGTTTGAGACCCGTGTCGTGGTACTCAGGGATCCTTTCAGGTGTAGCAAAGTAGATAGCCTCAAACAGAAAGTATCGAGCTCGAGGGAGGGAACGGCGTGACACCAAGAAGCCTGAAACGAGGTCTTTGAATGCTTCACTAAGTGGCGATGCAAATCTGACAGCGTCAACGATTGCGTCAAAAAGTTCCTGTAGAGGTCGTGAATCCGCATCGCGTGCCATCTGCACGGTCTCGAGGTCAGTGCAAGATGTGTCCGTAGAATGAAAGCCCTACCTCGCTATGGTTCGTCCTTAAAGATACCTCAAGAACAATATAGAATAATAACCAACGATAGGGCAAGCAGGCGGTACCAGCGACACAAGTTCAACCGGAAGCAGAACGCTAAAGTATCTGTAAACGATGTCGGGATGAGATGAAATACGGAAGAAGTACCGGGGATTCAAACAATCTGATATTCCGGCATGCTGAGTAAGGAAAGAATCCGAGGGAAATTGAAGGAATTAAATAGAAATTACTAGAAAAGGTGTAGTCCAGTATAAATATGAGAAGTCAATGAGGAAACTCCTCAGAAGTTTGTAACCCAAAGACTAAAGGTCTTATAAGCATGTACTCCAAATCTCAACACTCAGAGGCAAGAACAAATTCACATTACTACATATAGCCAGTGCGAAAAAGTATAAAATTAGGCCCTCTTCGGCTGCGAGTGATGGAAAGATAGAATCGAGATGCTTTCTCCGTATCAGAATCAACGTGCCAACAAACTTGAGAGTGTACCAAGGCCGAATTTCCTTGGCATTAGAGATCCCCATATTCCAAAGCCTTCGGCACTAGGATGAAATCAAGACTACTTTCTCAAAAGTCGCCGTTCATTGATACCACTAAATTTACAACAAATTCAATCAATACTTCAAATGAATCAACTTCCGCGTGATTGTCCAAAAATTCGAAGCCACCCCCGGAATCAATAACTCAGAATGAAATATCCGATCCGGTAATCGTAAAGTTCTCACTCCAATTTCCCGAATCGCCGAATACTGGGGAACATGGTCAGTAATAATACAGAGACCATTCAAGGAATATAATACGCACGAACTAGAGAATAATCATCTCCTTCAACAACCCAAGGCACCGTTATCTCGAATCTGCCGAGTAGAATGTTAAATCCTTCCGCAAGAATCACTGCAGTTTTGTTCCTTAAATAAGCGCGCATCATATCGATGAAGGAAAGATAATGCACGAGGAGTAGCCATGTTATCCTTACGCAGCATTATGAGGCCTTTGGAGTTTGTGATGTTCACTGGCGCATTAGATGTATCCCTGTACATTCGAGTAAGCAAGGTTGTGCGAATCATTGCAGAGAACAATCCTGACCAGGTAACATTGTGACGCTCGTTGATCGTCCACACGGTGCCAGAATGCGGGTACAGGATAGGAGGCACGAAGACGTCTCGCTTGTCCAAGTTGACAGGGATTGCAAGTGCTACTGTAAAGAAGGAGACAACAGCAAGCAAGAGGGACGTGAATTTCATGATGAGCGTGAAGGAGCTGGGTATATCGATGGTCGACGGAGAGACGAATGTCCTCGTGCAGATACATGGTATATATACCCAAAGGTATGATGAGCCCGCGTGTGAATCCGGAACATGGATGCCACCCAGGCTCAGAACACTCGTGACGTCAGAATCATGAATTGTATGGACACAAAACAATGGTAGAAGAGATCATTGATGAAACTTGCCACATCATGAGAGGAGGCGAGCTGATACGGCAAGTAAATATGATCAACGTGCCTGTGCGTCCTTCAGCATCAGAACAACGAACCCTAGATATGAAGCCCAAGACAGAAATACCCACGATTTCACTAGTTACTCCGAGAGATTTCGGTTATAGAGTCCACGAGTCGACAAGTGCTAAATAGAAGAAGTTATTGAAAACCTGAGGAGTCTAAGAACGGTGTCCATTCTGCAACCATTTTGGCGCACTCGTGACGCAAAACATGCAACTTGGAGAGCAGACAGAAGACCATCAGGATGATGGCCTTCTACTTCGGCTTCGACGTCAGACGAACCTATGAGGAGAAAATGACGTAGGATCGGACGAAATGTAGACAAGGAGCTAAACACCATGCGCTATCTCTATTCGCCAAACAGAAGACGCTTATCCCCGTCAGGGTCAGGGATAAATACTCGGGAAATCCTTCCCAGACGAAGATACTCCAAAAGGACCGGACGCATTTTTTCCGGAGAAATATCTTCTTGCCTCGTGAAGGGCGTCGAAAAGCTGCACGGTAGGAAGCAGGTTGGGAAAGACGAGGCACGTGGGTAGACAAAGAACGAGCGCATGATGCCGCCCGGTCCGTATCTGATAACTTGGCTGTCAATGAGAGTGAAATTTTCGACAGCGGCATTTGGATGTGAATCCAGAAGACGACGACAATTTTTGGCGGAATTGATACCGCGTACTTGAATACTGTAGTACAAGTCATCTTCGGCAAACAGTATGCTAATGGCAAGGGCAAATTCAGCGGCAGTCGTAGAGAAGATAGTTGTTGCGACATGTTTCTTAATATCTGAGACCGATTTAGAATCTGATCTTTAAGTAAAAAGAAAGGAATGTTATTTACTGAAAGGATCAGGAATCATGAACTTTCAAAAAGCATTGTCCTTTGTCCTAAGGCTCCTGACAGGATCTCCCGGTTCGGGTATAAGGGTTTCCAGAGCGATGCCAAGACTATATCACAGAATTTATGGACGCTGTTTGTGGCCGGAAGTACCAAGCTGTGTCAGGTTGGTCTTATCAAAGCGTAGAGATGGCCTTACAAATATTTGACCAAGAACGGTACCGAAGCATGATAGCCCGATACCGACGAACCGCATGCGAAATGTGGATGCTGGGAGAGTAGGGTCGTCCTCTAGGGAGATAATGGTAGCAACGTCCATGTCCGTTACTGTAGAATCCAGTCAGCCCTGAAGCAGCGGCAACGACAGAGAAAGACGGATACAAATAGGACGTTCCTTCCCATCTTCAAACGCGCAAGTCATCGTAGACATCTCCTTGGAAAGAGACCTCTACAACAACCTCAGCCAAAGCCCTCTTCTCGTCGATGGGGGAGCCTTTATCTTCGGAGTGAAAGGATCGACTGGGCTGAGTACCAAGAGACTCCATGGGTGAACGAATGATATCGTCCTTCGATAGAGTATATATATGTGAGAATCAAATCGCTGGTCTCCATCATTGCTGCAATGGGAACGTATGTCTTGAAGTAAGCTCGACTATACATAGAACACTGAAAAGTGTCCTCTATTGCACTCCGTGTGGTAGGAAAAACTGCTGAAAACATTGGGGATACGACCTTCGCAGGAATTGTGTGAATCTCTCGTAGCGTGTGCACGAAAGCCCTATATAGCGGTATAGTTTAGAAAGGGGGGTAGGCTTTGCCATGTGGGCCTGACACATGCAGTCACGGGAATCTACAGTTATACATACGCGAAGCTGGGTGAAGATTTAGTCCTTTAGGTCCATTCAACTCTGCACAAAATAAACAAAATGACGACGGCGTCAATACAATAACAAAAACAGTCACGACCAAACTTTCGTCGGATGCATATCTCTGCGAATGATTTAGAAGATAGGCAACTATACGGATTGAGTCGCGACTGCAAATCTCTCGTCAACTATTTTCATTCCGGCTTTCGTATGGTTACGGTACGCCTAGTCCGAGGCGAAGACATGAAGATCTAAAACGCTTTGAAAATGAAACAGGGAAGACTTCTTGCGTAGATACCACAACGCTATATCGAAAAAGACGATAAATTCTCGCTTACTGAAGGATTTCAGTCAATATTAGACCGGATATTTGGTAATTCCGTGGCACGGCACGATGCAACTGTGACAGACTGTGATTCAGGTCACGGTCGTTGAAGCCAGAGCTAGCCATTTTGTGTCGCCGACAAAGCCATGTCCATCATTTCGAACGAGCACGCGATCTTCCAAGTTTCCGACTTTACTATTGTAAGGATGGTGCCTAACCTCTAGACAGTTTCTTGTCTGCGCCCGACCATTGCTACATGTCCTTCTTACCCGGGTCAGTGCCAGCGCTCATAATACAAACAGTGAAACTATCGTACTTCTCTATGATTTCCAGCAAGTATTTCAAATACTGGGACAGATATATGGTGATATATGGGGATCCACCGTGGTGAGCGGTAAGTCTGAAATTGGCCAAGAGCCGAGACTGCAAGCTAAGCGACATTCGCAGACTGTAAGCTCATTACCAGCGCATTGTTTCAAATTTTTGAAGTCACTGACTGCTTCGAATGTTAGGCCGACTGTAGTACTTCCGTAGAGGCCATGCACTATAAGCTTTCTGTGTTTTCATGGCTGATCCTAGTCAAAAATGACAATCTTTCAGCTCGAAGCCCGTCCTCAAAGTTTGCGTTTTGGCTATACGTTGTTCCAGATGCTTCATTCATGTGAAAGTAGGCCTAATGATACAACCCTCCATGGAGGACGGAGTGTCACATTTCCTATCGGTTCATTGAAAATCGCGTAGCCACTGGCCTCGTTTCGACTAGCCCTCGTATCAACCAACCTACTGGTTCCATAGCTCCGTGAAAAATGGACGCCCATGTTGCCTGCATGAAGCATTTTCTGATAGTCGATTTACTCTGGTCACTAAAAATCTATATATCTACAGTTTTCTACCTGCCCCAAGCCTCAGACGAGCTTGTCTCTAGCTTCCTATGCTCAGTACCATCTTCATTACTCTCTGTCTTTCTCTTGTAGCAGCGAAAGCGCTGCCTGCGGAGCCATCCACTGGTTTTAACGGTTCGTGGCCCGTAGGCGTGAAGCGCGCTCTTCCCGTCTTCGAGATCGATTACGATGATTACCCTCAATCCGCCGAGAATATATGTGGGTATTTCCTATGCTCGAGCGTCACTGTTTATCCTGATGACCGGTGACTATGCGAAAGGCTACTCCTGGTATTGTGCGTCTTGCATGACTCTCACTGTGGAGAAAATGAAAGTGATATCATTCGACCAGGTAACAATGGACCCCGTGCTGTAGCACCGAACCGTCCTGCCGCGGACCAGAATCGTGCCAGCAACAGTTGCGGAAACGTCGATCCGAACCGGTGCAGCACTCGGGTATGAAGTCTCTTTGACTTTTCTTTGATGCAGTAGATAACAAACACACCCGTCAGGTTGGCCACGATGCTGGCTATCAGTGCGATGAGTGGCCTTGGGCTAATTCCAATGCCGGAGGCGCTAATGCCGTTACGAGATGCATTCCTTCTGGAGACAACGGCGGTGGGGTTCTATATTGTCTACGAATAGGTTTTGTCATCTGACGAGAATCCATAGGATCCGGAGCTTCTTGGGGTAATTTCATTAATGTATACTTTTCTTCTGACCTGAATTACATGCACACGATACTAACGCATATTTCACAGAATAAAGGTTCTCAGGCCCCAGGATATGTCCTACAGGATAACGTAGATGTATGTTTTCTTCTTCCATTATCCCTGTTCTCCCCTGAAGTTGTCATGTAGTTTGCCGAAATTCGTGTTGTCAATGTACCCTTCCCGGATGAAAATATAGCCCATTTTTGCTTGGGCGAACGGGGAGGTATGGACTTATACTTGGGTCAAGTACATTGCTTACTCTAAAGCTATACAGTACCCATTACTCCGGGGGCTTGCGATCAGCTTGACCACGGCCAGCCCTATCTGCAGCAGATTGGCTGATTAAAGTAACTTTGTCTATGGTTCAATGAATGAATGCTCTTTATTGCAATGGATTCTCCATGCGTCGTTTTTACACTGAGACATGTTCACGCACCATGAGCCCACGGAGGCACACTTCTCGAAGTATGACAGTACCCTCAAAATGTTCCATGATGATGGTAGTTACGGAGTTCAGTATCGAAGGTGTTTGACGAGAAAAACCTAAAAAAGGGACCAGTGGTATGGCCACATGTCGCAGCTAAGACAACAATGAAGGATTCTATTTTTGGCCTTTGCACCGCGTTCCATGTTGACTACCACCAGTGACTAGTCTTCAGTACTTCAACCACATTCTACCTTCAAAGAATTCTGCAAGTATGTCAACACTTGCAGCAGCTGGCAAGTGCCTATCCCTAATCTATCTGTCAAGTTCGCTTAAAGAACGCGTTTGTACCACCAAGTGGAGTTCGCTGATATCTTTTCGTGTTGGATTAAAGGTACCTTTAGTTGTCTACAATCAAAGCCTGAACGATGCTTATACCCAATCTTCTCTCTTGTAGATTGCTTCTAAAATTATGATTTCTTTGTTTGAAACTGCAGAGGCTATCCGACACACTCTGCAGACTATCTACAGTCCTTCTGGTCGCTACTCTCTGGATATAAATCCTCCTTTGTACAAGGGTGATTTGATAGAATGCCACGCAGACTCCTCGCTTTGGGTTTCGTTGTCCGAAATCATTGTCGCGTTATCTCAAACACTTGACGATATCTCGCATTGCCACAAAGACCATTCGGTTTCATTAAATTCCGATGTCAGCCTTTCATGTATTAAAAGGTCCGCCACTGCAAATCACTTATCCAAAGTTACTCTTCCCATCGACATCCTTCATCTACGACCTTCTACGACCTTCCCACCGAGCTTCTCCATCGTATATTTGAAGACAACGCATCCTTCACCCCTGGAGCATATCCTGCTGCGGCTCTATGCATAGCGAGTGTCTGCAGGACACGGAGGGAAGCAGCTCTCTCCCACTCCAATTTATGGTCCACTATCACCATCACGACGCACACTTGGCGTTCCTCAGTTGTCGACGGACGCGAGGAAGTACTCCAATTATACCTCCAGCGCTCCAGAAATCAGCCTCTTACTATCATCTTCCGCCGACAGAGAGTAACCTTGATGTCCAACGTCCGGCCAAGAGGGGTGTCAAGCCAGAGTGGTGTCGGGCGCAAACCTTTGTGCCCCTTCTTCGTTCTCATGACGTTCGGTTGAGGCGCATTCGCCTGTCGCGCAAGCTCTGTACGGACGGGAACATTGAGATGCTGTTTGCTCCTATGGATAGTGTCCTACCCAATCTGAGTGGATTAAAGAAAACAACCATCCCATCCTTTGACCGTGTGCCCAAGTTTTGGAATTATTCCGGTTTCTTGAAGGCTCCGAATCTCACATCCCTCTCCTTCGATGACGTTGAGGAGGGAAATTTTAGCTCTATTCTAGAGTCATCGTTTCCCCGAGCCCAGATCGTTAACGACCTTGCGCATCAACGTGTGCCACAAAATAGAAACTTTAAACGTTGCTATTGGGGCATTTCCAAATATTCGTGATCTCAGAGTTTACATAGACATGCCTTATCGAGCTCACTCTCTGTAGATGAATGGTCTCTCGCTCACCGACAGCAGGGCGCCGAAATCGAACCTGGTTTCTCGCTTAACATGGAAGCTATCATGCAACGCCTTCACACCAAAACCATTCAAGGACCTTCACTTCACCAACCTAGATTCTCTTCTGATGATATATCACGCAGAGTTTGATGAGGAAGGCGACGACTAGACTCTCATTGGAGTCGATCCAATTTTAGAGGTCGTTTCTCATTCCGCTTCAAGGCTACAGCACATTACCTTCATTGCGATACCGATCTCAGACATGGATATCATCAGAGTCCTGCATGCTCTCCCACAGCTCGCATCTCTCGTCATCCACGACCCTAATCCCAAAGATTATGATCTATCTGAAGGGTATTGCCTTGTTTGCCATATCCCATCAACGAACACCTCCTGCACCAGCTTACGGCGCTGCCATCCAGGTTACCTTTCCTCCCTCGTCTGAAGTCCATCGAACTGGTTTGGACTCAGGATCTAGATGAAAGCGCCGTGATGGATATGATCGAATCTCGTAGATGGTGCGAAACTCCCTTAGAACGGGCTACCCTTGAGAAACTCGAGCCGCACATCAACATGGCGCCAGCAACACACCAACGTCTGAGGCACCTAAGGAAGGGTAGGCTAGCATTTTCGGAGTAGGGCTCGACGTAAATGCCGGTGAATATACTAGATATAATTGTATGCGGCGGGTTTATCGTTATAGTAAAATGTAAATAATCAATGAAAGAGACTTTTTAACGCAAGGCAGTAAAACGCAGGGGAAATTCCAACGCAATGAGGAAGTACAGGTTACAGAAACGCAGTTATCGTTCCCCATGTCCCCATCAGAACGGATATACCTAGCACCAGCACATCAAAGAAGCCACATGTGCGCGTAATAGTCAGTTTGGCGCCAATGGGACATATAACAACAATCAAGAACGCAGAGAAGGATCCCATCAATTCAGTGACTTGTCCAAAGTCAGGCACTATGATAGAAACGCCGACTGTGAGAAGGGTGATCGACAGCCGCTGGGCGATTCCCAAGAGTCGCTGTCGTGGGTTTTGATGCGCTGGCTTATTTTGAGATTTGAACAACTTTTCGACTGTCGCATTGAGCTGAGGATCGGTTAGCCCTCAGGATCGGTCATGCTCACCATTTATTGGACTCACGGGCTGTACGACCAAGGCGAATTTAGATCTGGGAGAAAAAAAAAGGTCGGTTATAGATGGAGATATAAATTGAAGGTCTACTCACAGTGGACTGACCACGAGCATCCACAGGCATATCTTGTTCAGTACAGCGTTATAGCCGGGCGTTCGCAATAGGTCTCTGCTGATCTACTTTCTATATTAGGTGCGAATAAAAGAGACCTTGATCATCCGCGTACCTCTTCACTAACCGGTGTTCCGAACATGAGATATCCGGCGCCGCCGATTAACAAGTAAATGACGGTTGAGAAGAACTGTGATGGTGTGAAGCGATTAGAGCGCCAATTCATAATAACTCTGAAAGATGCTTACGAATGCCCAGTTGGCCATGGTATCAAACTGACAAGGATCCTCCATATCGTGTACCAACGAAGGCAGTACTCCATGTCCCGCAAACTAAACATCCCGATCAAAATGTACCAGCTGGAGAAATAATCGACTTACCCCTGCCATGAATAAGCCAAACGCCTTTCCGAGATGATTCCAGCTACGGATGCCTGGATAAGTCTCGGCTGGGGACCACAGGCTTCCAGGTGCATCAAGCTTCGAAGTTCCGTCGATAAATACGACCACCAAAATCAAAAGTAACGAAGCGATGCCCAGTATTGACGTATACGAAAGGGCCGAGAGAGGGAAGAACAAGGTAGGTATCAGTCTAAAACCCGTCAGCGAACATGTCGAAGGTCGGAGAAATGACATGCATCACTAGAGCCAAGAGCTTATATGTAACAGGAGAATGAGCCGGCACCAATGACTCCAAGGAATCCGCGTAAAGCGTAACCAACAACACACTAACATCACAGGTCGTTAGGGACTTGACGACGGGAACAAAACAAAATGGCAGCTGACCTTAGCAAAAACAGCTCAAGGAAGAACGCGATACTAATGACCAGTGTCGAACGTGCACCAAACGCTCTTCGCCCGATGTCCGTGTAGAGCTTCAAATGGGGCTCAGAATGAATGATGCGGGCGAGGATTTTGGCACTTTGATAGGTCAAGTGTTCATCAGTCTCAATGCGGCGCAGGGTGAGGGAGGTAAGACGAACGTGTAGCAGCTGATGAAGCCGAATGAAACAAGGAGAAACGTACCCGCCACCCATCCGGCGTAGGCGAACGCCAGAGGTTGGGCCAGCATCCCTACTCCCAGCAAGACTGCGATGGAATTGAAAAGCTGAGAAGAAAAGCATAAGCTCGCAAAATAGATGAGGCACCATAGCACTTTACGGTTTGCCCAAAAGTACTTTTCCCTACTGTATTGAAAGATGCAGGCGGGATATCAGACGACACGGAAGGTGTGTCATAAGATCTACACAGAAAGTATCTCGGAAGCGGAACTTGGCGGTCGACGTCAGGCGAAAATACCGCTGGGCGTAAGAGAGGCGTTCGGTCGTTCATTTTTGCCGTCGGAAATGGAAGAGTGAAAGGGTCTGGAAACATTACAGGCGGGGTGAGAGCTTCCTGGTGGAGTCCTCCTTGCTCGTCCGCGATATGCTGCGTGTATTGAAAGTTCGTTGCCACTGGTACGGTTTCCTCGTCGTATAACAAAGAAGGGTTGGTTACGGATGGATGACCGCCGTCCGTTACAAAAATCTGAGAGCTTTGATCTGTAGATAAATGTCGAGGTGAGCGACGGTGGTATAAGAGGGATGAAACAACGGACATGAATCGGTTTCGTCCATTCCACTCCGTGGAGAGTTAACAAAAATGTCATTCGAGCTGTACAGAGACATGATGGACTCGTAAGGCGTTTGTCTCGTCGCATCCTTATATACCACCTCAGGGGTAAACCCAGAAGGGTACTTCAGATGCAGGCGCGTCACGAAGCTTACAGAATGCCGTATTTCATTGGCTCTTCTTGAACAAATGCAGTCGTAAGTGCGCCGAAAATCCCTCATCTGCTAAGATGACGCGATTGTGGAGTGACATATAGCAATACCAGAGCAGGAAGGGGGCTCTCACCTACGAGAACGGACATCTGGTCAGAAGAGTGTAACTTTGGCCAATGCAATCAGGTGGGTTTGCAAAATGATTTGAAAGAGCATCCAAACGGAAGAATGGCGTCCAGTGGAGGCGCATAAAGAACTGGCGCAGTTCCCTGAATCATTCGGCCTTCAAAGTCCCATTCTATAGTACTGACTTACTCTTCGAAAGTCAAAGCCATGCTGTAGAAATCATTTCATAGTATTCGCGTAGCTTCTGAGACTACTCAGATAGACTAGAAACTGGGCCTAAGAATAGGAATGTATAATTAGATTTTCAATACGCACGTATGCCACGACGACGGTTCTATAAATCCCAACATATGGATATCGTTTGGTTGCAAGCGCCGAAGGCTGCATGAGTCAGAGATCGCAAGAATCAATACAGAGCCTCGTGTCGGCCACTATTCTCTTTGCTAGGACTGACAATTGCTCAACAATTGTCTGACGAGATAATTATGGATGCCCCCCTTAATTAATGAGGGATTTGGGCCGCTCCAGTACACATCTGCTCGCCTTGAACAATAAAAGGTAGTATCACTGGAAGAGGCTGGGAGGTAAGAGGTAATGGCCTGAACAGTAAATCGGGCCGATACTTGCATGCAAAATATGCAGCATGTGACTGTGGTGCCTTCTCGCATCACGTGTTGGGCCATGTCCGGCGCGTCGCAACAACACTAAATTAGATGAAAATCTAATTCCGCCCGCATTTTGCCCTCTTTATGGCTGTCTGTGGTTCTCGAAAAACATTCTTAACTGTTTGAGAGAGACAGCCGTAAGCAACGAACCAGGAAAAAACTTCACTCGTGGCTCTATTACTCTCAAGACTCAATATCCGTGCCGCCGAATCAGCGCCATAAAAGAAGCTAGAAAAACGACGGGAAGGCCTGACCTTGTGACGTCGCTGCGAACACTCCACGTTCAGCTTCTCTTTCTATCACCGACGACGCAGCTCATGCGGTTTGCGTGCGATAATTCGTAAACATCTCCTGAAACTCTCACGTTGTCACAAGTCTTTGGCCAACTATATAACTGGCCGAGACCCACAGATGAAGTTAGAAGCTTTCAATGACTGCCAACGATGTAGAGCCACGTTTGAAGGAAGGCCCATAACGTCTTCTATCAATGCGGGAAATACAGCTCGTTATTTAAACTTCGCTCACTCGACTTCTCGACACTTTGAACTCCTGAAAGTATATGCTGCTTGTGCCAATAACAACATGTCGATGGCTGAAGAACATTTCCCGAGGGTCTAAAAGCAACCGAAGCTAGTTCATAATTAGTCAATGAAGAGTTACAGTGGTATATTAGCATACTTTCGGTACCATGCTGTTATAATGTTGAATTCTCATACAGAATATGTAGATAAATAGGTAGCTAAATTTTGATGACTCTCATGCTTTTTGTGAGAGCTCCCTGCTGATATCCAGGTGAATGGCTGGAGCATAACCATTTATTTCAACACAAATGGCTTAAAGCAACCATAAAATATATTGAAGGGTCAGCTGGTTGGTGATTTGAAGTTACAACTGCTGGCATTGAGGATTGAACACAATGCTGAGAACAAAAATCAGCAGTGGAAACTCATATGGAATTGGAAACTGCTAAGCCATCCATATTCATTTGGCACTCATCTTTATATGAATTTCATCTTGGCTTTGGTTGGATGGGTTTTTCAATAATGGCATCCCCAAATTCTTATCTTTGAGAGATTATTTTGACAGAGATAGTTTTTTTATATTTTTTAGAGACTAGTTGGGTTGGAATAATGTAGAAGGAGGTGTCAGAAAGAAAGAAATGTAGTATCATGCATATCTAGATTAGAGCTTCAGAATGGTAAGGTCATACTAAGATTCAACAAAATGATGGTAATGAAGTGAAAGAAGAGAGCAATGGTCCAGATTGGAGATTTGCATGATGTGTCAGTAGTGTAGGAATAATGCAATGGTGATATTCTTTCAGCAACCACAACCACCATGATCACTATATATTAACTTGAACATTAAAGTTTGAAGATTACCATCATGCATGGCAACTACATAGCAGTGATGGTAGTAAGATGCACTTTTTGGGAAGAAAAAGGACTCTTTGTCCCAAGGTCAATTATCTATACACTGCTGGGGCATGTCAGTATTTATGCCAGAAACACTGTTCATAAACACCAGCATGTTTTTATATCAATTTTTTTAGATGTAGAAACTGTACAATAAAAATATGATTAAATATTATGTTTTCTTTATGATGTTTGTCTCAGTGTTTTGGCCTGGAATTCTGTCATGAACTACCTAAAGAAGTACATAATGTCATTCATGTCATATTTCATAAATGGTATTTGGTATTTCATACCAGTTTTTCTGATGGTGTCTTTGTTTCTAAAGTACCTCAGAAAACACATGGTGTGTTTCTTTTGGTGTTTGTTGCAGTATTTATGATAGGAAACACCCAGTCTTTCCTTTGTTCTATGGGTGTTTCCTGTCATAAACATCTTAAAGAAACATTCATCATCACACATAGTGTGGTTGCTCATGTGTTTTGGTACAAAGAACACAATTGGAAATATGAAATATAAACACCTGATATCATTTACGAGGGAAAACTGGTGAGGAAATACAGACCAGACATGATGTTCACATTTAAGTATTTTATGGTTAAAACAGTGGAATGAATACAAATATAGAAATTGAGAGAAAAGCTAATTGTATTTCTTCATGTATTTTTGGGCTGGTGTTGACTGTTGGAATGATCTACACAAAAACATACATACCAGTGTTTACAAACAATTTTTCAGGACAAAACACTGATGGACCCCTGCAGTGATACCTACCTTCAAGTTGCTCTCAAATCTCGACTTTGTGGCTTCGACAGTGTCATCCTCTGGACTACTCTGCGCAGTTTCGTCGAAAAAACTTCTGATACAATAGTATATCAATAGCAGGATATGAAATGGTATGAAAATGAAATAACCGCGTTCAAATGCCTTTCTTCTCCGTCTAGATCCAGAGACTCAGGTTTTTTGGCCGGAGATCGTATCTTCCAAGACCCGAAGAGAAAGGCACCTTTTGCCTCGTTGTAGTGACTATGGCCCTTCATCATGGACTCGACTCCAATATGGCAATCTCAGTTTCTTTTTCGTCCGTTTCCAGTGGCTTGGCTCAAGAGGACGCTCCGAATATCACAGGGTCTGAACAATGGTGCGCCACTGATGCACCTTCATACAGATTTATCGCACATCTCAGCCAAACAAAGCTTCTTCGTGCCGAGAATATGGGGCGTTTGCCTCGTTGCAACTTTCGCATGAAAATGAAGGGTTCTTTCCAAAGGCGATCACCGTTAGCAATAACAATAGTATCTTACAAGAAACCTTTTCTGCTCTCTTCCACCTCGACCACTTTACAGACTCGCACAACTGGTATATGGCGAACGTACAAAGCTCGAAGGAAAACGCCGTTCAACCCTCTCTATGAGCACATCACAAAAACGTGTAGAACGTAACCGAGATTTACATGTGCCATTCGCTGTCAGATCTCTTTGAAGAAAATACTCCTCTCAAAAGTGAGTGAATCATCCTCCCTCCTCTCTCTTCCTATCGTCTCGAAGGAATCCCACCGTCATGCTCTGCTTCCCGTTTCTAGGTGCTGATCATTTGATTGTCAGTACGTTATTCGCACTTACACGACGTGACTTTTCCCTCCACCCCAATGACATCCACCGGCACATCATCATCATCGCCCTCCTAAACCTCCCCCCAGGACGTCTCTCCAAACCCCATACAACTCCCGCACTCAACAGAACCCCATCTAGCCCCCGTCGGCCAATCATGGCACACAAGGGATCATCAATTCATCGTGGAAGCAGAAAATGACGCCAAACGTTCGACGTCTTGCCCTCCGTCGCCGTCGTCACCACCATCACCAACAGCAATGCCGCCTCGTGATACTTCCAAAGCCCGGGACGATTATGGGCTGGCTCTGTATGGCCCTCCCAGGACGGAAGCCGAGGCAATAACATATACTTGGGCCATCGACCCGAGGACGGCCCCAGCGCTGACGACCGGGGCCTACAGAATGGAGACGCCTGGTTGGTACGTGGGCTTGGACAGCCCGATGACGTTCTTTGAAAATACGCCCGGTCTGTGTCCACTGTCCTCTTTTTCTCGGAGTGCCCCCTGTGTGTGCTTATACTACCACTTTATCCAGCGCCTACTCTTGATGAGGAACAAGCTTGGATGTGATTTATGTCTGAGTCTTGTTGGACCGACTCGATCCACCTTTTCCCTGTCTAAATGTAGGTATTCACAAAGATACCCTAACTCATCGACGTACGAAAGGATTTTTGCGATGCATTTTGGTGCTGAATCCAATACAATGAAGTTATTTGAAGAAACCAAGGAATGGGATACTCTATAAAATTTATGCAAGGAGAGGCATGGCAAGGCTGTAGGAAGAGTGATTCTGTTGTCGCCTACGCTCTAAAGTATTTTCGTCACGACGTGCTTTCCGAAACAAGATAGAAAACTTGGATTCTAAGACTACAACTAAACAGAAAGACTCATCAGTGCAGATCTAAAAAACAAGTTCCCTCACAAATGTCATATACAGGAGCGGATTACGTTCAGTGCCTGCCGGTATAATTCGAACACTACAATAAAATAAAATACGAATTTCTATTTCCAATAAACTCGCCATCACCCACCCTATGATCTCACAGCTTCGCCTGAACCTCAAACTGTCCAGCCCCCCTATCCAACTTCCTCAATATCCCAAACAACACATCCGCCACCTCATCCGGCGCCTCCTGCACGACCTACATATCACCGCAATCAATCAGTCAATCGCCACCCGCAAATCAACGGCGGTAAGGCATACCAAATGGCCCGCATCCGGGATTCTCGTCACTGACGCAAAGTTGCGGCCACCGCCCAGTAAAGAGTCTTGTTTTTTCCGTGAACTGAAAGGGAGAGACGTCAGCAACGAAAGAGATTTAGACAGAGCGGGACATACAACATATCGTTCCGCCCTCCATAGATTAAATGTATGGGCACAACCTTGATCGTCTTGTTCAGTTCGGGAAGGACATCCACCGCCTTCTGATCATTCGCGAACGGCGCTAGTTCATGTTTCGGCGCGCACTTGAGTGTCCAGCCACCTCTGACTAGATCGGGTTTCAGGCCGTACTCCTATGAGAAGAGAGAAGACTATTAGTACAAGCAAAGGCGGGACGGGACTGGACGTACGATATATATCTCCCGGATCCTCGAGTCCCAATAGCTCCACGGCGCACGGCCTTCAAAGTAGCGCTTAGCCTCCGCCTTGGTGGGCCAGTGATCCCTCCGAGTGAGGATCCCCCGTTTGACGTACTTGTACACAGGTGCATCCACACCAGCCATCTCAGCAGGCCATATTGTCGGCTCTACGAAAATGAAGGCTTCGAAGAGCGGGTGGTCACAAAACATTGTTGCTAGGGAGCTGTAAAAAGATGAGAAGGGATAAAAGGCACAAGACAAAACAGTCTTACGCAGACGCAGCACCAGCTGAATGTCCCAAGAGCACCACTTTGTTCAAGCCTTTCTCGATATTCTCGAGCAGAAATGTCCTATATAGGTTCGCGCAGGCTTCAGCGTAATCAAATTCAGCTATGGGTTCATATCAGATCCGGTTCAATATCAAAAAACGGCATTTAACTTACAAAACACAAATTCCGGCGCCTCGATCACCGCTTCGTTCAACGCTGCAGAATCACCGTGAGTCTGCCAATCAATCGACCACGCCTCCGAGACCCTCGTTTCGCCCGACTTGCTATGAGCGAACAGCCGTAGGATTGGGACTTCCCAGTGCTCCTTATCTATTGAATGGATCATCAGGGTCACTTCGACCAATTTATTGGGGGATCGACATACGGAACCCAGTGCCGTGGGTGAATATTAGGATATGCCCAGGTGCAGGTCGTTCCTTGGAAGAAGCCCCATGTGGCCGATACCGCTTCGCTGCACAACTGAGCGGTTTACCAGACGAGTGCGTATCAATGGTAAAGGTGTCGACTTTCATGGTGACAGCTTCAGTAGAGGGAGAGTGCAGCAGTGTTCGTTTAATACCAGAAACAGGCCGAGCAATGATAAACCCTGGTCCTCCCCGGTCCGGCGTCAATATGAAAATAAGCCTCCTCCGACTGGCTTTGGGTAATAGCCTTTCATTGCGGTCCGTTGCGCTGGAGAGCTGAAGGCAGCGGGCGCATATATGGACCGCCAAAAGTCTATTTCTGCTTTCAGCGCCACCCGATAACGGAGGCTTTTTCACACCTCGCATCGGCCGTCTGTGCTTGCGAATGAATCAAGGGTATTCTCTGTCATAGCGTAGGGCATAACACAAAGGGAGATGGCGATGACGTGGGAGGAGCTGCTACAGCCATCTCTTCGTAATCGAAGAACGCATCAACAAAAACCGTGCGGATACTGTAGCGTTGCGAAGAGTCTTGTTACATCTCAGCATCCTATGACATACGGGCAAGTTCACCTGCGTCTGTAAATGTATCCACTCAGCAAGTGACACAGAAAGAAAGAGATACATACAATTAACAACACCGAGGTGATCGAACTGTACATGTCACCGCATATGATAACGCTGCAATGCGTCAGCAGCGCTCTCTACGGTCGTGTAGCACTTCAAACGAAGAAAACGGGGCAAGGATTTTGTCTGCATCGGCTACAGTGTCTTTGTCACGATACATCGGTCGTCTCCCCGAAGTCTCTGCTGTCGTGCTCTCAGTTGTGGATGAGCGTAAGTAGCGCCGGAGCGTAAGAGTAGCGGGGAAGGAGGTACGGTGCAAAGATAAACCATTTAGGAGTTTTAGGGAGGCTCATAATGGCCGCGAGCAATGGCGTGACCGTGATAAAGGGCTGTAGAGGGCAAGGAAGGGCATTGATCCGTAGGCGAGAACGAGTTCCCCGTACTCCTAATTCGCCGGGATACAAAAGCGCTTCCGTAGGTCATAGAAGGAACTAGTAAAGAACAACAAGGCCTTTTCCTCTAAGTACTGCAACGCGTGCATAATATTACGCGTATGCATGTCGGCAAATCGTTGTTGTCCATTGTAATACGAGCCAGGCCTCAGTGGGAAAGTTGGAGACGAGCTCGGACTCGCGGCTAGGTCAAGTGGTCGCCGACCGATTCCTTCCAAGGGACGATTGACTTGTTCTGTGCAGATAAAGATATCATCATCCATCGGCTGGACCATCAACCGTTGCTGTAACTGTGCGCCTGAGCGGAAGAAGACCCTGATGACGGGAAATAAACCTGTCTGACATCAAAGTGACGAATTTATAACTGGTACAGGAAAACAGGGAATGCCAGAGGTGAGGCCGAGACGGGACATGTCTTCTTTTTTTTGTTGTCGACTTCGAGGAATTGGACGGGCTCGCCCACAGGTAAGCAAGAAAGTGCTCCGAGATGAAAGCTATGGATACGAGGGGAATACGTCGTCACATTCGATAGTGACTTCGATTGAACCAGGGTAGGGCAATATGCCAAGGGAACGTTTGTTCGAACAATTCTACACGCATGGTGAAGTCAAATATCATCGGAAGCATAAAGGCAAACCAGATACCATACGGTTTACTAGCGCCGTCCGTGCACCAATATGTTCGTTATCTCACCACATAAACGAAAGACCCACACCTTCAAAAATGGCGAGGAATTAAAGACGGAGGGTGATGGTTGGTCCCAAGCCTGGTACGTAGGCTTGCCGCACACCTTCAAACAACGGCTGACGATGACGGCACACAATACCGCGTCGATCACAGTACGTGCTTTAGATGGAGCCGATCATCCCTCCAACGTGATGAGAGCAAGACCATTGACCAGACATCCTTGCAGTGCTTAATGGGGTCTCCCTGAGCGGAAAACGACAAACATCGTAGGGTATATGCGCAGATCTCAGCCATGTGCTGGAACAGAAACATGAGAGTCGACAGACTTCATTGGAATGTAAGGATATCTGGGAGATAAAACCGAAGGTGAGCGTACGTGAAGCCTTAGCCATCCAACGTTCATTTTCAACGTGATGATAGTGCCGTTAAACTCGATGTAGGAGGCCGGAAGTCTTCATAAGATCCTGCTGGCCGAATAGAGAATGATACGAATCGTGCGACGAGAATTCCAGCATTAACATTGCGCTCTTCAAGGGTAACAGTTCATTGCGACAAGTGGTAAGGTCGATGTAGGGACTTGTTCGTCGCTTCATGCAGGACCAGACATACCAGCCAACCCAAATCGCATACTACTGTATCTCAGAGACATACCAAGCTACATTTCTATACGATTAGAAAATGAGCCTCGGCAAAGAGAAGATGGAGATGGTGGTCCAAGAATAAGAAACGTGCCAAAAAAATGGCGCCATTCGGCGCGGAATGCCGATCCTGCCGTTCATTGCCGTTCGGCAGTGGCAGTTCACCCTCTGGCGGGTTTATTTTCTTCCAGGTATGCGCAGGAAACGACACTGTTTCTTGCTGTATCTTCCCCCAACTTCCAGAGGGGACTTATTGGCATTGGAACATGACTGGCGTTTTTTCTCTGCTCTCATAATACTTGGTAGTCATTGCGCGTTTTATCTGCTCTTTCGTTCTTCGTTCTGCCCTTCAGATACCGCACCACGCACCAGAAATGTCGGACGGAACACCCTCTGCCTTCTTCAGACGTTCTACACCCAGTGTCTACTGTCTCTGACACCGAAAATTTTCCAGAAATTGCATAAATTCGTAGGGGTTCCCGTTCTAATCTTCATATGGTTTCTTCTTCCGATATCGCATAGGCACACTGATTATTTTTTTACTTCAGTCCTTGGGCTATAATTCCCGTCTCTATTCGCCCCTTCCCATTTTAGGCGACCTTTCGGCAATGAAGCATCCTGTCATTACTCTCCCTCAATATAATTGTTGAGGTCACAGAGGCACTGTGGCCAGGTGCAGCTGGGTGGTACCACGATCCCCTTTCATACACTGCTCATCATGCCCTACTACGTCCGGTTGGGTATATATACAAAATAGCTCAGCGAAGGAACTCATCTCTCCGTCAACCAACGATAGACACGACTCTTTCACGCCCATCACGAAACTCACGTCTCTCTTATGTGGTTCCATCTCTCTCTTCACTATCCGGGCACTCGCAATGCCCTTCAACTTTTTCCTAAACCACTTGTCGGATCAGCTGCAGTCGCTTGTCGCAACGCCGGTTCAAGTCCACTGTCCGGCAGGGTAAATCGAAATAAACGGTTTCCGTGTTTTGCCAATGCACCAGTAGACTTACTCCGTTTAAAATACGACCAATAAGTCTCGTGAACTATCTGTACTACGTCACAAGCCCCGGGAGGATGCGACGTATCGGAAATCGGCCTTTGCAGATTTCCGGCCGAATCTGGTACGCATCGAAGTCGCTCCTGAAGATAAAAAGTTCCACCGGGGGGTGGTGCAGATGATTCAGGCCTGATGGTGCATGCGTCTTCGAAACTTTGTCGTGTTCGCAAATTTGGAGACAAGGAGGGAGGCTGCAGAGTGCATGAAGGTGATGATCAACTGGACGTTGAGGCTCTGGAACTTCTACGCGGGGGACACATGAAAGAGTTTTGGTCGGATCCGCAGATGACGGAAAGTGAGGATGTTTTATTAGAGCGACCTTGAGAAGCGTCTTTGCATCATACGCCGTAGCTACCATGTCTAAATATATATCACCCAGAGATCCAGTTACAGGATGCGATAAAATTTCCTAGGAGCCATAATGCTACTACAGTTACAGTTACAACTATAGAAATAATGGTTACAGTAAATAAATGATAAAGGCTCGTATATAACTACGCCTTTATAACGGGGCTCCAATCGATCATCTCAAAAGCCTGTTTGGTACTGACCAGCTGCGAGTCCTTGATCCCAAGATCTTCCTTCGTTAAAACCTTTACACCACTTTTTGACCATACACCCGGACCAAGCTCAAAGAAATTCATATTCAACGCTAGCTCCTTGCCAAAGACCGGTCCAGCAGGGAACCACGCCACAAAGTCCTCCGTATCCTTCTGCACGAACACCATCTCCACGCCCGTCGCCTCCTCCAACAACTCCAGGGTCCTCTTCATCGTCAAGGTTTCGACAGACCCCAGTACATACTTCGAAGGCAGAGTGATCTCCGGCTTAGCCAGAATAGCGCTAACGAAGACGCCCACATTTATAGTCGTCAGTCCTGCCATAGGCGCCGACGCATTCGGTGAGCAAGGAAGAACCCACGCGTACTTCCCCAACTCTTGCCTTACCAGAGAAGTTGTGGACGCGAGGTTCGTCGCATAGTACCCCGGCCAGAAGAAGGTAGTTTTCTTGGCGAGATCAGGAAGGTGGGACATGATGTATTCGTCAACTTGGGCTTTACCGTCAAAGTGCGGGCAGCTAGCGGTGCCTTTGGTGGTGTTTTTGATGTACGGAAGGGAGCTCCAGACGTAGTGCTCGAGTGTGGGGGTCGCGGCGGCGGCATTGGCGAGGTTTTTGCCCTGCTGGATCTCAAGATCCATAGCTCCATTGGCTCCGAGGGTAGATAGCTCAGCGAAAAAATCTGTAACGCCATAGGCCGCATGCGCGCCCTGATTAACGATTAGTAGGTCGTAAGATATATGAGATGTCTATTTGACGAACCTCGAACGCCTTGATGAGGCTCTTTGGGTCATTGAGATCTCCAGCGACGACTTCAACGCCCTTTGCAGCTAGCGCTTTCGACTTGTCACTAGCTGGGTCTCGAGTCACAGCTCGAACGACATAAGCTTTGTTCTGGAGAAGTGAAGAGACGACAGAGCCGCCCTGATTTCCTGTAGCACCGAAGACGACGATGAGTTTACGAGTCATGATTGAAGAGAGAAAGTCTTACAAGGATGTTGCTTTTTAAGTGCTGATTAACGGTAAGCACCGGAAATATGAAACATGACGCTCACGAATCAATTATTGTTATGCAGATGACAGAGAGCTTGGTGTAGTGACCAGGATGAACTCACAAAAGACACATAGATAGCGATTGAAGAACGTCACTTGTCAGACATTTCCATGCTCCGTTTTCATCCACCGGCCCGGGTATGGAAAGCAGAATTTCTGATAAGTTCAACATGAAAACGTTGCTTACTCTCGGAGAAACTGATACAAGTTCCCTGAGATGGCGGCAGCTCATGCCGGCTCGTCGTTACACTGAGAGTTTCAAATTTTGAGAAAACAGGGTCTTCGGTCACATGACTTAACAAAAGTTGCACGCGTGACGCGTCGTCTCTTTCTGCAACTTGCTTCCTATCACTCACCAATGACTCGAGGACTAGAAGACGTGCGCAAAGAGACACTTATCTTTGAAGACGGTGCTCCATGCTTGGATGATGAAGGCAATCCTATTATCATGACTTGTGCCACCGTCAGTTTTCAATGCTTTTCTTTCTGGCTAAAAGCTGACTACTAGCCTCCAGCTTGACCCCGAGAATCTTTCCAAAGACTCTATCGTCATTATGTCCAATAATTCAAATCCCATGGTCATGACACGCGAACAATTGGCTAATATCATTGAGGATTCTGGAACACTTGTACGACCTTGTGGCGCGTGTGGCATAGGCCCGAGGCAAAAAAACGTGAAGGAATTTTCTAAATGTGCGAGCTGTAAGGAGACTTGCTATTGCAGGTGTGTTAGCTTTTTATTCTTGACATTCATTTCCTGACATCGCGTCCACCCTTTACAGTAAAGATTGTCAGCGGTAAGTCTTCGTGTTTGACAGAGTCATGCCTAGCACGAACAGAATCATAGGGCCCATTGGAAGGAACACAAGGCCCTCTGCAAAGAACGTCAATTGTCAATTGCATCCAAGAAGAGACTGGAAGAAGACGCACGGAGAAAGGGAGAGATTTACTATGATCCGGTCACTCTCCAGGGTTGGTACCGAAAGAATCATAGTGCCATTGAATATGCGGTGTGTTCCTTTGCTAGAGAAACACTCTGTTACTCATACTTTTTTCCTCCAACAGGCTTTCCATGCACTCGAGATTTATAAAGGCGCCTCACAGTCCCTGCTCAAAACACATTTCGCCTTCTTTGACTTATCCCAGAATGATAAGACTCCTAACGACATAACAACGGTGACTTTGAAGAATGTAGTTGCTGTGCCTAGGTCCATGATTCCGCTGTCTGAAAACACGGTATCGTCCCAAAGGTGCCCTTCTTGCCGTACCCATTTCCTGACCATTGGCCTTTGTAGAAAGCGCAATGCGAGCGCGCAGTCAAGAATGGGTATATGTGTGTTTACCTCGCTGACCTATCGCACAAGTCGATAGCTCTGGAGATGCATAAAGCGCCGAGGGCAAACTGGAAGAAGCCCGATAAGGAGTGGGTTCTCAATGCAATTCTGAAATGCAACGTAGCGGGAAAAATCTGAGAATTCTGCGCATGTATGTTATAAAATTGTTGAATGTCGAACTGACGCGCTCATAATTTATTTAGACTGCCGAGCTTTGCTTTTCCACCGCTTTGTGAGCTTGATGTTCGAAAATACGACTTACGTTTGATACGAGTTTGTGACAAGGAATTTTATTAGTGGTAACAGAGATCATCAAACGGTCTTGCTGATGCTCTCGTGTAAGATGTATGCGGCGCTTGAGAACGCCGGAAACCGTGATACCTTGCATCATTTTATGCTTGTGCGATCAACGAATCATATCCTAGCGCGCCTTCAGACGCCACGAACAGACAATGTGTAGCGTGATAAACAACAGCCTCCCGTGATTTAATCTTCCCGTTCCGGATACCCTTGTTTTTTCCAGTCACTGCCATGTGTTTCACTCGAGATAACATCTCAGTAGGGCACGAAGAATAGTCAACAAGTTCCACATGCCGGTACCGAATAGTGAACTCATCGTTCGAACTTGATGGATTTGTCCTCTCACATTGAGGGCTGTGCACGACAGCGTCAGCTCGTCGTCGTGTTCATCGCCTTTCGATGGCACGCGAAGTTGACAGGTTGAATTTACTGGATTTTCTGTAATAGACCAAAAGTCCCCCATTGAGCTGTAGGCTTCAGAGGATTCGAATCACAAATCAACCCTGTCTGGTTTTTCTTCGCATCATCCTACTGCCCGACCCTCACCTCATCATGCCATTAAGCGCTCATGCCTGTAGGGGGCTGTGTTCGATCCGTTCACCACACAGCTTCTCCTTGTTTCCAGAAGAGGTGCTTTGAGTCAGCAAAAATTCCTTTTGCCGGTGAACCTGAACCTTGTTCCTCGCTTTGGACATGGAGAAAACAGCACGGCGAGCTGCTGACTCGGTAAACATCTCCACCGCCCGTCAATCTCGTTGTTAGAACAGCAAGCTCGGAACCGAGCCAACAGCACCTTGGAGTTAGAGCTGTTTTAATGCGGTGGGTCTTTTTATGGCCTCTGGGCGTACATAAAAGCCATAACAACAGTCTCTGACAGCTATTCACTTATCCTCCCAACAATCATGTATTCACGCTTCACCGCTTTTCGACGCGACTGGGCTCCTGGATGTCCATGGGCTGCAGGGGAAGTCTGCACTGTCATGGGTTTAGATGATAGCGGATACCTAATGTCATTCTATATGTGCATGGTCAATCGTCGGTCTTTTTTTTCTGTCCTCGTTGCTGCTATACAGGAGCTGACGTCAAGATAGATTATAGCAGCATCGAAAACGGGGTAGGTTCATCCTCGTTAATTTGTACTCATATAATTACAATTGATATTAGCCACCGCATAACCAATTCTGGACGCCTTGCGCGCCGCCGCGCCGATAAAGTCGATGTCTCTTATTGACCTCATTCTTCGGTGTGTTGTTTATGCCAGATATCGATGATGACATTCTCAAATATCCTTTAGTTCTACATGATGAACTCTTTCAACTCACCTCATTTCGGATTTCTTGTCCCATCCCATCATTTTTAACACATCGCATACATAACATGTAGCCTAGATCATCAACAATTACATTCCCACAACACACCCCTCTCTATTTTGATCCCATAACAGTCCTCATATTTGTATCCCATAGTATCGTTCGTCTTCACTGTAAAATACATTTATTTTCTCAGCAAAACCTGCTAAGACTGGCCCAGATAATAAGAACATCAGTTGATAACCACATCCACTCGATCTCCACATATTTATCTTTTCTGAAACATATACCTGAACCGTTTTATCTGCTTTGACTTTCTGATATAATCGGCTTTTCAGGATATTGACTCAGATCGACTCTCAGGCGTTCATGCCCTTACATGGATGTCAATGTGATTGCCGGCGGCAAACCAGTGCCCCCCTTGATCTTGAACCACCAATATGGACTCGGACGGTTGTGCGCTCTCGGCATTTGTGTTCAAAGCACTTACTTCATTCTGCTGTTTCTGAGACGAAAAGTCTGCTGGAACAGTGCAAGCTTTCAGTATGAACCTAGGCTACAAACCTATTACATTTCAGCTGCTCTCCTCGGGCGGCGGATTCTTCTGGTATGGACGCCTAACTCAAAAGCCTCTTGAATAACACAGAAGCTTACTATTTCAACATGGCATCACACCAAGGGTTCAATCACGCCGATTTCACTCAGAGTTTTCATAACAGGCTTGGCACAAAGCAAGTATTTTCCGGGAACCTCGCAGCCTCCTGTTTTTACTGGCATCCTTATTGCTGAATTTTTATAAACCAAATGTAACGCATAGGCAACCTGGAAATGAAGCACCGGTGATGTCCTTTCGTCGGAAATAGTTACACTTGTCGCTCGGTTCAACGCAAAAATATTCGGTTTCGATAACAAATTCTGCCGAAAATGAAGCTAGCGGCGGATGCTAAAAAGCATATATTAGGTATTATATGACTTCGCCGTACAGATGGCATCTCCTTCATTCCCATGACATTTGATGAAACAATAAAGAACAAAATCTCAGCGGCAAAGGATGTGAGGCAGACTATTAATATGAACCCTTTACTCATTTATACTCCCATGTCCCCCGAGAACAGCGCTCTGCTGTACGCGTTGGCGCTAAATCACACCATCTATCACATCAGAACGAGGTAGTTATGGCAATGAGATGCTATGAAAGGAGATAACTATGGTGTCCGTGTTCCGGTTCATGAAATCCTGCTGTTTTCTAACAGTGGATGTTATGAAGGGTATCATATACCCACTCACCTATGCTCGTATCTGTGGTACTAAATCCGTCCACTATGTGAATAGAAGGGCGCTCACGGCATCATTGGAGCGCGGGGCGCGATAAACCTTATCTATCGTTCTTCATCTTCATCAAGTGGGGGCTGCAATGATCACTTCCGGTTTTCTTGTATAATTTCGCGGCGCTGCAACATTGGTCTCTTGTCCAATGCAATATCCTGTGCCGGATTTCCGTTCTATGGCAGCAGTGCATTCGATACCACGCCCTCCGAATGTCCGCGCGGTTCTCAAGTTGAACTATGTTGTGGTCCATCAGTATCACAATTATCACCTGCCTATATTTGAATGGGATATTACAGTAACCATAGTGCAATAGGAATCGTTCTAACGTTTCTTTGCCAGAAGTGATACAGGCGGTCTCTGAGCCCGGGTAAAGCATTTCTTCCGTGGAACAACCCTTTGATGAGATTTATCAGATATCCACAACTGTCCTCCCATTCGAGGTGAAACGCGTTCAAAGTCTCTCTTCTTAAGCAGTGCACCTGTTACCGACCGTCCTTGACCGTGCGTACCGCTATGTATTACGTCCTCCTGCCCATCATTTCGAATCTTGGGGTGAAGTTCATCGTGTGGACTTTACTTGTGCCCCATGAAACCCCGGTTGACTACAGTAAAGATTTTCATCTCGTGCTGTGAATCATAAGTATGAGCCCGTATATTTACCATCTGACTTTCATCTCATAGTCTGTTTTCCCCCATCTTGTCGGGTATATATTATCTTTTCCTTCCATCACGGCAAGGTAAGCCCCATCTGGACCATCATCTGTGCCTTTCTGGAACTGCTAAGGTTAACTATTGCTCCTGCAATTGTGCTGTTCCTCAAATGCTACGCTCAAGGAAGTGTATATTACACCGAGTCTGCCGACAACAGTCTTGTTCCTCTGGAGCCTCCAGTGGAACTCATTTTTCCGATTAGATGTTCCGTAGTATGTGCGCTCTTCTGTCCGTCAACAGCAGCACCGATCCTTATGCACAGACATATTAGGCTCAAACCATGCCAAGAGAAGTGGCACACGGAACTTATCATCAAGATAATCGTAGCTGTCCCTCTCTTACGCAACCCCGACTCCGGCCTAGCAGCTTGGCTTTCTGGACCAGGTAGGGTGACTTTCACCTCAAGCTGAACAGCATATTGGCTATCCTCTACTAAGAAGTTGAATGATCGTGCTTAGATTTAGTGCAGTAGCAGCTTGTTTTGTTCTTTTTGGAACCGATGAAGGAAATATTCTCTAAGAATGTAAGTAGTATAGCAGTACTAGTCAAATTATTCACTGCCTGACCGATATTTTTCTTTAAAGAGTGGCCGTATCTTCAAAGGCCAAGAGGAAAGAGCACCACTAAACATTCAAGTCAATCTATTCCGCCCCGAGCAGCCTGTTTCTGGGATAAGACATGCAACAGAGTGGATCATGTATGAGTTTATCATTAGGAATTTCATGTACAATCGTAGATAAATGGTACTCTACGCTAATGTCAGTTCAATTCTGCATGATTGTATGCATCAAGTTGTTGGTAATTTTGAAGCTGGCGTAGCCAACTCGGTAAATCCCAGAATCCTGAGTTCGGACCTTTACGTTCGAGATAGGTATATGTCTCGCTCATTCAATACATCTATTGCGTGGCTGGGATTGACTATTGAGATACTCGCCACTAAACCTCACCTTCCGAACCGACTTCTCAAAAAAAAAAGTCGCAAGACCGAAGTACCGAAATCGAAGCAGAGGAACATGAAAAGAAACCTATATCAGTTTTTGATGTAGACACGAGTCGAACACCAGATCTCTCTCAAACGAAAATGACATTTACACCTGTGGGTGGTCTGTTCCTACCAAGGCAGCCTTATTAAGCAGTTTCTTCAATGCTGCATAAAGTTCCATTCTGCAAGATTTGATCCCCAGACCTAGAAGCAAAATCAACATCAGGAAATCGCATAATATTGCAGCTACAACTATTACGCCAATAGCTTCAGTATTATGGGTATTTTCCATGTTGTTCATTATACACTGAGGCCTCTTCTATTCTGGGAGCTCTGTAATCCTAGAAATGTTCAGTAAGACCTCGTACAATCTAAACAAACTCACCACCAAGATAACTGTAGATGATAGAGACATTGTTCTGGATTGTTTTATGGTGCAGCCTGTGCAATATTTCTATGGCATAGGCCAGTCTAATCTCAGAGAATGGGGAAATGAATCTTTACCACCAGGATTCATAGACTTCAATATTTTTCCCCTCACTGCCGATTTCCTATTACTTCGCTCGATCCTCACTCTGACACCCTAGGGTTCCAGACATCTAACAATAGGTGGCACAATGCGTTGCTGAATATGAATACTTAATATGTAAAGGACAGTGTGAGCTACACAATGTGGTGGATCCTTATATGAATTACACAAAACTAATTTCAATAAACAGAGCACTGTATGAAGAATCTGCAGCTTACGACGATGACGACTTCCCTTATGAATGGCCTATTCCCAAACTAGACACCATCTTGCTTTCTATCGAAGGTTCTTCTGCGCGATTCAAAATTCAAGGTGGGGATGCAGATGCGGAATGGGCCAGTCTCGTTCCAGGCGACGGGCATCTTCATCTCGGTGACCGACAGCGTCCTTTTACCCTGCGAATGTTCCGTCAGCTGCAGTGCCTCAACATTCTTCGCAAAGGCATTCTCGAAACTTATCGCTCACTGTCTGAATTACTTACGACAAATCGTAACCTGCCATTCCGACACCTCGCTTGAGTCAGCGACGGGTCGTAATGTGGAAGTCCATCCGGACGCTTATGTATGTAATGACTAGGAGGTTGTTTATCGAGAGGCAGAGCAGAACCAGCGCGACTTTGAAGAGAATCGGCGGCGTCAGGACAAGAATCATTGTCTCGCGTTAGATTATGACTCTAGTTCTACTTCGTCAATATAACAAAGCACGAGCCTCTGAAATTTATACATAATGCTAAGATTCATCATAACAGTTACTCAAGTACTCAAGGACCATATAAATTCATAAAATTTACATTGAAAGCCGATAACCAAATCCTAAAACGAATAAATCCCAGGACCCTCAGCTTCACAGACTAAGGCATAGCGGGAACTATTCCGTACCAAAAATATCTCCAGTCTTAAGCTTCGTCGACTTCATCCGAAGTCCTGTACAGTATCAAGGCTACCGATGGCTGTGGAGGCGCACTCCGTGCTACTACGATCTTGATTTATCAAGCTGGATACAATTAGTGAACTCAAGTACTTACCACCTGCTACTGTGTCAGGCTTGGATTGACTTGGAGCGCAGAGTGACGACGTAGGCAGGAATGTAGCCACAAAAGTCATCTGAATTAAGAGGATGGGAATAACCGCATTCATTTTTCACTGACGTTGGTGGTATGCGGGAAGGGTGGTAGATTGTGCTGCTTGGAACTTCGAAGATACGAGCCTATATACTGTCTGAGTCGGCTGTTATCGGTTGTCACTTACAAACATAAACTAGAATACATTGACAGGACTTAACAACGGCGGCATAAGTATTACAACCCGGCCTACATCATGATCAGATTAGGGCTACTCAAACGTTATCATGGATGGCAGACCGAGAATTATTTATGCGCTAGTAATGGTACAGGACTTATTCCTGACGCCTGGTCCGATAAGTTTCGATACTTCCCCTTGATATCGGGCCGTCTTGATATCACCATCATGATGATTCCTCGACCAAACTTCTGGGGTCTCAGCCACTTCCATTACCGATCATTCGATCATGATAACCAGAGATTCTATGCCCGAGACACATGAGTAGCGGCTGGGTATCAAGGAGCCACGTAGTCATCTTAAAAGAACATTTCTGGTTCTCTCGGATTTAGATACCGTCACCAGAATGTCCTTCTTTAACTTCCAAATTGTTTCCCCTACTTTTCTGACCAGTCTGTCCTTATAATTGAATTATATCATTGAGATTAAATCTCTTATTTCAGGTATTCAGCTCGATGAGATCGTCGCGATTTCTGTTCGAACTTATGACACCAGTGAGTTATGAGCTCAAATAAAAGGCCCATGATCTTTATATATGATCTTCCTTTCAGACCCCACTATCCGTGCAATGACTGGCGGAAACAAGACTTTGTACGATCCTTTTTTAAGATCCGTAAACCGGGAACTGCTACTCGAAGGCAAGGTATGGCTCGCTGTTTCGGAGGGTAAGATCCTTGGAGTTCTTGGAGGCTTCGGTCCGGGGACATTTCTTTGGGCAACATCGGTTTCTCTTGGACCAAATATGTCATAGATGGTCATTTGCTCACGGTTTCACATTGCATGCTTAGAGAGGAGTAAAGCGCCTTAGGATTCAACAATGCCTATGCTCGCCTTACGGAAGAAACAAAATATTGGTGGCAGAATATTGTACGTTTTTGAACCAGGTAATCTTCGGCATTCACTCAAGATGGGTTTCCTATTAGTATGGGCCGCAGATCAAGGAATTCATGGATAACGCTCTTGGGGAAACCGTCTGTGGAGCTCCGTCTGGATCTCTAAGAAATTTGACGCACATTTTAAGGCAGATCTTGATGGATGGATGACACCACTGTTGGCGGATGATCCGCCATGTTCAAAGAAATGGCCCAACAGGTGAGTCTTGAATATCGTAGCCATTTTCTGTTCTCCAGGCTTAGAACGCCCCTTAGGCAATACAAGATAAGGCTATCATGATAGTGGGTGCAGACAGCGATCTCAACATAAATACATGCTGGTGTTCCAAGTCAATCGAGAGGTGATGAAGAAGGTAGAGAGAGAACCCACCATTTCAAAATCGTTCCATATTATATTGCCCAAACAGTACATGTCAAGAGGGAATGGACTGATTTTAGCATTGTGATTGGCACAGATCTCAGCAAATTCTGAGGCAGATCTGTCACCTGCAGTGATGGAGATGTTGAATGGGAGCCGGACCAGAAGAGTCGACAATATCCAAATGTATTTGAAACAGTCCCGCCGCCCTTCCCAACTACGTTTCTCAACCATTGAACGGCCTGGCGGCGCATACATCGAGAATTTCTTTGTAAGAAACAGACTGGAAGGCAGCTGCTGTGGATATACCTGGCGTTATGTCCAATGAACCAGTCTCAGCGAACGGCCATGGTGGTGCGTAGCCTCATTCCCTGCTGATATACTAGTTACTGATGTTTCTAGCAGCGCGTCCTTTCGTTTGCAACAGGACGAGTGAAAACTTAGACTAACAAGGCCGATCTCATGGTCGGGGCGATCAATCAACGATAAAATCACAATGTGGTGTATCAGCCAGTGCTACCCAGAATGACTCGGTGATGCCACACTACTTCTTTCCACTATGATTCGCAGGATAGCGCTATCCATTTCAGCCGCCATCCTCGACTATCTAAAAGCTGCCTATCTTCACACTCTCCGTCTTTCTTCCCTGTGCGCTGCATTCATATCTGCCTTGAAGCCCACGTCAAAGTTGTGATAACGTCATCGTTTATCCCTCTTGTCTCCATGGTTTTGGATCTGAGCAGACAAGCAGGCGAAGGAGGATTTGTTCTGAGCGACGATAGAAGAGATGAATCTGCTTTCCGAACCAAAGAGAAGCAGGGGGTGGTGTTCAATGATCTCGGGAAGGAATCAGTGGTTGACGGAAGGGCGCATGTTCGTTACGAGCAAAACACTGCCTGTTTGTCGACGTGACTGTCTTTTCATGTCTCCATATCGTTCTTGGTGATGACAACACAGAGCGGAAAGATTTATCCATCTGGCATGATGACCGGTGGAGCAGGTTGAGCAAGTTTCGAGACGTATGAGGTTGTCGCGCAGGAGGAGAAACATCTAGCGCTAAGGAGCAGGTCCAGTTGGAGGGCTCCCAACTTGATACTGCACAGATGCAGCTATGTGGTGCCGCCTGGTTATCCTCTGAAACTCGGCAATAAGACCCTTCGCAGTGTGAGCGACTCGGTCTGTTATGACGTCCGCATTCTGACTCTGCGCATCCTGGGCGATCTATTGGTGGTGTATTGTCCATACCCGGCTTACAGGGCATCGGTGGGATGTCAAGCCTGCATGAACAGAAAAAAATATTGCTTACGTACAGATCGGAGTTGTTCGGCAAAAGGGCCTGGATCTTTCGTTCCTCTGGTATCCTCCTGAACTGGCCATAGTAGGTCATTGTTATTATTGTTCTTTGCTTAACGATATGATGGTACAGATATCCTCTTCCTCCAAGTCTCCCGGATAAATGAGAATTCAACGAGGTGACGAACGTCATAGACCACACGACTCTTCGATGGGAGTTGCTTCGCTCAATAGACACCCACAACACCTTCAGAATCTATGTATGCTATTCAGTGCCACTTTCGAATGCTCTGGCCCATGTCCTCAATAGTCCTGCGCTTGTTTACGTTCCACGAGTTCCTTTTCCCTTATGCTAGGTTAGTTCTTTGTCTCAGTCGTGTTAATTGCGTCATTGACGATTCAAATTTGACAGACAACATCTCACATTTTCTCCGTCCGTTTTACATTTTTGCATAATGATGGCCCTGCGTCCCCGGGTTCATCCCCTATTTGGAAGAATTGTCGCCACTAGGTTCAGTCTGCCACCTAATAACATTGGCTTTCCTGCGCAAATCCGGACAAAGACAACAGAGCAAATAAAGATTAACAAGAGGCCGAATCACTCTCTGTTTAACTCTTCAACTATGCTCACGTTTCCCAATTTCTGTCAGCCTGGACTCTACAGAGTCTACCCCACATTGTCTAGCTCCTCAGCAGACTATTTTTTCGCTGCTAATGCCTCTCTTCCAGCGGGGACCACAAATGTATGGTCTTGGGATGCCTGCATGTCGCAGAGCCCTCCCTATCTCAGCGACTTGGTTAACGATTTCGAGGGCGTTCAGGAGATCGTTCGGTCAGAAGATCGTGTTCACGTGTTAGGATTCCGTCTCCAACATGTCGGAGAACTGGTAGGCATTCTTGGCAGCCTCCCCGGATTTCAGCGCGTCGAGCGATTGAGTCTCGGGCAGCTGTACTTCGATGAGAATCCCTCTATGGCTGCCTTAACGCAGGCATTCCGAGATTCGTGCCTTGGGAGGATCAGGGAGCTCACGCTGCAGCTCTTCAACGGGGCTGCAGTAGAGTTCCCCGCTCCCGTCATCATAGCGCTGCTTGCGCACTGTAGTCATCTCAAGCATGTCCACTTTCGAGGGTACGGAGCCTTCTACGGCAATTACAGCAGTTTTGGGAGCTCTGAGATGTGGAAACAGTGGCTCTTTCATTCACGCGGTAGACCCTACGCCGTCGTGAGTGAGCGCAGGATCAAGACGATCAGCTTCGAAGGTATAGGCTGCCAGCGTATGGAGGATGTGCTGGCTTTCATGGTCAGCGGTGATTCCCCATTCGATATTGAAGGACTTCAGTGTCTTTCCATTCCCTGCGTCATGGACTACGACAAGCCCTCCTCCGAGCTTTGCGCTATCCTGGAGCGAATCCTAGCAAGGGCCCGTGAGCACATCGAGGAGCTTCGGCTGTGTTTTTCTCTAAGCAATGACTGTGAGTCAGACCAACTATTATCCGATCGATGCTACATTTCTGATCTCCAATTTCAGTAATTCCTCTACCGTGCCTTCGGACGCTAGGGCTCTACGTCAGGAGGAAGGCCGAACATGGCACGGAACTACTGCGTTGGACGGCCGAGAACTTGGCAAATGAGACTATGGCGCCCTCCATCGAGGTCGGCTTTGCGTTCCCGAAGCTGAGGTGGACCTGGCAGGATGAGCTTCGACAACACCGCGCCGAAGATATGGGCATCGTGGCTCTTGCTGACCTGAGTAAGGACAGGCATAGTGTCGATAACGAGAAATACAGGGAGTTGTTGGTTCTTTTGTCGTCGTTCGACAGCATGGATGGTGTCATGGCTTCTCGAGTCGCGCAGGGAGTGGTGAACGAACTGAAAATTGTTGGGCCCCGTCGAGACGAGTCTGGTTTGAATTGGGACGAGAAGCTGCGGGGTGCCCTGTTCCCTCGGTCCGAGGATCGATTGAAAACTTGCCGGGCTACGTCGGGTCTGTACTGTTGATGGACGAGTATGAGAATATCATGCAGCGTAACACAAAGCGGCGGTTATCTTGTGGGCTCTTAGGTGCGGGCTGCATATTTAGAGAAAGTGTAATCCTTTCCGAAGAATTTTTTAACAACGATATTTCTTCCAGAGTCCCAGGCTAGATTCGCGAATTAAGGCAATTGGCCTGCGGTGGCATCCGTAGCCGAAATTGACCATCCTATGGTGTACACGGAACTCTGGCAGCGAATTCGAAGCACTCAAGTTTTCCGGAGAGAGGAAAAAGGTCTGAAAAAATCCGGAATCTTGCAGATCCTCGCTATAACTGTTCAGAATAAACCAAAAATAGATCTGGATCCGCCCCGTAATCCGCCTTGGCGCCAGCACCGTAACCTACTACGCGAGATGTTTCAAAACATTGCCTCTCTCCGGTTGAACCTCGGATGGAATCTTCTGCAGTTGCAAATCCAGTGATGTCGCGGCCCCGCTGCTGCGCCCGGTCGTTCAAGCAACACGTTCTGATCCTATACAAAGCCGCCGTTGCCAGTATTTAAAGGATGGCGGGAGCTGTGATGTAAACCAACACAAAATGGTGTTCCTTGCCCTCCGATCTCTGACGCTCTTTTATCTTATCGTTCTTTTTGCCAGCCGCCTGGCCAATGCGAACCCCGTCGTGAAGCGCGAAAGCCGTACTTCTGCACCAACGGGTGCTGTTGTTGTGAGAGGTAGTGGAGCAGCGTCCGGGGAATACAGCACAGTGCAGGCTGCCGTCGACTCGCTCGCTGACGATGGGACTGACCAGGTTATCTTCATTTATGAAGGTAAGTCGGGCTTCCTGCTCGAGCATCCATTTTAGAGACTGTTTAGGTACCTACACTGAGCAAGTCTACATCGATCGCGATGGTCAGACGACGGTACATACTACATACTCGCCTCTTTTTGCAAATCGGAGCCGTGCTGATGTCCGTCGCTCAGATCATGGGCCAGACCTCTGATACCAGTAGCTACGCGAGCAATACGGTTACTATCACTTATTCGCTGTCTCTTGCCAGTGCGGATGATGATGACTCGACTGGGACCTTGCGCGTACACAAGGACGACTTTGCTCTGTACAACGTCAATGTGAAAAATACGGTACGCCTGTAGGAAGTTTTGGTATGAGAGGTCTTTTGATCGTATACGTTCTAGTACGGTGAAGCTAGTACTGATGGTCAGGCACTGGCATTGAGTGCTTACGGAACAAATCACGGCTACTATGGTGTGGGCTTCTATAGGCAAGACATCCCTCGTAGCTGTGTTCTAGGACGAGTGGTGTCTGACCGTAATCGAACAGCTATCAGGATACAGTGCTCGCACAAACGGGAAACCAATTCTATGGCTCCTGTTACATCGAAGGAGCGGTCGACTACATTTTCGGTCAGTATGCACGGGCGTATTTCCACCAGAACACGATTGCTTCCGTGGGTGCCGGAGCAATTACCGCAAACGGACGCTCATCGTCGGATGGAGTGAGTCTGTGTGAGTACTAGTGAACTTGCTTCTTGTTGCGTCCCGGGTTTTTACGTTCGATCCGTCTCAGATGTCATTAACGAATCGACTATCACTACTAGCAGCTCGGCAACGGCGTCTCTTGAGGGGCTAGTGTTCCTTGGTCGGCCGTGGGGAGCATATGCTCGGTGTGTCATCAGCTCCATACACCTGTGTATGAATGGTGGCTGATCGTGGACCAAATAGGGTCGTCTACACCTCCTGCTCGCTCGGAGATTTGATCAACAGTGCTGGCTGGGAGGAATGGTCCAGCAGCGAACCCAATACCGCCGATGTCACCTTTGCTGAATACAACAGTTCTGGTACGTTCGAACTTGCTGCTTCGTGGTGAGTGAGTGGCTACTGGACTTTTTTTTTTTTCAGGGGATGGGGCGTCTGATAGTACTCGTGCATCGTTTGGTACGATACTGACTTCGACGAGCGGATATACGATATCGGATGTTTTGGGTAGTGATTATGCGGATTGGGTGGATAGCGATTATCTGTAATCTGTTTAGCGGAAAGCGATACACATGTTGGTGTACACTGCCGCAAAGTGGCTGAGTATATATTGCTGCTACTCTTTTGCTCCTGTTTTGATTAAATATCATCGTGTTTCTATCTTTACATGGCTTAAAGTGTGCAAAAAGTCCTTGACTCGGAGGCCGAGATGTCAAAACAGCGAGATCGATCGTGCTGTTGGCTCTGAGACGGGTCCTTTCTCCCATCTTGCTAGGAGTCTTTATTCCCCATTATATGTGGAGCCGATGATAAAAATTAACCCTCGTCAGAGAAAGTGGAAATCACTATGATTAAAATAGAGATCAAGTCTGATTTGACGACGTTAAATCTCTCGGCTTTCTATACCAGAATTACTCAGACATTTTACAGTCACCAAAGAACACAAGATAACCTGACATGATGTCCTGCTAGATAGTCAAGGGATACTGGTACATTGTATTAATTTTGTGTTTGTAAGTAAGAGAGATGTATCGAGGGAATGTTTCGATTGGTACAGTTTGTACCGTACTCTTTCCGATAATGAAGGTATCGTACATTCAGATAGACGACAGATAGCAAGTTCCGAGGTTACACAATGAGCGAAAATGGATAGCACACAACGAAATGAATGTTCCATGGCCAGCTGGATTTTTTTTGATTTTTGGAGGAGCGTCACTACCGCGACGAAGTCCACGCTTGAAACCTCGCTTCGTAGCGGGAATTGTATGGCCGACTATTCACTGTCCCAGTCAGATCATCATCGTCCTTTAAAAAACGCGCACAGGGGGGAGGAGACTCACTGGAACTCTGGGTACGCGATGTACGGGCAGTTCGGTTTGCACGGCTTCCCCACTTCGACGCGCCTCTTCTCCTTTTTTGGGATCCCGTCGCATAAGCACTTGGGGGCCGCGGCGCCATCCAACCATGCGCGCTTCTCGGAGAGGTATTTTTGGCGGTGTGGGCATTGGACGCGGTTCTCAGTGGTGCTGACTTTCCCGCAGGTGTAGGTGTATTGGGAGGTTATGTAAAGGCACATTTTTTTCAGCGTGGGCGGGGTAAGAGAGGGATAGAAAGCGACTTCCAGCCGGGGAAGGATAGGGATAGGACGATCCAGAAGTAATGAGGGGGGCGTTATAAAGTAGAGAAGGGAAGGGATCAAACCCCGATCAACTGGGAAATTTGAGAAGATCATGGGTGGGGTGGCGGAATTTTTGGGACGTAAGAAGCAATCAAGCATCGGAGGCAATAGTGCAGTTTTACTCAGAGAGGAGGATCACACTTGTGGCGAAGCTTGAAGGCTATTGAAAAACTTTTTTTAGTGGCGTCCCATTGTTCAGAGTTAGATTCGATATTCAGATTGGTCAACTAACATAGCCAGTCTAGACTCGAGCGCTCGTGTGCCATTCGCTAATTATGACGCATGGAAAAATTATGTTCCATAGCCACAAAGGCACATTCGGTTGCGCAGTAATTGAGGCTCATTTCGCACTTAGAACGCGGATAAATGACACTTGTCAGGTATCTCGGTTTTTTGCACGTACCGTACTTCAGTTTCGTATCCTTCAAAGAACGAGATCGGTCATTACACCCCCCCTCAGTCGATTCTGGGATTCAGAAACGCGCCGTCCTAGCCAGAAACGACTCGAGATCACACGTTCCCCGACCATGCCTGCAGGGGCGTGAGACATAATGTGAACATGAGTGATTTGCATATGTCAGAAGACAGAGGCAGCCCTGTGGGAGGTGGAGGCTTCTGTGGCGGCGAAGTCAGTAAAATACTTGCAGTATTCACCCTGAGCTGTCATGGCGACCCCAGGCTTATTTTTATGGAAATCCCACAAAAGGCTTCTTCTCCAGGCCAGGGGCCTTGGAACCTGCTTCAGACTTGCCGCTACAATCTCATGGCCGTAAGAAGAGACCCCGTAAGATGATAGACCCCTGAAAGTACATAAACAGACAGACCCGACGGAGATCGGAACCTCTCAAAAGCAGCTTCGTTCCTTCCAATTTCAACACGAATTTGAAGGAATCACTGTTTAATGTTTATCACCTGGCCCTTTGGGCAGAGTAAAGAGAAGCAATAGTTGTCATATACTGAGCAACATAAAGGCTCCGAGGGAACTAGAGACGAATCGAAAGGAGCTCCCGATTTTACAAATGGCTGGAAGTAGATCGCTGTTGGGGAGGACAAGTGGAGGAACCGAACCAGGGTAGTGATGGCCCAATGACCGGCCCGACGGACCGCCCTGTCCGAAGCGGCCAAAGAGCGACGACACTTTTCTTTTTTAGCGATGACGATGGCCATCGCTTCCGAATTTCTCGTCGACCTCGATACTGCATGACCGTGGCTTCATTTGGATGCGACCTTGAAGGGCGCAGATAGGGCGAGACTTAGCGGCGATACGAAGGAATACTGAAAGTCCTGTTGAGCGATTGACTCTGCTATCTTTCTTGAAGGAAACTTTCACAGGTCGTACGTCTGTCACTTAGGCCTCGTTGCGTCTAGCTTACCTCTAATAGTCTTGGAGCGAACGGAACTCGGGATGTTCACAACTTTCAACCTAAGCAACCCTTTTTTGATACAGCTACGACGCCACTCCCTTATCCATTGAAGCGACTAGGGGCCCCCCCCCCCCCCTCCGGATGCATATTATCTACGAATCTCGCCTGTCGCTATCCTTTGCCAGTTCTGTCCGAAAGATGTGGGCCATTACTTGGAGAAACTGTGCTTGATGCTTAAATTTTTTGATTTTGGGGAGAGAAGGGTCAGATCGCTTGTCCGCGGAATAAGATAAATGCAAACTCGGATCGTTGAAGCCGATCTCATTCGCATCTTATCGATCAACCATCATGTCGACGACCATTATCTTCTACGATATCCCTTCAAAATTACCCATCAATGCATGTTCTCCTAATACGTGGAAAGCGAGGTCAGATAGTATCCTGTGTCCGTTTCAGGCCGTCTCTTATCATTGCCCAGATACGCGCTAAACTTCAAGGGCATCCCGTATCGTACAGAATGGATTGAATTCCCTGATATCGAGGCGTTATACAAGAGGCTTGGTGTATCGGCCAGCGCGACCCAGCCTGATGGCATGACACCATACTACTTCCTCCCGCTCATTAATGACTTGTCAACTGGCGCTATCGTATCCGAATCAGCCGCTATCGCCGAATATCTTAATGCCACCTACCCTTATACTCCGTCCCTCTTCCCTCCCGGTACACGAGCCCTACAAGCTGCATTCACATCTGCCTTTGAAGCGCACATCATGGCGATAATTCCATTTTTAGTCCCTGCATCAAATGCAATATTGCATCCACCAAGCCAGGCGTTCTTCAGGCGAACGAGGGAGGAAACATTCGGGATGACACTTGAAGAGATGATACCGCATGGGGAGCATAGAGAGAAGCAATGGGCGCTCTTTAAGCATGACCTTGGCAAGGTTGATGCGTGGATAGCGAAGGGGGACCCGTTTGTTATGGGAAACGTGCCTACGTTCGCGGACGTCACTATGTGTGGGTGGATCTTGTCTTTTCGCATCATTTTCGGCGAGGATAGCCCTGAGTGGAAGGATTTGTCGGTGTGGCATGGTGGACGGTGGGAAAGGCTGGTTAAGAGCTTTAAGAAGTATGAAGTGGTTGTGTAGGGCGATTCTTCACGGCTGTACCCCTCGAGACGTCTTTGTAGGTCTGAGACCCTCCATGGCGTGGCGTATGTCTGATGTGCACTACTTTTACCGGCGTGCCACTGTATTTGTAGTTCGATTCTTCTTTCTCCTCGAACGCGTCTGGACCCTGAGCATGTCCCAGATCAAAGGAAAAGCTTCCATCCGACAATGCTCGCGTCCCTAACCTCCGTGCAAAGGCACCTTGCACCTTGTTCGACGGTCTGCGAGAGACATTTACATCACGATACTAGAGTCACTTTCGCGAGATAGGAAGCATTCACGCTCCCGGGAACACCAAGGCTACGTGTCACCATTCTGGATGCTCCAACCCCCCCCCCTCCCCGCTCCGCTGACTTTTGTCCATTTATGATCAGGGGAAGGATGGTTACTAGCGGTAATCTGTCGGCATTTGGAATAATAGTTTGGGAGTGGCAGGCGATTGGAGCCTACCCGCACTGCCGTGTATCTACAGAGCAAGGTCCTAGAACAGATCTACAAGGCGGTGGAGAAGATCCGCGAGGTTCGGAGAACACACTCGCTGCGCGCTGATAATCCGACTAGGATTGTCGGTGTCCTGGGGTGGGCTGGTGCACGTGTTGTGCCGTTCTGGGCATCGCGTCGGATCTGTGAGGTTGCGGCCGAATCTCCGAATTTGAACAGTTCTTGGAAGGTATACGGGTCGTTGGGACGACGAGGATTTGTTTACACTAACAAGCCTGGGCGGGCGAGAAACTGGCATATGATCTATGATCAAGGGAGAATGAGGAAGGCTAAGTTTGACGTTGGGTCAGCTGGTAAGACTATCATTTCGTACCAGAGAAGCAGGTAATCTGTATTTTAAATGAAATGCTAATTCAACGCTGAAGTTTCAGGAGAACTCCAATGATGCAGATTCGCCTGTGCTGCGAGTGAGACTTTCCTAATGGTTAGATAATCGGCAGTCTACAGAATTTAAAAATGAGAATGGCGATGTTATCTCTTGGGAGGAACGTAGTCTCACACATGGAGACAAAGCTATACGGTCCAGTGAGCACTTGAATGGCCACTTGAAGCAGAACAGCAGCTTCATACTATGAAAGGGGGAAATGTGACCTCACCGAGGATGGCTCTGCGACTAACGGTGGAATGTGATCAGCACTTCAGTACTGAACTTCAAACACTTGCGTAGTTTTGACAATGGATCAGATTCTAAAAAAAATTTGTAATTGCAAACTTTGGGAGAGTAAAAGGTAATACCGAATCTCGTCGGTGTAATTGGTGGTGTGCTACGCCCTTCCACAGTAGCGTGATGGATGGCACACGTATGGCGGACGTGACCAAGGCGACAAAGCGTCGAGACGTTTATCTTAAAAGAGAGGACTCGTCAGAGCATGAATGGATCGATCCATCACCTTTCTTTTGTGACCATGGCTTCACCGGGTTTGTTGCGGATGATGGGGCAAAGGACTCCAAGCGGGCGCAGGCTCTGCTAAAGATAAGTGATGTTATCGGTCGATGATACGGTGGAAAGACGAATCATCTCTAAGTCATCATAGCGTACGGGAGTCGGTTCTGACGCAGGGGAGTTGTAGCGGGTCGTCGTCTTAGGAATGTCGCGCCAATCTGCTGAGAAAGAAAGATGGACATTCAGACGCTGCTTACTCTGACAGATGCGGGTACCAAATAGCCAGATCTATCGGTCGGTTGTATCCTGACCGCATAGCCTGCGGAAAAGCTGACGGAGTCTAATGGCCGACTAGGACTGGGCGTGGGCGAGCAACATGTGCATGTTATGTTTTTTTTCCATAGAATTCATCTGACACTTGTCGAAGCTAAAAATGGATGATTCAAGAGAAATAGCAGGTAGACGAGAAAGGGGGCATTACTCGATAGCACTGCTAGGAGAAACGCCAGCGTCCACGAGGCTGTGGAGAGCGGCCTCAAGGCGACGGAAGGGAGAGAGCCAAGAATGCTTCGCTCACCAATGGGAATCCAGAAAATCAAAACGGGGGGGTCTGAGGAGCGCTGGCGTTGCCTCGGCCAATGATTACTCTACTACGGGAGCAGATGCGCACCCTTCTAGCGCAAATATCAGCCCAATCGCGGGGTCCCGATTCCAGATGGGCAAACACTAGACAGACAAGCGGCTCCACCACGGACGCTAGGCTCCATCTCTCCGAAGCCCAGATGGGAATAATCAAGACCATCAGCCGTATCGATGCGGGTGGCGTTGGCGGATGCAAATATCCTCGCGGTGAGAAAAGGTTGGTCTGAGGAGGTGAAGGTCCCAAATCTCTTGCCTTCGACCAAGGATTCTCGAGCGGACGACGGAGGCAAGTCGACATCAAGAAGAGGCAAGGGAGAGGACCGTTTAGTAGGAGGGTAACGCTACATGATTCGCGGGTCCGAGAGCTCCACAAGAGTACCTCCTCGGTGGCCACGACATCATATGGCTTAAGGAACAGCGGCTCGAGTTCCGCTCCTTCCGGCACCGAAAGAGCGTAAGGATAACCCATTTTCCTAGTATAAAAGGGTGCCAGGATTTACTGTAAACGCCATCGAAAAGTCAAACTCGTCGATAACCACCCAAACCAAACCAACATGCAATTCGTGCGTGTACCTCTCTGTTTCCACTTACACACTGTCCTGGGCTGACGAGGTTTTGCATCGGCGTATAGGTTTCTCGAATCCCCGTTTCCCAGACCTGCGGTACCGCTGCCTGCAGCTGTTCTTCGTGAGTAAAATCTCTCAGCTAGGGTTTGACATCTACTGACATTCTTGTCTCGGATCCAGCTGCTCATGCCAGGGCGCCGAGTGCAAGTGCACCAGTTGCAAGCACTGAAGCACACGAAGCCAAGGTTTTAAAGCGCGGAGCTAGTTCTGTCGTTCAGTTTATATATGTCTCTTGCATAATGCGAAGACGAAAGTTGTTGAAATTATTTGTGCTTCACTGAGTTAATTGCAGGTACGTGTCTCGAGAAGGATCTGGGGCTAAAAGAGACAAATCCGTCATTTGAGATGTCCGGGGTTCATGTCGGTGTCATCCTGACAGGAGAAGTTGGAAGAAAAAAGGTGAAAACCATCACGGAAATGTTGATAATGTATTATATACACACACACGGCCAATTTAGTCGGATCGTTATGGCCTAGCGGTATACCATCTAATAGCTGCTGCAAATCACTCTTTTGAAGGGGGGTCTTAGCGTTCAATCCCTGATATTGACTGAACGCAACCTTGCCCTTCAGACCAGGTTTGTGCACGAAACTTCCATGACAAGTAACTGTTTGTTTTTAACTGGCTCGTCGCTAAAAGTATTATGTTTCGTCCGAACACGCAAGATATAATTACATTTGGGTAATCTACTGTCCGGTTGGTCATATGGGAAATCTGCCGCCACGGTTACGCAAGTCCCCACGCATGATGCAGGACGCCTGCCAGCCTCTGAATGGCCAGGTCCACCTTCTCTTTCTGCAGCGGGCGCATATTAGGAAACGAAAGAATCAGAAGGCCGAATACTTACAGTCGTCATAGAAAACGCCAGTCTGAAATGGACAATGTCGCGTTCAGCTGCATCTCTCGGTTTCTTTTCACCTTCCCAAGCTCTATACAGAAACGAAAGGTAAGAAAAAGTGAGCAATCGGGAATATCCATAGAATACGTACACGTAAAACCTGCCTGGGGAAATCAGAAGCTGTTTAAAAAAAATATGAGCTACGGATGGTCAGAAACGCGGCAAAGTACCCGAGATCACCTTCGCATCTATAATATCCTGCCAGAGCTTCTGCTCAAAAGCCGTCTCTGGATCCTCAGACGAGCTCTTGAATAATCCCGCATACTCCTTGTTCTCACTCAGATACACCTTGACCCACAAAAACATCCCGGCTTGCGGGGGCACGAAGCTGAGCAATTTCACCCTTGTCCCTTTACCGTAGACAATCACCTCGTCGCCCTCCTGCACAGCGTCGAACTCCTTCGCGAAAGCATCGCACATCCAGTTTCGCCGGATCACGTACTGACTCTGCAATCCCGACAGCCAGCGGAGGTACCCACCGAGGCCGGGGCCCCAGGCGTGGAGGAGCTCGGAGACGATGGACTGCGACCAGCCTGAGGCCGCTTGGGTTGAGGTCTCGGTTGCGCGGAGGATCCGTTCGGCGAAGAGCGGGCTACAGGTGAAGAATCCAAGACGGTTGCCGGGAGCCATCGTTTTGCTGAAGGTGTCCAGACGAATGACGCGGCCCTGGACGTCGATGCTCAGGAACGTTTTGACGAGGGAATCTAGGAATGCCGCTTCGTCGTAGCTGGGCGGGGGCGGGGGTGCCGTGTGACCATTAGCGACGCTTGGAAGCTTGTAGGTGTCGAATTGGAGGATATAGTACGGGTCGTCTTCCACGATGATAACGTCTGTTCAAACACAGTTGAGGAACGGAAGGATGTTCGTTTGCGCGGAGGAAGAACGTGCCGTATTTTACACAAATGTCATATATTTCCTGCTTACGAGCGACGGGCATGGTACAGCCGGTAGGGTTCTGCCCAGTGGGAATCACGCTGTTGCGTATCAGTACTGCGCGCCAGGGTCAGCGGATTATGACTCACTATAAAATGTGTGGACGTTTCACACCGGGATGGGCGTTGTCCCATTCCCGGAGGGTTCTTTCCAAGACGTCAGCACGTATTCCATGGGCATCCATCTCAACTGTGATAGTCGTTCAGCGGTAAACGATAGGAGAGAATAAATACATACGTGGAACGCCCTTGCATCCCATCGGTATCCAGTTCGCCTGAGTAGAAGGGAACGTGTACTTTTCGAGGAGGATGTAGTCGCCAGGCTCACTACGTCCGTCGTGGTTAGTCGGAATTAAGGACCAGATACAATTGTACTTACCAGAGAAGGTTGACAACTTTGCTCCAACCATCCGTGCTTCCATCGTTCATCAGGACATCGAAATTTTTATAGGCTGGCTGATAGACGACGCGCACAAAGTCCCGGACATATTGGAGAAGCCATGGGAAACCAGCGGTGGGTGCTAACGACGACTAATTACCCTCAAATATTTCATGAGGAAACATTTAAAATCGTACCGTATTGCAAGCCAGTGGCCAAATCCACGACCTGCCCATTCGCCCTTCCATTCCTGTGAACGTTGAAACGTAAAAGCTCCGAGTCTGACTCGGATGTATTCGAGGGAAGATAGACGCCAGGAGAATAAACCTCTGCTTCGATATTGACGAATGGAAAAAGAGACGGATGTGGTAGACCTCCAGCCAAACTGATCATGCCATCCATGGACATGTACTTCATAAGACCTGGCGGCATTGACTCAGGAAAAAAGAAAAGCAGAGAAGGGGAGAATAGGATAACACACTTTTCAGGGGACTTGGAGTCCTAGCCGCGGAAATGGGGCTCAAATGGTGACTGAAATCAATAGCGTCCATGGTTTTGCTGCGCGACACAGCAGGATGTGCTCTTCCATTAAATACCACACCATCCAAGCGACGATAATGAGATAAGCGTACCAGACTTGCGCAATTCCGAATTCCTGTTATCTCACCATTCCGACGGCAAATCTCCTGTGCACGGGGCCCCCTCATCGCGGAACAACTGCTGTGCTGACTAATGTTTTTCGGCCGAGTGGCCAAGAGTAGGCCGGTGGCCTATAAGCAAGGAAGGAACATAAATACCGATGACTGCACTAGGAAAAGTTTTCGTCGGTGAATTGTCGGTGAAGTCTTTCCAATAGAACGACAGTGATAGGGCTATTTGCCAGGCGGCACTCACGGACTCGTAAAACAACAGTGGGCCCACGAAAACGTCCTCACACAGGTAGGGGACCAAAGTGGGGTGAAGGTTGAATGAGTAGATTGGGACCGGCGGAACTTATAAAGATGGTAGACGTGCGCAAAGAGCATCGGCATTTCCCGGTTACCTAAGATGCATTGTTTGTATCTGTTGACTTCCACGGTAGCGTGATTAGGGGCTTTCTCTTCCCAACTTGAATTACTGACTTATTCATTATAATTCTTGCTTCGGTGGACGGTGGACCACCGTTCTCCATTTTATCCGATTGGTAGGGTGTAGATATCTAGTGTGTAGAGGCCACAGATGCCAAAACAGTGACTCCAAAAGGTGATGAAGAACCAGCAAGCTTCTTGTGGTATCGACGAAGTCTAGCACAAATCAAGGACGTAAGATCGTCAAAAATCGGTACTGAACTTTCAAGTAATGGAATCGTTACTTACCTGCAGAGGCTTTGCGTTCTACGTATCTGGCCAGTAATCCTGAACGCAAAGAACATCAGACTGGGACGGAGAAATCCGGATCGTCGCCGGGCCGGGATCTGTCGCTGTGTCATCTTGAACTTTCTCTTTTGAAAACGACGTCCCAGCTGACGGGAAGCAAATTTCCTCACGATGCGTACTCTGTTGTATGCTATCTTTCGTTGCATCCAAATTATCAATAGAGAAGAGAAGGTACGTCTTCATTGATGTCCTAGGATAAGCCTTACTATAAATATGCACAATCTGTACATCCTGTACAGGTGGTTACCGACGCCAAGTGAATACTCTACAACTCAAGCAGCAGCAGCCACGACCAGAGAGCCAGTGTAAAGCTCCTACACAGCAAGTCTATGCTGTTTCTTCCGCTCTAGGGATTATGTATATTATACCTCGGAAATTATTCCACAACGTGCCACCCAGGAATACCACTCGTCTCGTTCAGCACCTGTTGATGGTTTTTTGTGAGCCGACCATGAGGTAGAACAATCATTCACCTCTCGACGCCAGAGGCGATTCTTCAGATCCCCCGTGGTCTGCATGAACGTTCGTACGTTAGTTCATGTATGGCGGTTCTCAGTGCGTCTGACCTTCAGATTAACTTCAGGTCCACCGCGTAATGTCCCAGCTCTAAGCCATACTACCGGGCTCGCTCTGAGCCGCGCTGTTTCAGTGTTGCTACTATTTTGCTACGAATTTCGAGCACCGGCTTCAGAGCGAGGCGACGAGCCTTCCCGGCTTTTCTCACCTCTATATCTCGTGCGCGAGTTTTAGCCCGTCTTCCGAGCCCCTGCGTTTCTGGTCAGGGCGCCATGCCTACAAAACTTGGGGTCGAATACACTCACTAAATTTGGGAACGCCCCAACACATATCAACGATGCGATTACTGACATCAACAAGAACGGATTCCAGCGCATAGCGGTCCGAGGTAAAATGGCGAAAAGTGTGTACTCAATGTGTTTACTTTCCTGTAGGGAGAAGCAGGCTCATCATGTTCCTCTGCACAGGAAAGCTTTAATACTTCCCGTATCGGACTTGCGGTATGGCTTGCTCTCACAAGATATCAAGCCTGCTATCTCTGATCATCCGTCCGCGCAATGATATGTGTTCCGAGCCGCCCGATATATGCGGCAATCACAGCGGTCGATTGCCCCTTACCTCGGCCCTCGTCGATCAGTCGTGTTCGACCTTGATATGCTTTGCTCGAGGTAGTGAAAATGACTTGTGAGAAGGCAGAAGAACAATTGACGTTCACATGCAGGTGATCCGTATCCCTCTTCGGGGATCATGTAGAGACTTGGAGGTCGCAGAATTTCTTTTCGTAAAGAATATCTTTCGACACATCCTTATCTCGCATGCTCTCTGTGAAATCGGTCTGTGGTAAATGGCCTCGAATCCGATGTCGGTGTTGCTCCAGAGGTACGGAAGAATGTGATTCTTTTCTGGAGAAAACCCAGAGCTTGGCATTGCTACCACTTTCACCTCCTATCTGTCATAATCATCGTCGAGGGTCCCGTCCCCTTTCAGATTCTGTTCCAAGCGATGCGGTGATGTCGATGTCCTATAAAAGGCAATGCCGACGGGGCGGGATTCAAGATAGCTCCCAGAGCCGCGGCGGTGGCCCGGTAAGCCGAGTCTGCCGCACGAGTTGAGTATGTTTTACCATTGTGTCAGACAGTCTGAGTGATACCACTGTCAGTTAACGCGTGATACCACTGGCCGCGCCCAGAAATTGAAATGACAAGTTAGCGTCCGGGTGTGAATGTCTGTAAGATTCCTTGGGTCATACGGTGGGATTTGTGGTGACTGGTCTTCATTTCAAGGTCATTCCGGGATGCAGTTCCTCCGCTCCACGTGCCGCTTTCGGGCTTCCGTAACATTGATTGATTACTATTTCTGACTCATACCACCATGGCCCATCCACCGCCACCTGGATGTCACGTTGCCGCCGTCCTTTTCATGACAGAGAATGAAGATCTCGATCCTGAAGCTATAGAATCTCATACATTGAGATTGGCACTGGTACCAAAATTTAGCATGTGGTGAACGCGATACTAGCCATCCTCGGTTTTCTAGGGAGGCGTTGCTGGTATACTCGTGCACGGTGATAATGGGGAGGCTCAGCTGCTCTCAGAGAGTGAGCGACGCGATGTTATCAAGATCACCCGCCAGGTGTTGGACAAGAACGGGTTCACTAACGTTCCTGTCATCGCTGGTGCCAGTGCATCGTCTACCAGAATGACAGTCCAGCTATGCAAGGAAGCAGCAGATTCCGGCGCGTCGTATGCACTTGTCTTGGCGCCTGTTCCCTGGCCCCTGAAGATCACCCCTGAATCTGCTATCGCTTCATATCGCACGGTGGGTGGACCTTATTCTTCTATCAGTCGATGTCACTGTAGAATGCTCACACCAAAATCGTGTCCTCTGTAGATCGCAGATAATTCGCCCATTCCCATCATCATCTACAATTTCCCAACGGTCACGAACGGGTTGAACCTCGACTCTGACGTGATCGCGGATCTTGCGGAGCACCCAAAGATCGTAGGCGTGAAGCTCGCTTGCGGTGAAATGGGTAAGCTTCACAGACTCGCATCGGTTTTCTCTCCGTCCGAATTTGGGATATACACGTCGACGACGGATTGCATGCTCCACGGTATGATATCTGGATGCGCTGGGACGATGTCAGCGTCACCGAATATAACCCCCAAGCTGCATGTGAAGCTGTATGATCTTTTCAAGCAGGGTAATATGGACGAGGCGCTGAAATTGCAGACGGATATTGCCCATGCGGATTGGGCGGTAAGGAAGCTTGCGCCACTTTCTGGGTTCAAGACGGTCGTAGCGAAGAATTTTGGTTATGGGAGTAATGTTGTGCGTTCGCCGTTGAAGGCCGCGGGGGCAAATACTTTTGTGGGGAGCAAGCATTCCGCGGCTTTGGAGAAAGTGATCTGGATGGAGAAGCACCTTTGAGGAGCATGTTATGGAGAATATGGCTTGGATCAATACAATCGTGTCTTTGTACAAGGGTGGCTGTTCGCACTTGGTGCCACCAAAGTCACGGCCTCATGAATCGTCTCTAAAGGTGGCACATATGTAAGTCGGTGTCTAAGAGTAAGAATGGACAATCTATTACCATACAAAGTGTCTTTGACGGCGTACTACTCCATGCTCACACCTTAAGCTTGGCAGTCTCATATTGGAACTCCTTTTGCTGCCAGATACCTGGAACACGTCTTTGGGCCTGCTGCATTTGGCCAATGTTCATTCTTGCATTCATGGAGTCCCGCCTGTCTGTTGAAAAAGTGGCATTCTCTGCTGGCTCAACAAAACATTGACAGCCGATTCAGGAATTAGGTTCAAACTTCTAACATTGATAGCACCGCAAAACCACTGGCACCGGTAACCTGGCCTTATCACATGACTCAGACATGATTCATCCTGTGATCTGGATCTGGATTTGTTTCGGTGGCACAAACACCGCTGCTATAAAAGGCGCGTGGCTTGTTATCCACTGACTTTGCCTTTCTTTTCTCTCCTCCATCATGACCACTACCATGTCATAGCCACCGGCGCCTTCTTGTAGCTTTTTCTTCAAGGGCGATTTTTCTTTACTGCCTCTAGATCTCGCAGACGAACGATGGTTGAGCCACATTGCCACCTCCAACTCTGGCATCCATGGTTCAATGCGAGTATCAGCGTTGCCATCGCACCTGGAGACTGAAGAGCTCGACTACCGATGTCTTTCTAATGCCCTTTGTCCACCAGATTCACGAATACGGAAGATTCTCTTGTCAGCCACACCCAGTAGACCACACGCTTGGGCAGCATCATGCTATGTCGCGATTACCTGACGAATGATATGCCTGCAGACTGGGTGCATTCTATAGCTGCTGGACTCTCTACGTTGTCGAGTACGATCATAAGCCACACCAACCTGTGCTCTTGCGCTACAGCACGAAAGTGAGTGTCTAGCTTCCTTCTCTTGAATATCTTTCAATTATGTTTGGCAGATTGGACATCGGCCTTGTTTGTCGCCTTCAATCCTAGAGTACGATGCCCTGATTCGTCGTCGATGACGAGGATCTCCCTGGCTACGTGATACTTCTGATGAACGCTTGTTGACATCTCCTGGTCGTTTCATATACTCTATGGTGGTACTACAAAATGCCGGGAACGACTCTATGCAGCTACCCTCGAAAGGAGGCCACATTCCGTGCCGCCTTGCGGACAGTGTGTACAGCTCACGGGCCGCTGGTGGAGGTACGTCGTGCATTTATTCATTTATTGACTAAGACTGACGTTCTATCTGCAGTGAATTATTTTCTCTGTGATTTTGGCAATGACCTTGGTACTCAAACCCTGGTCTGATTCGTTCTGGTTCGTTGTACCGTCAGCCGTTTCCATAGATATCCCTTCGCAGCCTGTTGTGACATGTATTGTCTTCGTTTCGTTCCATTTGGCTGTCTCTCCAAATGCTTGCATGTATATCCTCGCGCAGCCTGTTGCGCCCTGTATCTTTTGTTTCATTTGGATGTTCTCCAAAATGCCCTCATGTATATCTCTGCGCAGTCTGTTGCGCCATGTATGGTACCGTTCCGCCTTGCGGACAGTGTCTACAGTGCACGGGCTGTTGGTGGAGACAGGTCATGCATTCCTTCATTTTCCGCCTAGACTGACATCTTGTCTACAGTGAAATGTCTTTCTGCGATGCTTTGTAACGATCTCGATATCCAAACTCTGGTCCGATTCGTCCTTGAATTATCACTCGTTCTCTGTTTTCTTGAAGGACCGGTCTCTGTATCCCTATCTGGATGTTAACGTTTTACCTCCGTTCCGCGTTTGAGGTGGAGATTGACATGATTTCGTGCCGTACTAGATTTCGAGCTTGTCTCTAGGCTGAATCTTTGTCGGTTACTCTTGTCTCCATCCTCTTTTTGAGGGGAGTATGGCATTTTGTCATGGTAGGCCTTGAGCCTCAATTTTTTGAGCCTTCGTCCGCTTCGTGCGGACACACCCTCCTTGTAAAACCCCCAGTCCGCTGTTTCCTGTGAGTTTCTCCTCACTCCCCGCTGATTCTCTTTCTCATTTATCAATGGCTCGGCAGATCCGTCGAATCACCTATAGAGTTTCTTGCGGCAACTTATCGGCCACCGGCATTTTCTCTGGCGGTTCTGTTGCGTTAATGTATTGCAGGTTCGTCAGGCTATGATGATATATCTTCACTGCGTGGTGGCTAATCTGTTAATCAGCAGAGTACCCATCGTCCGCGAAGCTATATTTCCGCCGGGTACCGCGTGGGCACGACTCAGCTACCGACAATTATGAAGTACTCAAGATGGACAAAAGAAATGCCCGGTTGTCTATCATGTATGTTCTGACCCAATTGATGCCGTTTTTTGGACAGTGGACCACTGTATGAGAAACAGATATTCTCTCAACGTGCCAGAGTGATTATTACTCTTTTATGAAAAATCTCAGTTGACGCGAGTAGCCTGGTAACCAAGCCATCTGACGAAGAGGTCATGTTCAGGCTGGTCTATGCTCGAGGATCTCCTTTCGTGTGTCAATTCGCAGCTTCTTGCCATAGAATTTGAGCTAGAGACAGGTCGGGAGTTGAAACCATGCCCTGATATCTTCTACGGCCTGAGACACCGAAGAAGTGCTAACCAACCTCTCGCATTATTGACGAAACTGAACAGCGCTCCCGAATTGCCTGAACATCGTCATGAGATGCCGCACGATGGGAGAATACATAGAGAATACGCAGAGGGGTGAAGACAGAGCTCCCTGTGACTTGGAGGTTGGTATCAAGCTCTGAACGCAAGTTGTTCAGTCCCGTTTGCTTTCTCTTCAGCATTTCAGAAGAATAATCCACTCAGCTTTTTCATATCTTTTTTATTGCGCCTAGGGCATGCCGATCCTCTGACCCATGGATATAACCGTCATCTCAAGACTGATGTCTCTTGTCTCTCTGATGAAGAACGTCAACAGGATCCGTAGAGATAGTATTCATGACCGGAGAATGCCTATATGAGTACATTAATGAAGGAAAGCATAGTTGCCATACAAGTGTCGGTATTCCAAAAAGAAAGTATATATTCATGCCGTCTTGGTGAATATGAAAGGATGAAACTAATAAAGCATCGGTATGCTCAGTCAATGTTTCTTCTGGGTTTTCAGTAGAAATAAAAATGCATCAGTCACTGAAGTTTATTCTTGGTTCTTTCGTAGTCAACCTTAAATGATGTTTTCATTTAGTCTATGAACAGCAAAATTGAAAACCCACATGAAAATTTCCACCTCACTTGTTTCTGTGCGTGACAATTAGTTCCCCTGTACACAGTGCCGACCATCTCTCTGAGAGCTCCTCAGAATTAAACTGTAAAGGTTCGGGCCCAAGTACTGCTTTCTCTAACAACATGCATTGTCCACCGTCTGACAAACAGCCATACTTTCTCCTCCGGGACTCTATGACATTGACAAGGCAGCACAAATCCCCCGCTGAGAGACCGCTTGGCATACTTAAAACACGGAGACACGGAGCTACTGCATCATGCTCTGAAGTGTATACCAGACCATTGATCCATTGATCTGGTAAATTCGTGGCCCTCGTCAAGATGTGCAACTCCTCCAGTTGAGGAGTTCGACGTAAGAAACGAGGAAGGTTGTCAGGCAGCCCAGTGCATGCCTCCTGTGATTGATTGTGAACCTCAATAGTAAGTGTTTTGATAGGGTATGAATCTGGGTAAACAAATAAGATCTGGTCTGATCCGAAGAAGGATATCTTCAGGAATTGAAGAGACGGGATGATGAGGAGAGAATACATATGATTGACACTGGATGAAGAATTGGGTAGGCGCAATGCCAACAGATGAAGGAAAGTCACGTTGGGTAAAGTGATTGGCTCCGCAGGCTCCACTTCGAGCTCAACGAAGTTACGCCAGCATACGAGGGTGAGCATCCGTACACGCGGAAGTCTTCTGAGGGACTGATATGTATACAGATTGCCACCTCCAGATAAAAAGGATGTGATTCTTGAAAAAGGAATGGAAATGTGTGTGAATGCTACGGGCCAGTGCTCAAGTAACATTCCAACGACCTTTAAGCTCGGAGCGAGCCGGAAGGCGTCGATATGGAGGTGGTCGGCACTGTCACAGTTTCCAATGCCTACGTAAAGGGTGTCTAGGCGATTTAGATAGCCCTTATACACAGAAAAGTGTTGGAATGAGGAGAGAGGAAGACACACGGAGAGTCGCTTCCAATACGGAGCGGTGGGGAGCAGAATTTGAAGCATTGGAGAGATGTACGGAACGCCATCCTTTCCATGGAGACGAATGGAGAGGTCATGACCATTGGATCGGAACAATGATAAACCAAGTCTGAACACGCGGTTCTTGGCCAGCTCATTGTCTTTAGGTCTTTTATCTAGATCGAGCTCAGTGAGAGACCACAACTCTGCATCGTGAATGGCAACGGCTCTCCATTGTTGACAGACAAAGGAAGGGGTCCATGGTGACTGATTTGGTTGGATCGATTCAACGGCTACGGTAGGATTTAGACTGGCATATCCCCCATCGAACGCCTGGTCTACGGACTTGGTACAAGCCCGAAAGATAGCACGCAGCACATCATCCGGCAGGTTGCGCAAGGGGTGTGAAAGAGATTTTGCGTCCGAGATGTTGGACACAGCTTGATTCCTTTCAGACGCCAAAAAATCCAACAACTGGCGCGTTGCCGATATTTTCTAGTCAAATTCGTTAAGAGTGTGAGGGCCTCTGACAGCAGTTTGGAGGAATTCTTTCCTTTCAAACTCCAACAGTGGTTTATTAGAAAGAAGGAGTTCCTCGATCCTGACCGATCTCTTAGGCTGTAAGTATTCGGGAATGAATGAAGAGAAATCGGGATGAAATTGCGATTTGTCCGTTCGAGTGGGAGATGTCATCTTGATCAGGAGTTAGTACATTCCTCGACCAAATAATGAATCGATGAACGACCTTCCGACGCTAGGTGATAAGTACTGGATTTGAAGTTCGACATTGAACTCTAAGTTGACTCATTGTGACCTCGTGTCGTTCAATCAGCGGGCGCCTGGCATCCGGTCCGAACTCCTGCTTCTTACTCTTTGCAACATGCTCTATACCCGAAGCAGTCTGACGAGGCCACGTAGTTCCTATGGCAGAAGGGTTGAGGAACTGTTCAGCTCAACGAGATGGGTGATAATGGACTATGGCGAGTTGGATATGTTGCAAGCATGACAAGGAACTCCGAACAAGATTTACAGAACCTTTTACATCCAACGGTCCTCGGAACGTTCGTACAAGAATTGCAGCGACCTTGAATATAGCTAATATTGTATCTTGGAGCTCTACACTCATGCCGACTTCGGCTTGGCCCGTAGGTTATGCCTCTGTTCATCTAAGCAGAGAATACCGCAATGCTCTGTCTTCTTCGCCTCAGGTATCCAACAAATGCTCAAATGAAGTAGCAGCATTCGTTGCTCGATACTAAGACGGTCGTTCTCAGGCTTCCCAAGCAGGTGAGTCGTGTCCTTCTCACAGTTTTCTCTTTATGATGTGGAAAGCATGGATTATCTCCGCTGAAGTTTTTCCGCTACGAGATTCTTTGTCACAGTGCTGACGATTATGGGCGACTGTGGAGTGTGGACCGTCTCTTACAACATCGAATAAACTATTTACCGTCCTTGATGGCTGAATAGTAGCGGAGAGGCCGTAACCTGCTGTAATGAAAGGGACCACATTCAGAGCGCGGCGTCCTGCGTTTCCAAACATGGCGGATCTTAACATGACGAAAGTGATGTCGCTGTCACTTGGACGAGTAGGTCTTGTTACTAGTTACAGGCGGAGGGACGGGAATGTAAGTTCAGGATTTCCGATCACATCGAATGGTTACCCCGTCGACAGAGGATCTGCTATTACTAAAGCCTTCGCTGCAAACGGCGCCAAAGTATACATCACTGGACGAAGGCTGGACGTCCTAGAGAAAGCTGCCGCATCTGTGATGGGCGTCTCAGGATCTATTATCTGGTCGGCGACTATCCTTTCTTCAGGATATTCATTGCTAACACGTACCAGACTGGAGATAGACCAGACAACGAAAGACGGTCAAGGCCGGCACAATACATGTCAAAGGAACCGACGACCAGCTCGATATCGTCGTGAATAAGTTTGTCTGCACTATCCTTGCTTCCCCTCCTCCGTGTTGAGGTTCGAGAACGGGTAGACGGTAAAGAAAGGAAAGGTGTGGGTACGGAGTCGGTTGGCTCGTACAGCCATCAGCAACTCCAATACTTCGCACCCTGATCGATTTGTAGTGTCCGGTTCGGCACCTCCCTTCGCGACCCAGGCTTCACCGGGAAGAAACTGGCGGCGTCAGATCCTTTCGAACTCGAAGCAATATAGGGCTGTGTCAATATCTGCACGCCAAACACAAACGCTCCATTCTTCGTTGTCTGTGCCTTCCGGTCCCTTCTCGAAGTCCCCATCAACGAAGCACATTTTCGTCCCTAAAGCGCGTCAAACGTAGGGAATGAACGTAACCTGCAGGCTGCTATTCCTTTCAAAGCTAATTTATATTGCATACAATGCAAGAAAGTTGCTTTGGACATGCTCATTCTCGTTCTAGCGATGAGTTTTGCTGGGAAGGATCCGGACGAAAACATCGGAGCCAGGCGCAGTTGCGTGGTACTGCTAACGGTGGGTCCAGAGCTGTTGGAACCGATCAAGACTAGGCCAGCAACTTTATCTGTGGCCCCCGGATCTGCGAGGAGGCATTGAGCGTGAGTATTCACCATATATAGACGAGATTGGATGCTGCCATGAGTCTCTAGTGCGGAGATGGAGCTCACAGCTATCTACCTGGCGGTGTCGAATTATTCGGATGAAGCAATCTTGAATGCGGACGGTGAAATGTTTGCTGGTCAACACTTGTCTTGTTGGTTATCTAACGGAACTGAGCTAGTTGTGGCCTGCAAGATAATCGGCTCAGCCCCTGAAGGAAGTTAAATATAACTCACTAGACAGTTGTAACGTTTTCGAGCGACACAATCGCCTTGGACAATCCTCTTATGATATCCTTAATTGATTTCCGCCGCACATTATAGTCAGCGAATACTAGAGGCGAAGGGTGGGTCAGGCGCAGCACCTTGACGTATCTCCACATATATGTACTCCGCGTTGCTAGTTCATTTAATATATTCCAATCCAACATCTTGGCATCGTCGGAGAAAGATATGCGAAAAGTGGCAAAAACAAACTCGGTAGTGACGTGGTGAAGTGATTTGCAGACAAGACGAAGATTCTTCTGAGTATCATGGCTGAGCTACAGGCAAAATTAGGACGGAGGATTTCAGTGAGAAAACCGAGAGGACTCACCAGGGCCGAAATCTTTAGGAGAAGCTCTGCTGGCAATTGGGGGAGCATAAAGCACTGATGGCTGTGAAGGAAGAATCGAATTTGGCAAAATCGTTGAACTGGCGTTGTATGTTCTTGTTATCTTGGGGCCGCTGGAGTCCGGCTATCCCGGGCGAGTCGAACAACATTTCTCCACCTGGAACCCAGGGAAACACACCCTCAGCCTCGCGGCTGGGAACGTATAGTTAACCTTTTGTTCTGGTTCCGAGAAACACCTTTTCCATGTCGTTTTTCAACGGAAAAGAGTCAGCCCCAGCACTGAATATTTGAATATCAAATTTGACCCACAACGCGTCGTGAGCACGTGAAATGGCAAAATTTCCGATTCCCAGGGCCCAACCAGTCTTCCTCCTCTTACCGTGCACCTTCCTTAGCTGGCTACCACTACGTGCCCGATGCCTGCTGTTATCCTGTACCGCAATGCAATCATGCAATCCTGTCTGGGCAAGTAAGGACTACAGCGCTCAGTACTTCAGTATTCCGTTGCTGAACGCAGTAAGAACTCTGGTCGGTATTCCCGAACTCTCTGACGTGCCTTCCTCAGCCTGATTGTTTATAATAATAATGACTCATACTTCTCTCCTGGCTTACTCAGACTGTACTGTCTCATGTTGACAGGTGTTAGCCTATTTTGGCCTACATTAGAAAACGGCAATCGTGATGACGCAACTCGGCCGAAAGGGGAATTACCGATCTTTTTTTGTTGCTCACCAACCATTCTCGAGTACGATGAATAATCCATCTTTCTCAGGGCCCGGAAAAATATTCAGCTATAAAAGCGGCTGATGATGAGGAGAGTGCATCATTCTCCCCTTCCTTCACCTAGATTTGTATCGTTATGGTCCAAGACATTTTCCGTGACTCTACCATTGGTCAGGCCATCAACTACATCTCAAATGGTCGTATCTTTCCCTACGCAGACCAACGGCCCGACTTTAAGGTCCCTTCACATTTCCTCCTTCCGGCATCTCAAAGGCCGTCGACAGTCGTTTCCCCGGACTCCGACGCGACAACGTTATGCGGTGACCTGGAAAAGTCTAGAGGTGCATCAACGCCGGGAGTACAGCTCACAAGGGAATCCACGTTGGCTGTGGATCTCGATGCGGAGAAGGCAAAACAGATCGATGTTGCTCTTCGAGACGATCCTTACATAGTTGGATGGTATGGAGACGATGATCAGGAGAACCCAAGGTTTGTTTCATTTATAACATGTTTGAATGTATCTCTCAATTCTATTTCCAGAAATTGGTCTCCCGCAAAACGCGCATTTGTCGCGTTCAGCATCAGCTTCTTGACCTTCAGCGTGTACATCGGCTCAGCTATCTACACGCCGTCAATTCCCGGCTTGATGACTGACTTCAATGTCTCGCAGACCACTGCCACTCTCGGTCTCACGCTCTACGTTCTTGGTAAGTTGATCTGCATTCCAGTCCGCACCATCCTAACGGTCTTAACCAGCGTACGGTATTGGACCCATGTTTTTGGCACCACTTCAAGAACTTCCGGGAATAGGTCGAAACCCGGTTTACATGGCTACCTTGTTCCTATTCGTCATCTTCCAGATACCCGTCGCGTTCGCCAGAAACATAAGCACAGTTCTGGCATTCCGCTTCCTCACCGGATTTGTTGGCAGCCCTGCGCTCGCTACAGGAGGCGCATCTATGGGGGACATATACCCTATGCACCAGTACGCATACGTGCTGGGTATCTGGGCGCTCGGAGCTGTGGCTGGCCCCATCACTGGCCCAGTTATCGGAGGGTTCGCAGCACAGGCCAATGGGTGGAGGTGGCCTCAGTACGAGCTCCTCTGGATCGCCGGTTTCGCGCTCATCTTCCTTACGCTGCTTCTTCCCGAGACATACGAGCCAACAATCTTGCTGAAGCGCGCGCAACGGCTCAGGAAGCTAACGGGAAACCAGAAGTTGAGCTCCCAAAGCGAGAAGGATAAAGAGGGCGAGACTCTGAGAGCAGTGATGCAGGAAGCGCTCATCCGTCCCGTTATTCTTGCGAAGGAGCCTGCTTTGATGTTTGCAAATGTCTACCTCGGGTTTGTCTGTGAGTAATATTCATGTTGACCTGATACAATACCTGATTGACGATATTCCTATCAGACGCAATCTTTTACCTGTGGTTCGAGGCCTTCCCGCTTGTATTCACCGACATCTACAACTTCAATCTCGGTCTCAGTGGCCTGCCTTTCCTTGCATTCGTCGTCTCTGGCGCTATTACAGTGAGTGATTTCATTTTCTTCGTGTACTGGTGCTGACAACCGTTCACTAGTACACCGCGTATGTTTTCTATCAAAAATACCACATTGCACCTAGATATGCCAAAGCTGCTACAGCGGGTGTCGACATTGCGCCCGAGATCCGCCTGGAGATTGGATTGATCGCAAGCATCTTCATCCCGACCAGCGTTCTCATCTTCGGATTCACCTCGAAGGAAAGCATCCATTGGATCGTTCCCATTATCGGCGCCGCGCTCTACCTTCCTGGCATCTACCTCACCTTCCAGAGCATCTTGACATACATCACATCAGCGTACCCCACCTACGCCGCATCAGTTCTCGCTGGCAACGATTTCTTCCGCTCCGCCATCGCCAGTGTCTTCCCACTCTTTGGACGTGCATTCTTCGTCAACCTTGGTTTGGGCCCAGGCTCTGCCCTACTCGCTGGCATCTCTTTCTTGCTTATGCCGGTGTTTTGGGTATGTCCTATCTATGTACATGTCGTTCTGCAGGCTGAAATTTTTCGTTCTAGTCTCTGTGGAAATGGGGCCACGTCTTGAGGCGACGTTCGGCTTACGCAGCCAGCCCATAAACAGGGCTCGCCTCTCAACGCCTTCCACCATTTTCGTCAGCTTTCGCTGCTGTCTTCGCGCTCTGAAATGAGCAAAAGCGTGCCAAATGGCAAGAATTTATTACGACTTGGAACGTACCCTATAGAACGGAGAGTCATATAGAGCTATATCACTAGTTAACCCGCTTTGTTTGTATTTCTAGACGTAGAGTGCTATATTATTAACCACCAACATGTAATGATTTAATACAGTAATGTGACAATGCTTTATCGAGCGAATGATTGTGTTGAGACTAGGAGCAAGGCATTGCGAAGAAGACTTGACCACAGAGACTGAAGAGAACCACCCGTTATCTTTTCTTCAATCTTACTATATATATACTTACTTACCTCCCGTCTTTTCTCGATCACTACATAGTCCAGCCGTCGTTACCCAGGTACCTCAGTCATTTCACCTTCGCTGTGCCCGACTGAGGTACATATACCTTACTGTGTTTGATACTTACTCACTCAGGCTCGTTCATAGATCTTACCTATATTCTTCTGTTAAAACTGATTCTGAAGATCACACCTGAATCTGCTATCGCTTCATATCGCGAGGTGGGTGGACCTTATTCTTCTATCAGTCGATGTCACTTTAAAATACTCACACCGAAATCGTGTCCTCTGTAGATCGCAGATGATTCGCCCATTCCCATCATCATCTACAATTTCCCAACGGTCACGAACGGGCTGAACCTCGACTCAGACGTGATCGCGGATCTTGCGGAGCACCCAAAGATCGTAGGCGTAAAGCGCGCTTGCGGTGAAATGGGTAAGCTATACAAGCTCACATCGGTTTTCTCTCCGTCCGAATTTGGGATATACACGTCGATGACGGATTGCATGCTCCACGGTATGACATCTGGATGCGCTGGGACGATGTCAGCGTCACCGAATATAACCCCCAAGCTGCATGTGAAGCTGCATGATCTTTTCAAGCAGGGTAATATGGACGAGGCGCTGAAATTGCAGACGGATATCGCCCATGCGGATTGGGCGGTAAGGAAGCTTGCGCCACTTGCTGAGTTCAAGACGGTCGTAGCGAAGAATTTTGGTTATGGGACAGATAATTTTGAGGGGAGCAAGCATTCCGTGGCTTTGGAGAAAGTGATCTGGATGGAGAAGCAGCTTTGAGGAGCACATTATGGAGAATATGGCTTGGATCAATACAATCGTGTCTTTGTACAAGGGTGGCTGTTCGCACTTGGTACCACCAAAGTCACGGCCTCATGAATCGTCTCTAAAGGTGGCACATATGTAAGTCGGTGTCTAAGAGGAAGAATGGACGATCTATTACCATTCAAAGTGTCTTTGATGACAAATTTTTTCTGGACACCATTTCAAGTCACAATCAAGAGAAGCTTCATTGTCTCAGAGGGGCCCTCACTGTCTACATATAAAAACTAGGATGCGTAACTGCTTGAGATCATCTTCCCCTTGCCCGCACAAAGGATTCGCTCTTCAACATGAACCCTTACGGCCAAGTTTACTGTTATCCGGTGACTCATGGCTACGACTGCAATGGGAACCCCATCGTGTACAGTGTCATTCCTCCTCAGATGCGACCGGTGGCGGTGCAGGCTCCCTCTCCGATACCCTCCATGTCCAGTTCGTCTTCCTCTGCCACCATTGTAGCCCTTCCCGGGGCTCCCAAAGAGTCTCCGCAAATGTATTTTGCCAAAGTGTGTCGCCTGGTGTATTTTGGTGAGTAGCTTCCACGATATCAAGCAGACGGTGCTTACTTTAATGGGTAGTGGAACAGTGGCAAGAGACGAACAAGTATCCTGTTTCAGACTGGGTGTACCCCGAGTATCTGGTTGATCCTGTCACAAAAGAGTGGGTGAATGTGTTGGAGGCGTTCCAGATATTTGGGGAGGAATTTAAAGAGGAGGAAAAAGCGACTTGGCCAATTTGGGGGGGGCAGCGCCGTCAGTTCCTAGATGGTGCGAATCTTCCAACACATTTACTCTTTCAACGGCGGGCTGATTGAATTCATTGTAGTGGTCGACGATGTCCTTGAGAGATTGAAAGGCGAAAGGGAGATCGCCATCCAGATGATGAGGGGGAATTTGCCAGACTGATGCTTTCCTGGCTGAAATTTGTCATTTTCTACGTTATAGTTCGGGTTTTCACTTATGCTGCATTTATTACGTTGTATAAACATGTCTCCATTGCATTCTCCCTGAACTTCTCGGTGTACGTTCTATTTTTTTCTCTGAGAGAACGCACTCAAAAATATTGGTTGGGTTGCTACATACTTGAGAAATGCCATACTCCAGTGATGAGGGAATCGCGCGCGATGGAGGGACTTGGACAACTTGATCGTTTACAAATAACAACCGAATTTGAAAATAGCGATGCTGCATCACCGGCGCATAGGTTCCAACACTTTGAGCTATGTGGGTGGAGGATACTTGTTTGTGGCAACTTGACTTGTCGGGGGTTTATCTACTGATACGTGTGACTCGTAGGTGCAGCATCTCTTTACTCAACATTATCGTGAGACAGACACACTGGAGTTGTACATCCAGCCCATCGAATCTTGGCCAGAGGACTGGGAGATGATCGACGAATCAGCAGAGGATGTTGGATTAGCAAGCAGGAGCTCCGTCGTATCCCGCCGGCCAAGCTCGATACCCCTTTATGTTGGGATGGACTATATATATTGAATACGGTCTGTCGAGCACCCTCACCGCGTTTCTGCTTATCGCTACGCTGTGTGAGGTCTACGTTATAGCTAACAGCATACTCTATTAGGTGCTACAAACGCGCGTCATTTTCTTAGAGAGGATGGTTCTGACTCTGTTGCCCACACTGTGTGGACCTTCCTTGCGAGAGCGATCATCGGACCGCTTCAGCAGATGGTCGAGCATCTGATATTCCAGTGCGTTTCTTGTTATTCTAAATATGAAATACGCTTTCTTACAAGGTTTCCCTCTGTTTAGCCATGAGGTGGAGCACGTTGAAGCCTTTGTTGACATTTTCACGCCAATGCTGGAGATGCCATTGGTGGAGATGCTGGAGAGGCTGTCCGCAGAGAGGATTGGGCGAACGACTAACGTCGTGGTGATTCTTCCAGAGGGGCACCCCCTGAGATCGGCTGATGGTGTTGATGATTTGTGAGCATTGGTACCATGTCTTCTCATCATTCTACATAAGCTTTCCAGTACAGATTAAAGGAGATCTCTTAATAGTGCTTTAATATCCTTTAGAATACCACACTTTCGTCTCGTGGTACGCTCATGAGTCACTTCTCATGCACCACGTTCTATTTCAATACCTAAGTTAATGTTGACATGCAAAGGCTCCGAGTGTAATGGATATGGACCTCATATGCGTATATCTGTTTACCGATGTCCTTCTATGCCCGTTGCCCTTTCGCAGTAATCGCTTAGCATCTTAATCACTTAATACCACCTATGTCTACCTTACTTGTTTGTATCTCTGACTCTCTACTTTCAGTACACCCCATTGGCATGTATAGCTTTCAGGTCAAGGAACCCCATAAGGTATCATATTCTTTACTCTGAGGCATACTTTTCCGGATAACAAACAAACACCCGAGGTCCTGGGGGTGTATAGCACCGCAATGATATTGCCACTGATTGACTTCGACTTACGATGGTTTGAGTGACGTGATGGATAACGCCCTTGAAGTTCTACAGTACCAGATGGAGAACTCAAAGAATATATATATTACGCTCATTGCAGCACTTCTTCATCAAACATACAGAAGTGAGAGGAACACGCTACATGATTTCATTCCAAGAAGGATGTCAGACCAGCTTTCTCGCAGTAGAAATCAACGTTGCTCATTCAGGACATCTCCTGCCGAAAGAAAACGACATGTCGGTTGCCAGCAAACCAACCAAATGCATTAGTCTTACTGCAGTTCTGGCGGGAGGCTATGAACCGGACTCTCGTCCGACGTGGTACACTCTAGCGAAAAAATCATCAGATTTAACAATAAACATCATTCTGTATATGCCTACGGAGGGAAAATGTTGATGTACTACCAGGGCCAAGCAGGAGGTTGCGGAAGGAAGAAGAGAGAGAATACTTAGGAGTAATTGAAATTTTCGTCGTCCTGCCCTAAAGCTCACGTGAGCCAAATGCGCCCTCGATTTGAATCTGCTCGACTTGTTCAGTGCTCACCCAGCACAGAAAGAATGGCCCTGACAAACATATCACTTTCGTGATATTTTGGCCAGTTCTCGTCCTTTTTTTCACTTCTCTGGACATGGAAAAACAACTTCCGGGTTCCGGGCCCTTCACATTGGTCTTGAAACTATGCTGGAAAGGAAAATCACGGTCAGAAAAATAGTCGTCGTAGCCTGCAGTTGCAAAGTACTTGGTGATTAATGTTACACATCTTTAGGCTGACTATAATATAGTATGAACTCGGAATAATGTCCCGTAGACATGCTGACCATTCGCGTCAAATTAGTGCTCTAATCAGACCGGCATTACGGTCCAGTGAAGTACCAGAAGCATGGGGAGACGCTAAACGAAATCACGAAAAATTTGAGCATATCAGTCAACAAAATGCCAGTAGGAAAGATGATATCGAGCGCCAAATTTAACGTCAGAAGCAGTTGCAATGTGTCCATAAATCTGATTTAACCAAGCAGACAGATGATCTTTCTCAGAAAATAAGCCGAACTGCCGCCGGGAGTGTCATCGTTGTGGTAAGCAGGCAAGAGGCGGGAAGATTACGTGAGTCGACAATGTTCGCATCAACTTTCACCCGGCCCTGCAACTGCCTCCCCTCGACGCCTCGAATCCTCTGCGACTTCAAGAGAATGGTGATAGCGGGAACTTTATGAGTGTTACATTTACCTTAATACTGAGCCCCTGCTTCCTCCCCGCAATTTTTTGGTGCATTCACATGTTTCAAATGCCCAGTGTCATCCATCGAGTCGGACTCAGATCGAAATATTAGCGATCTGCTGCGGAGGATCTGATGAGATGGTTATTCCTTCTGCGCCGACCCAGAAAGTGGTCTTAGTATCTAATTTTTACCACTTATTACTAACCTGGCTAAAGTGTCAACGAGTCGCTCGAGCCTCAAATTTTGGTAGTCCGACCTCTGAATGATTCCGTCATGATCGATGAATCGGGCGCCGAATCGGGCGCATGCACGCGCTGTGAAACTCTACTTTGTGTCCAAAAACGGATCATCTCCGACAGGTTGTTGCCACTCTTCTGGGTTTTCCCCATTCTTTTCCCGTTCATAGTGGATTTGCTCTGTCTTTTGTCATAAATACTGGAATCCATAGGCTGGGTTATAGCAAGAGGAACGAAAAAATTCCAGTGCTATCCTTTTATGGAAATACAGGTTCATCAGCACCCGTGTCCCCTAAGACAATGTTCCCGACTGGATCTGTTTGACTCTGATCTTGATTACTCTTCAACCAGTCTTGTGGCGTCTTCCGCAGAACATGGCTGAAAATATCGATCTGGCACTGGTTCACAAGGTACATAAGTTTAAAGTCTTTCTTCAACTTGCATTGTTGCAGAAAGACCCTCCGACTTTTCCCCTCACCCCCGCTTGCTTCCGGATCCCTCCAATGGCGGTCAGACGATCTATTTTCCATCTTACACATGTTTCTTACCTTGATTTTATTCCAGCGCGTTCATGCCAAGAACCCTAAAGTGCACCAGTGCACGCATCCGGGATGCAAGAAGAAGTTCACAAGGGCGAACGACGTCCAACGGCACGAAAAAACGCACCTCGAAGGTAATCATTTGGAAATCGAGTCAGTAATCTCTGAGTTATTTCACTCTTCTTCTCTGATGCCGGTTCTGACACAGAAAATACCCATGTCTGATTACTGAGGTGGCTTGCCCCTTCAGCAGCCTGCAGCTGAGTAACCTAAAGGCCCACATCCATGCGAAGCAGTGAGTCTTCCAATATTCCTTTCTCCATAATAGCTGTACTTACCACTCATATTTCAGTGCCGAAGTCGAGCACTTGATGTGCTTCGACTGTAGGCCGACATACCGGCGCTTCGTGGATGCCGCCGAACTCGCTGAGCACCGTCAAGTCGAACACCCGCTTACCAAGATACGGAGCCATCGCCGCCAATACAAGCCATCCAAACCACGCCGTAAGGTCACTAAGGACATCGTATCTCCTCCGCTGGTGCCACTCAGTCCTCCTGACGATGTACCGCCTCGCTCGCCACCCACCGACAGATTTCTGCTCCCTCCGACTGCCCCTCCACCACGAACATCGACGCTACCGATATCAATCACAATACCACCTTCAGCATTCCACGAAGACGAATCACAACCCCCATGTGATCCTTCTCCCCCCCTCCCGCAATGGTATCGTGCCCCAAAACAACTTCAACATCATCCAAAGCTTTCCTCTCTGCAGAAGGAGGCGCGCGACACCAGCGGCATCAAACACACTCAACAACTCCCTTCACCGACGCTGAGCTCATCTACCACTGGTGAAAGCTCTGCCACAAACAGCCGGTTTCCTTTGCCCCCGCCCCTACCTTTCTGACTCATTACACACCGCTCTCATTCTCTCGACTGAGTAGACTATATCCAAAAGGCTTTCATCCTGTTTGCCCCTACATGAACGCAAAATTCACTTTTTTGCGAGCCCAATTACTCGTACCAAGTCCTGGCCTCGATATTATCTCACTGACTTTGGATCTTTCCGACGTTATGACCGGCAAAAGCTCCCCTTCGACGCATCCGTTGCCGCAGGCGACAGGTCAGCACCAGAGTTTATCGAGATCCATGCGAACCCCGACACCAAGATCAATCCGTTTCCTCTGGACGTTTATTGTAAGGGCAATATAATTCGAAAGACTTCGAAATAGTGAGCTTTCTCCCATGCCCTTTGTTGTCGTCTCTTGATGGATTCGGACCGCTAGCATGATCATCCGCCTTTGCACTTTCCTCTGCCACTTATCGATGACATGGCTCGAGTCGAAGCTTGACCCTTCTCTGCGGCCTACTATTAGCGAGGGCATAACGTTCTTCGAAAAGCTTTGTAACTCGTTGAATGAAATCACGACTGCACGCATCTGGACCTTATGCTGCTGTTATTTGCCAGCACTATATGCGATTGTTCTACACCGTCACTCCGCGGGTCATTCAGCCGAACCAGGATATATGTATGTTGAGGGCCTTGCATTTATTTAAATTCATATAAATTATCATAACCTTACCTGGGGAGAGTCGCCTTTGATCAAACCATTACGTGTTGGAAGCACCGTGCCCACGAGGACTCAGGATACCAGATATCTGAGGGCTTACAATGACTTCCAAGTCTCCCTTCATGCCAACCTGATACTAGCTCTTCCTTCTGTGAAATCTGTAGTCAGTTCGAGCTGTTGTTTGGGAGCACTGTGTGGAGGAATGGCTTTACTTGTATGTATGGCGAGGATTTCGTACTTGACACCCAATCTCAAAGCACCTGAGGCATTCATATCCGAAAAGAACAGCGAGCATCCTGAGTCAAGCGCTCCGGCGGGCTATTGTGAGTATCTGTCAAAGGCGATATCCAGAAGGAAGCACATAAGCATCCGCGGAAGGTTTAGAGGTGGCAGAAGCGCGCGTCAGTCTCAAAAGTCGCGATGCCGGTAATTCAGCGGGAGCTATTCTCAGAATCTGGTTACGTTGAAAGGGGTATGCGGGGTTTGAGACACGTCTTCCGATACATGCTCCTGGTAAGAACTGTGGAAGGCTGTGAAATGATTTGTGCATCCCGTCTGGGTCTAAATGACATTGTTGAAGGTATACATTCGCTCGGTGGAGAGTTGGTAACAAGGTGAGCAACCGTTAGTCTCCTTTCTATTCAACAGTCTGGCATGGTGGATTAGCGAACGTCGCACTCATCTAACGGTGCAACATACGTGCCTTGGCTCCATGGATTAGAGGACAAGGTGCCGAAAGAAGGTCAATCACTGGTCGAAGAACCCTGGAACGTCACAATAGACGCTCAGATCAACGGGAGGTGACACCCATCGTGGGAGCCGTCAATATATTAATAGTTCAGAGGTACTTGCGCTCGTTAGGAATACCAAATACGCAGAACCGCACCATCGTGAGTACCCTTTGTCTTGTTTCGGGATGTCCGCCAGAAGTAAGTATCAAAGACAGATACAGTAAAAGCGAGAATTCATCAAAGAAAGCGAGGAAGCAGCCTCGTCATCCGATAGCTACTCCAATTTCCATCCATGATGTTCAATTTCAGGGCAGAGCAAGCCACGGCAGATTTCTGCGTCAAACAGTCGCCCCTAGGATACCGGAATTAGATAAGGCATCCATTGATAGTCAGATACCTGAGTCAGGAGGGCCCCTGCCTCTTGACCGAACTGTTAGACAGTAATACAAGAATATTATTCAGCGTGAAAAGGAATATATAAGACTGCAGCATCTTTAGGCGTCAGCTAAGGGAGAAAATGGTGGATGGAAAGGGGCAGATCGGGACGGACCCGATATGCCGATGACTTCCCTTCACCGGTAGCTGCCGAAATGCCTTTCCTTCTTTTTCTGTACCACCAATAACCACCACTACGAACGTTCTGGCTATCGACAACGTGTCATTACGCGCAGAGTTCGACTTGCACTCGTATGCTGTAATGGTAGGAGAAATTGCACATTTGAGAACTCCTGAGTGAGGATAGACACCGTCGTTCTAATCGACATTCTCGTCGACATTGTGAAGAGAGAGATTCTGATCGCCTTTTGACACCAATAGCTTACTGTCAAGGAGAGGATTTCTGAAGGAAACATTCTGTGGAAGCCAGCAGAGCTCATGTACGTCTTACAAAATGGATCGCGTTGTCCCATCTGAAGCCTTTGCTAGTCAATGGCTCTAACTAGGCGTTACGGAACAGTCAGAAGCGAAATTTTTTTTGGCGGCGAGATGATGCTGAATGTAATAAACCTAGCGCCAGGTTCGGAGAAACATCGCCATTTTTGAGTAGCAACCGCTACTTGCCTGGCCCTATGATATGCATCTCACTTGGGGGCATTGATTATGATCTTTTCCGATTATCCTTCCCTTGGGCACGACTCAAGGGAATTCTCCTTTGGTGATTGTACATGAGTGGTTTCTGCCAGGCAAAATATCCACATTCTCATCTCTTCTGCAGGAAAACTAGCCGGAAGATATTGGCTGTTCTTCTGGAGCTATCAGTACACGTCTCCACCCCGTGCATCTGGGCTTCGACATCCTCATATGTAAGCGCGGAAGACATGATATGAGGCCTTCTCGGGATGAGCACAGTCCCATATGACATCGATCACTAACATTCTGTAATTCGATCATCACTTGACGAGAGCTAAGCGCTCTCTTTGAGTCTTGCCATTGGACAAAGCGGCACTATCTGATTCATGTCATTCGGACGTAATTGTAGGTTTCTCCTAATCATAATGATGCACCGCATTGAACCCTTTCCTATCAAGTAGGAGTCATAATGAGCCTAGTACGCTCCCGCGTGTATTCAAATATAAAGGGAGCTGTTATCAGGCACTTAGAGTTTGTCTCCCCACTCCTCATACTCCTCCGTGATCATGCATCGCCGATTCTCCTCTTTGATGAAGGCGTCCGAAGAGTCATCGAGGGACATCGAGACCGAGTCGAAGGTCTCAACTATCAAGGAGGACGACGAGCGTTTGACGCCGCCCACATTGAAGGTTAAGCGCGTCGACCATTACTATAGTCGGTGGTCGAAAAGCTGGAAGTATCGGGTATAGAGTGTTCTATCATGACCTTGGGGGGACGGCGAGTTGATGTGCTTGTTTTTGATTATACAGAACACGAGCTCGAAGGTTGTCGTCGAAGGTCTTCCACTGTTGCGGTCAGGAGACAATGACCCTTGGAAGGATTTCAGCTTTGTGTATGTTCACTGTAATGTTCATGGTGTCTTGACTCATATAATTACCCTTTAAGCATCGTGCGTACGCTCCCGATCCGTGAAGAGCTGGTTGCTTTGGTGGAACCGACCTTCAAGGTTGTCATCAAAAGCGAGTACATCTTGAAAGCTTGCAAGGACGTCATTCAATCGTGGCCTGGAATCTCTTGGAACTCTGATCCTTTGGAGGTACGTGCTTTCTCCGGTCCTATACGACCATCAGATATAAGTTCCTGTCTATAGCTTGATCCCGAAGTCTTCTTAACGTTCCTCGACGAGTTCAAGGAATATCGCGATCATCTTGCCTCCAAGAAGGCTCCGACCCAGCTCGACACATACGTCCTTTCCTCCATTGACCTCCTTCTCTCCTCCATCAGTTCCGACTATAAGAATACTATTCGCACCATCAACAAGCTGAAATCCCATGGCGAGATGACCTGGGACCTCCTCTACTCCATCCTTGTCCCACGTTCAATCCTCGTCACGCGTTGCGCTATTACTGGCGCACCGCGCCTGTTCAAGCTGGAGTCTGTTATGCACATGAACGTGGAGGGTATGAAGTGCTACCAGCTGAGCTGCGAGAGCATAGATCTTATAGACCGGCCTCTCACCCAGACCGTGGGGGTATCGAAGGTTACTACGCAAATTCTCATCAAGTTTTTCAAAGGTACAGTGAAGATTGATTCGCTGGATGCCTACCCTGTTAGGTTCCATCCCGACTCTGCGAAGCTGAAGGAGACGGTGATGCAGCGAGGCAAGAAATGGTCTGATCTTCGGGGGATTCATCACAAGCAGTTCAATGGCATCGCGGCGTTGAAATGCGGAAGCAATAGACTGTTGAGGCACAATGTTCGTCCTTTCGTCTCCGAGTCTTCTATGGACGTAGCCAATTGTGTTCTGACGTTATACTGTATCTAGGTCAAGGGAAGGATCATGGTTGATCGGGGTAGGACGATAATTTGTTCACGACCCTGCTTAACTGTCAATTAATGTCACTCAGCTTCCTTCCGACGTTTCAATGCCAACTACAAATATCCTACCCCTGTACCCAAGTCGGATAAGCCACAGGTGAATGAATACGGAAACACTATAGATGAAGAGCCGGTGCCTCACCAATATGCTAATGGTAAGCAATAGCATGTCTTGTATCGCCCGTCAATGCTGAATGATATCGTTGAAGGTGTTCTTGTGGATTCCCACCTCCGCGACGAAGAAAGCACAAACGATGTCGAGCTGACAGATGAAGAACTCTTGGTGACGCCCACTGTGGTTTTCGGATTTAGTCTTTCCGATAAACTTTGGTGTAAGCAGTCTCTCTTAGCTTGTGTGCTCAAGCTGATCCGGCACAGTGGAATTCGACGTCGAGAAGATCTCGGACGTAGAATGGAACAAGGACGCTTTTGCCAATCTTGTTCTTCCGACGGATCGCAAGGACCTCTTGCAGTCCCTCGTGGAGGCACACCATCGCGAACTCGGGTTCGATGACTTCATCAAGGGCAAAGGTCATGGTCTCGTTATCAACCTGTTTGGTCCCCCAGGAGTTGGTCAGTTCGTCTGTGCTAATCACTAGTTGTTGTGTTCGTCTAATCGTGCTCCCTGTCAGGTAAAACCTTCTCTGCTGAAGCAACCAGCGAACATGTCAAGAGACCCCTGTACCTTGTCGGTGCTGGCGATTTGGGTACGGATGCGAACAGCCTCGATATGGCTCTCGAACGCGTGTTTGAGGTCGCTACAACGTGGAAAGCCATTGTTCTGATCGACGAGGCCGATGTCTTCCTCGAGCAACGTTCTCTCCATGATCTCGTACGGAATGCCATGGTCGCTGTCTTGTAAGCGCTGTCACCTGTCGTTCTTCTACCGCAGTCTGACTGTAATTTTTCAGCTTGCGTCACGTCGAATACTACCGTGGCATCCTCTTCCTGACCACCAATCGTGTCAAGGCATTCGATGAGGCCTTCCTGTCGCGTATCCACGTCGCACTGCACTTCCATGAACTGCCCGTCGAGTCCAAGATACAGGTCTGGTCAGCGTTCATTGCCAAAGTGGGGGCGTCGGCGGATATCACGCCGGAGCAGATCCAGGAACTGGCGAAGCGAGACGTGAACGGTAGACAGATCAAGAATGCGGCGAGGACCGCACAGTCGTTGGCTGTGGGTCGTGGAGAGAAGCTCGAGTTCAAGCATTTCTTGAGCACTTTGGATGCCATGGATGACTTCACGAAAGAATTTACGAAGGCGTGATCATGTTAAAAATGAATTTTCATTCGTTATTTTTTCGCCACTGTACCATTAGATGTTGTAACTAAATACTGCCGAACTTGAGAATGAATAAAGTCACTACAATTCTGTACACAAGGAAAATGAAGAAACATAGTGGCTCTTAGGATGTATCGGCAAAGGAACCAGCCTGACAACGGACGCAACTCGAGTTGAATAGCGCAGAACCACAAATCAATAGTGATGTCCGGGTCAGGCTCAAGGCCGGCAATCCGGCCTGACCCAGCATAACCCAGCCCTGAAAAGCACCCGGCGAGCTTGGGGGGCCTGAAGGCTCGGTCTCAAACTATGCAAAGCCCAAGTCCTGGTCAGTTATGGTAGCATTGTAATACCAGTTTTGTAGAAGGTGAATAAGATACAATTATTCTGTTAAAGCATCAATATGGTGATTTAGAGCAAAGCATAACATGGAGACGACATGATTTCTACACCTCATCTCGTGTTCATGGACACTAAAAGCTCGATCAACTACCCAAGCCCGGCCCTGACGCGAGCAGGCTTTGGCGGGCTCAAGGCACGGGCTCATACTTTGTCACTACCTGTCCCTCCAAAGCCCCAAAAAACCAGCCTCACCCAGCCTGGACATCACTACAAATCATAGGCCAGATATTGAATGGCGGGCATTGGGTATTTTTGGCATATAAAATATGCTAGACCCGCTTTTAGCAAGTCCCGCTCTTTCGAAGGAGATCGATCGACTCGGATATAATGCGTAACATGGCACTATCAGCCAGGGCACAAAGCAAATCGACTGCAGGAGCAAATTCGTATATGTATAAACAAGATTAAAAACATGTCGACAAATGGTAGGAATGTCCTTTCAGTCATCCGAGGGTAGTTATTTGGGTAGGACAGCATTATTGGATTTATCAAGTAAATGTCATATCTTCGGTGCCAGCATTTGAATGAGCTCTTTCTATTTCAGAAAATCCTATGTCAATGCCCTGCAGAGAAGAAGATGTAGTTGTACATTGAAAATTTCATGTGGTCATCCTAGGCTAAGAGTTGTTGGACCAGAGCATAAGAAGTCTCAAGCTAAATGTCAGATGATAATCAAATAATAACAAGACTGCTGCCACTGGAGTCTGACTCTAACTGAAGAAAAAGCAAAAGGGAAAAGGGAAAGATATAAGTGAATAAGGGGAATTGAAGGTATTAGTACAAGGCCCATTAGAACAGGCAAGACACTAAGAGCCAGAGAGTTTAGTTATTTATATTGAATCTTAGCTCAAGACTAGGGTTACAGGGTGTAAACTATATGCTTAAATACTGTATAGAAAAAATCTTGGCTCTGCAGGCATGTATGATTCAGTTCTGTTATATCTGAGGCATGTTTCAATGGCAATAATGTCTTGATGCAACAGACACATTATTATCTGTCTGGTATATAGTCATTTCAGTGAGTATTTCTTATGCTACTAAATGTTTGGATAGGTATGCTTCTGAAGCTAATTGTCCGAGTCGTTGGAACTGTATCGTTAGGTCCAAGAGAGGGAATCGGGAATGGCTGGTAATAGTCTCGGTGTAGCTATGGACAAGCGGGAATCTACGGCAACGTAACACGTGATCTCGGAGGAACCGGACCGTGCCAACGCTCCCATGGTGCTTCTGCGAAGGTGTGTGTCAGGTTTCCTTCCACACCGCTTTAACTTAAACATCTGTAGAGAATGTTTTATCATTCAGTCACAGGCCAGCAGCTACAAGCATAAATTTCTCATTACGACCTTCACCCATCTGTATGACATTCGGATATTACTCTACCTCTTCTCTTCTCTGCGATTGTGGATAGGGAGAAGACATGAACAGTTCACCGTGTAGCCTCTCCCTCTTACATGTCACATTTGTGGGAATAAATGACGTCTGTAGTAGCATGGCGGCAGCTCCGAGGGATTTCGCCAATGCCAGAACATAGTTGACTCAGCTTTCTGGATATCTTATCGTCGTGAAGGGTAAGGTCTATGTGCTTGTGAGAATGAGTCGACCGTCATACGAACCTTCCAGATGCATTCCCTCGAAATAAAACTAGTGAGTCTGCTCTTTCTCTTCGGCACACCCATCTTCTCAAACTTGGCAAGGTATCTTCAGCCCCAAGGAATTGTCTATTGTCTCGCTGTCAACCAATATTTTCTGCCGCTTACCAAAACGACATCCCGCTCTCTCTGTCGTTTTACGACCAACGGAACCTTTTTCAAGTTACATGTACCCAGGAAACTCTCCTGCCGGTCTGCGTCCGTATCGCTGTGACAGACGCGATATGTCACGGCCACATGAACAAAATAACGGTCTCTCCGACTCACACCCCTTTCGCCGCCGCCATTCCCAATCTGATCTACAGGATATCGTGTCACGCTCTTTGGACCCCAACTACAATGGCATCTTCCTTCTCGACTGGCAGCAGTTAACATGCTTCACGATGCCATTGACTGTCTTCCCACCTCCAATTCAATCGTGCAGTAGGCAGTTCGACATGGACATCGATACTGCGTCTAACGTTCCAGGGTGCATCCGCAGCCATACCAGGCTGTTCTCGTCCTCGGGCTCAAAACCGGTCTCTGTACTCGGCAACGAGCATACGACGTCTCGTATTCTCCCACCGTCTCTTAATCAAACAGAGAGCTCACGAAGATATCAATCACCTTCCTTGCGGAGAGTATCCTCTCCCTGTCAGCAGTGCTCGTTTTACATCCGACCATGCCAATTCTCACCGCCATTGGCACCATTATGGCCGATGACGAACATCGAGGGTCGCATCCCTCATGAATGCAGATAAAACCATTCCCGGATGATCGCAAAGAGAGTCGAAGAATATTGCATTCCCGAAGATTAGGACGTTGCTCTATGGGCTGTTATCTCGTGCTGCGCACTCGTCTACTTGACAATGTTTTTGCCAAAGCGTGTGGGAGGACAAAGACAGGAGAGGCGCGTCTGAGGTGCGCAACAAAGACAAGTCCGGGTGCCACCATTCATCGTCTGGCTTTGTCCCTCTGCGCAGACCTACTTAAAAGCAACCTGGACTATGATCACCATCCACTGCATCCATTCCCGCTTCTCCTTCCGTGATGAATGGACTAGGCTATCTTACTTCTTACCAATCTGGTGCGAGCCAGCTTGTCCCTGCGAATGCCTCGATATCTTTCACGAATCATTCGGCACCAGCATATGGAGCAGCCATGAATGTTCAGATTCATCGCAGAATGCAAGATTTCAGTGGGATTCAAATGCCTACTCCATCTATGCCTCCCGAAACACCTTCAACCTCATGGTCGCCTTCAGGCTGGAGCGCGCCATCGGGACAAACCAGCCGCCCATGCCACCGTGGCCATGGAAGGTGCAGGTGGCAATTCTCCTACCCTATCTGAATGATGATCGCTGACCGCGAAGAATCACCGTTCCAACCGCAATTGCAAGGATCTTGGTCAGTGCCACTTCACCGAGTCCAAGTTAGAGCTCATCCTTTCACAGCCCGCGTGCACGGAAACTCAGCATATATCAGAAAGAGACGTTCCTGGTATCGCAGAACGGTCCCGAAGTGAGCTTCCTAAAGACGTTCGAGAGCCCGCTGTATCAGTTCAGCCGGAACGATGCGAAGCGGAGGCGACTTTTCCTCAGGTGCGAGCCCTGGGTTGATCCGGACAGGATCGAACAGGACAAAGTGGTGTGTTTGGGATGCGGGTGTGATATCTCTCTTGGGAATGCTGAGTATAATCCGGGTAACTGGATGCGCCACCGGGATTGATGTGTTGGTATCGAGAACGCGATTTTGAGTTTTGTCCTGGATGCTTGGGAAATTCGGACTGCGAATTCTTCTGTGGGGAGACCGTGATGCTCTCAGTCTAAATACTATGTATTTTTGACCTGCGGAGCTGTTACTGTTAACGAACAAAAGAGCCGTCGCAGTGTGAATGCGGCATGTACCGTTCTTGGCTGCACCGTTCGCCTTGTGTCAGGCCTCGCATGAGCATGCGCTGATCATGACAACTCCATCGAAATCGCCCTGTGCCGTTACGGATGCGAGTTCATTGATATTCGTGAGCACGGTTTCGATCACTGGAATCGAGAAAGGCGTGTAGCTTGCTGCAGTAAATATGGTTCCATACAGATCCTGGCCACTATCGGAGGATGGCGTAGGTTCGCGAAGGAGGAGAACGTTTGCCCCGGACGTCATCGCGGTCAGCGACACAAAGGGTAATGTGACCCTTAAACATTGACCATCACCTAGGACATCGCCCACTTTCTGCCCCAATACCAAGCACGATTCCGACACTGAAGATGAGGACTGCCTTCTACTGGCTGGCTATGCTGGTATCCATGGTGGCAAGAGTCTGCTCACCATGCAGCAGTAGCCTAATTTCTCAGACGAAGAACGAGATGCTAAACGTTAGTGGATGAGTTCTCCAACGTCTACATTCGCTGAGGATGACGATACAGCTGCATACATTGAAGATTGCCAGCTGCTTCTATTTGAGGTTTCAATTTCTGCGGAGGATAATTCAAGATATGGTGAGGCTGTCGTGTACGCCCATTATGCTTCACACTTACTGCATGCCATAGTGAAGTTCCATTCTTCAGTAATAATATCCTCGCAGAACATATGCAAATTTTTCGGGTTTAATAGTGATGGGATCTTTTCCAGATTTAAACGGAGTTTTTCAAGGCGATGAAGGTTACAGAGTCCTTGTTGTAAAGGTAGCTACAGCCATTGACATAAGTAAAATATATATTAGAAACCATATGGCTTATCACGAAATCTCAGCGTTTCTCAGGTGCATCATAACGGTTGAACTCCAATTCCCTCAAATATGGAGAGCAAGATTTTATATGTATCATCGATCAACAAGCAAGAAGATGCACTCCAACTTGTGAGCCCTGTTCAGAGTCACGCGGGCAAACTAAAATACTTTGAGCTGCGCGTCATACCATCGAATCCCCTACAGATGAGGGCTACGTCTTGTATCCTAGCCAGAAATGGACCAAGAAGGGAACAATACAGATGCTGACACAGCGCCTCGTCCTGAGTACAGCCTGCGGGAAGATTCCAAAGTCGGCTCAGACAAATCGCAAATTCTACGAGTCGCTCCGTCTCAATTTTGCGTAAGCCTTCCATTGGTAGAGGCTGGCTCCTTCCGGGCTTGTGTCTGTCATTTTAATTTCCGAGGAGAGCAAGAGAAACCAAGTGCGTCGCTACTACCTGCAATTGAGCAGGTGAAGTACTGGTCAGTGGTCAAGGCCATGATACTTGCCTTGTGGCTGCTGCAAGTACCCAGTCCCATTTCGACCAGGCGACAACAATCCCCACCCAAAGTGTCCTGATTTTGCCAGATGTCTTCGAGTCATTGACCTGGTCATAGATAGTGGTTGACATTGGACCATGATGAAGGAAACTCAAAGAAATGATGGGGGAGAGTCGCTGTTATGATGGTAGGGATCAACACCATAAGCCTGGCTTCTTACTATCATCACTAATTTCTGCACACCTCCTCTCCATTCAAAACGCAAATACGCCGTTTCTGCATATCAGTTAGCAAGAGCAGGAAGAGTAGTGAAATCAGTTTTCATTGGTGCGCAGCAAAAGCATGCAAATGGTGGAGAATGCTAATTATATTTCATTTGTGAGTATCTCAATGGATGGGATGTACCATCATATATGTGCAGTGAACTATGAATGGGCTGATGTATACTCAAGGTGAGAAACAGTACTAATCTAGAACAACCACAAAATATGTACTCACCTCAGATAAGAATGTTCCGACACCATTTAGTAATGCCCAGATGCCTCAGCCTCTGTGCTTCTTCACCGGCCATTTCGAACACAGACACTTTCTCAAACTTTTCGTCAGACAGTCTTTGCCCAATGACCAAATATTGCTTCTGTCCATAATGTTGGAGAGGCTTTGGAGTTATACCAAGCAATGTGTACATGTCTTCACGTATTGGGAACTTGTGGCGTGCAATGATGTGAAATGAATGTTCTGCCCCATTGGCATCTTTAATGATCAGCTCGCCACATCGCTCAACCTCTTTCACACTTTCCATGGCCAACCCTTGCACAAACCCCTTTTCAATGCAGTATCCTCCAAACCAGCTATCATTTGTCTCCCCATCCCAATCAACTGTCATCCAGGAGTAGTCATCCACAGGCAGAGGCCTCTTCATGACCTGGTCCCATGATGGTCTCCACTTCATGCCTGTATCTCCTGGTTCAGGATACCACAAGAACAGCTTACCCCGATTCCACACAGTCATTGCATTCACCAATTCCATCCATGCATCTTCGAGAGATTCGCTCTCTCGGTATGCCGGTATCGCCCTGGGGAGCAGAGGGAATGCCAGTCCTGCAACTTTGTCCACAGGATTGGTGGATACCCGGTCGTGCATCTCTGACAGGACCTCAAACATCTTGGGGAAGAGTGACAGCCACTGATTCCTATGATAGACAGTGCTGATGGACCACAGCTGCTTGTGAAACCTAGTCAATATCTCAGTATCATAGTTCCCACCCTTGTCTATTGGTTTCGCATGCAGTGGGCCATCAGGTGTATCCCCAACAATGATCCTGTGGTTGCCAATCTCCTGTAGTGTCCACGCGCGTCTAAACCAACAGCGATCACTGTCCAAGTCACCGTCCTTCAAAGTAAAAGGCTGCCCCAGCCCACTCAGGTAGACCATGACTGTGGCATATGCATACACACGTCCGATAGTGGGCACATCGAGCTTCCACTCTTCTGCACGCAGGTGCTCGCTTGGCCCACCCTCCTGTCTCAAACAGAGGACATCCAACCATGTGTATTCCGCTCCCAGATTCAGCATCTCGATGCGGATGAGGTCAAGGTTGGCATCTTTTGGGATGGGTACGGGCCATTCCTCCCCATTGATAGGCGTCCAGACGTCGACGCGATCTTTCGCGTCCATCCACGCATGCGATACTGGACGAACGTTCACAGTTAACGAGATCACGGGTAGAGACGCGTCGCTGCTCCACCATGGTATCACCCGATTAGCGTATAGATCCCAGACCCGTCGAGGTTCCAAATTCGGTTCGACAATCCGGTTACCGACAAGTGCATTTCGTCGCCTCTTCTGGTCCCAAGCTTCGCGTGAACGTATCTCATCTTGGATGGTATTCCGGCCTTTGATGCCCCATACCGCGCGGAGACGGCCATATACAGTGCCAAAGTCGTAGTTGTTCTTGATGCAGTCTTCGAGAGTGGAGGAGATGAATGGTGTGTCCAGGGTATGTGATGTTCTGAGGGTGGTGTTCAGTTGATCTAAGAGGCCCATAACACCGAGGGTGGCGCATGGAGTGTTGGCGAGGGAGGATGATATTATGGGCTTTCGACCGGCATAGGATCGTTGCAATGGAACTTTGATTGATGACTCCTCTTGGCCCATTTCAGTGAAGGCAGAAATGGTGGCTATAGGGAAAGTGAGGTCCTGAAAACATGTTAACAAACTCTTCTCTATTTGGTTGCTAACCGGCTTACCTCCTGGGCCTGAGGCTTTGGGAATAAAGAACCAGCCTCAGCAAACCAGCTCAGGGGTTCTGGAGCTGTTTCTGCACTGCTCAGATCAGGCGGTGAGTGTGTCGTTACCTCCAGAACAGGGCCATCACCTTCTGCAGTAGAACTGCCATGAGGTATCACCCCTTGAGACTCTAAAGGCGGAATTATGTTGGCATTCTGGTCAGAATCAGATATTACACCGGGATATGGATCCGTCATTGTCTGTGCAGTCAAAAAAGCGGAGCACAAGCGATTCCAAATCCTGTTGACGCCGCTGAAAAGTAGGCCAATAATTCTCGATGGTACTAAAGTCGTTGTACTGAGTACTCGAAACGAAATAAATTAACAATACATACTATTTCCCAATTTCTAGATTGCAGTCAAGGGATTGCAGAATCAAGGTGTATTTGCATCGAGGCAGGCAGGTGTTGCAGCTCGGAGATTGAATTCTACGGGCTGTTGCGAGGTACTCGTGTGAACAGCATGCTAGACGCCGTCAGAACCAATAATCGGGAGGATCAGGATTCGTCGATTATGGGGCGATAATCGGGGGAATAACCATCGTCGACTGCAACTGCAGAACCAATTCCGGAGTCGGTTCTGCGATTATGAGTTGTCAATTACTGGTCGATGATGCCTTCAACCATAATCACTGCTGAACTGTGACCCTCACTGTTGGAAATCCTCGGTAATGCACAGGGTAGACTCCAGGCTGGTAAGGCCGGAAGGTATGAACTCATTTTTCTACAGCTCCTACAGAGCTTGTATTTATACTCTCCAGACTTATATCTAGAATTTACTACAACTTTCTCTTTCTCTCGGGCTTACTCATCAGCTCTCGGCATGATGCCGGATTGCTCTTTCTAGAGCTTTCCAGCAAAATTCCAACAGTCTTTGCTCATGACGTTGCACAGTAAGCCCATAGCTGTCTGTTAGTTTGGTGTTGTTGTTAAGTGTTTGGTCATATCTTTTTCTGGTGTTTTTGTTGCCTGTGTTTGTTTGTTTGTGTTGGGATTTTGCTGGAAAGTTCTAGAAAGGGCAATCCGGCATCATGCCGAGAGTTGATGAGTAAGCCCGAGAGAAAGAGAAAGTTGTAGTAAATTCTAGATATAAGTCTGGAGAGTATAAATACAAGCTCTGTAGGAGCTGTAGAAAAATGAGTTCATACCTTCTGGCCTTACCAGCCTGGAGTCTACCCTGCGCATTACCGAGGATTTCCAACAAATTCCAGCGCTAATCGAGTTGGTTTTGCGAGCATGCTATGTGTTCGAGTCTTGTTGGATGCGCTCTCGTGATGTCGCAGGCGTGGTTCTACAGTGTCGAGTCAACCTCTTATTTTACGTGCAAGCTGCAAGGATATCTATTTCTGCACAGTGATCACTTATATCTTCAACCAAAAATTACCAGTGCATCACACAGATCACTGCTAGTAGGATAAGATGATGGTGATACCCTTAATTACCTACATTTGTAAATGTGACGAATCTGACAGCAACTCCGACTAGAGGCTTGCTTTGCTGTCAATCTCTTTTGCAATCTGCTTCCTCTTTGCGCCGCCATTATTTACTCTTGTATTCTAGTGTCCTCGTGGTACCCGTCGCCAATATAATTTGGTACAAGTCACTCTGGAGACTCTTCAAAGATTCCTTTTCTCCATCTTCTCTGCTGGCACATTTATATTATCCTACATGTTGTAGCCTCTAGGAATACCGATATCTGCAACGTGGAGATCCTGTCACTCCTTCGCAAAGGATCATGGGTTACACACCTTTATACTCTTGTGAATCCGACGTCAGGAAGAAATATTGAAATTTTCATTAATGATACCAACTACATCCAGATCACTGGGCCCTGCAAAGGCCTCTTTCCAGTGGTGGTCGACCTTCTGAATAATACCTTCAACAAAAGCTTAGAGGAAGATAAAAGAAAAACATGCCATTGAATTTCAAGGGTCACATTACCCTTTGTGTCGCTGACCGCGATGACGTCCGGGGCAAACGTTCTCCTCCTTCGCGAACCTACGCCATCCTCCGATAGTGGCCAGGATCTGTATGGAACCATATTTACTGCAGCAAGCTACACGCCTTTCTCGATTCCAGTGATCGAAACCGTGCTCACGAATATCAATGAACTCGCATCCGTAACGGCACAGGGCGATTTCGATGGAGTTGTCATGATCAGCGCATGCTCATGCGAGGCCTGACACAAGGCGAACGGTGCAGCCAAGAACGGTACATGCCGCATTCACACTGCGACGGCTCTTTTGTTCGTTAACAGTAACAGCTCCGCAGGTCAAAAATACATAGTATTTAGACTGAGAGCATCACGGTCTCCCCACAGAAGAATTCGCAGTCCGAATTTCCCAAGCATCCAGGACAAAACTCAAAATCGCGTTCTCGATACCAACACATCAATCCCGGTGGCGCATCCAGTTACCCGGATTATACTCAGCATTCCCAAGAGAGATATCACACCCGCATCCCAAACACACCACTTTGTCCTGTTCGATCCTGTCCGGATCAACCCAGGGCTCGCACCTGAGGAAAAGTCGCCTCCGCTTCGCATCGTTCCGGCTGAACTGATACAGCGGGCTCTCGAACGTCTTTAGGAAGCTCACTTCGGGACCGTTCTGCGATACCAGGAACGTCTCTTTCTGATATATGCTGAGTTTCCGTGCACGCGGGCTGTGAAAGGATGAGCTCTAACTTGGACTCGGTGAAGTGGCACTGACCAAGATCCTTGCAATTGCGGTTGGAACGGTGATTCTTCGCGGTCAGCGATCATCATTCAGATAGGGTAGGAGAATTGCCACCTGCACCTTCCATGGCCACGGTGGCATGGGCGGCTGGTTTGTCCCGATGGCGCGCTCCAGCCTGAAGGCGACCATGAGGTTGAAGGTGTTTCGGGAGGCATAGATGGAGTAGGCATTTGAATCCCACTGAAATCTTGCATTCTGCGATGAATCTGAACATTCATGGCTGCTCCATATGCTGGTGCCGAATGATTCGTGAAAGATATCGAGGCATTCGCAGGGACAAGCTGGCTCGCACCAGATTGGTAAGAAGTAAGATAGCCTAGTCCATTCATCACGGAAGGAGAAGCGGGAATGGATGCAGTGGATGGTGATCATAGTCCAGGTTGCTTTTAAGTAGGTCTGCGCAGAGGGACAAAGCCAGACGATGAATGGTGGCACCCGGACTTGTCTTTGTTGCGCACCTCAGACGCGCCTCTCCTGTCTTTGTCCTCCCACACGCTTTGGCAAAAACATTGTCAAGTAGACGAGTGCGCAGCACGAGATAACAGCCCATAGAGCAACGTCCTAATCTTCGGGAATGCAATATTCTTCGACTCTCTTTGCGATCATCCGGGAATGGTTTTATCTGCATTCATGAAGGATGGAAGAGGCAACACACCTGGAGAAGCCCGTCACGCCTTTGTGCAAGTAGTAGCACATTGTACCGGCGATGAAGAAGTCCGCTCCTGCGAATGTAGAGAAGACTACATAAATAGATATCTGCGAAGCATTAGTGTGGCCATACGTTTAGTATACGGCTACCGAAGCCTACGCTGATGTTTGAGATGTCCAGAAAGCTTGATGGGGTATATCTGTGGCAAAGTTAGCATGGGAGACGGCCACCATAAAGAGGCGTGCTGCATACGTATCATAAAAAATATCTAGAAACGTATCTGCGAGTCAGAACTGTATATACAAAATCGATGCTCATTGCTCACCGATTCCGGCGCCTTGGAAATCTCATTCAGGTCTTCAAGTTCGGTTATTTAGGACAAAAGAGGTCTCACCTAAGGAAGCGGCGACAGCAAGAAACTGCGGGCGGAGTCTGGAAGAGTTATGAACGAGCAAGAAGAGTACGTACAATGAACCATGGCAGCACCGTATGGAAATTACGACCAATTATTAGGAGACCAACAGTCAGGGTTCATTTATTTTAATGTCGGCAGAGACTAAGATTTTAATACTCTGACGGCGTATAAGCTGTAGCACTGATGGTTGAGTCTCTGATCATTCGAGAGTCAGTTGAGGAGCACACGCTTGGACGCCAACAACGATTAAAATCTGGTTAATAATTAGAGAAGGAGTGCAAAATCGTACCAAATTCACATACTTTGATTAGGAGCTGCAACTAAGGACGGAAGGAATTTCGGACATTCATATAATAGATGAAGGGTGGAAATAGGCACACCTTAAAACTCCTGCCAGCGAGGTGCGAACTCAGATGAACCTAGAGTTATGGTAGATGAGAGTTGTGCGTACCAAATGATCTCGAAGAGGGGAAGATAATTTCCAAACGATTCGATCAGATAGAAATACAAGGCATGAGTGCTTATCGCAACGTGAAGTGTATCGGGGATCCTGGAGATTGTAGTGATCACCTTTTTGGCCGACGTACGGTTACAAAGGCAAGGACCGGCATACTTTGTCCTAAGCTTATGAATCGGACACTTACATTGCGATGTCAGCAGGGTTTGAGACTGGCTGAGGAAAAATGAGCACTGAATCTTTCGTAGACACGATAGAAATTGAACCTACGTAAATCGAGTAATAAATATGCACGTCTTGGTGGTGATGACGGGATTTGGCTCGAAGATGGTTTGGGCCTTGATTTATCCAACAGCGCAGCTGAAAATCCCTGATGTCTGAGCTCAGATCTTCTTTGACTTGCTGAGATCTGATGGCCGGCGTTCCCAGTCCTGCACGGAGAATGCAGGTGAACAATATACCGAGCGAAAGAGGAACATACTCATACTCTTGCCCAGTGTCCTATGATCCGAGCGGTCGTTCCTTGCTGAAAGTTAATAAGAATATCTACTCATGGAGATACTTTGGCGCGCGCTTAAAAAGAGAAATCTACGTGTTGCACGAAACCCCACGACAGCAGGAAGCAGTGACAAAAACGAAAACAAAATTTCCACGCTAGGGACCTCACTCAGATGCATCTACATTGATGGAATGAGTGCCGACGATGCTATCTTTTCACTACGAAACAATCAGCTTTAACATTCTTCGCACGTAAGGTACACTGACCGACTATGATCAGAACGCTTCGAATGCACTCCTTGGGGGTCCTCTCCACGTCGCCTAGGGCTCTTGATACGGGTTTCAACGAGATACTGTAACGTTATTCCACCGCTGAGAGTTCAAACGTGAGAGCCATAGAAGTCGTGTTTCATTAAGGATGGTGAGCGGATGCACGGGTTAACGGTCTGATGTGAACGCTCACACTCTTCTCGTGATTGCCCCACTAGTCAAGGTGACGATCCGATGCTGGAGCTCCATCTTTTCGATGAATAAACGGCTTAGTATCATCGATAAGAGCGGAGACGAAGACTTACTACGATCTCCTCGTAACAAACAGGTACATAGGCATACGACGCCATGAAGATCGCTGTCTTCATGCGCCAGCAGCGTTCAATCTCCTCAGTTGATATTCAGTAGTTTCGTGTGATGCACCCTTTTCTCGAATCCCGATCACCGCTTCTAGCGTTTCTCCTTTTCACAGGTCCTGATCGTTCTTTCCCCCATCTCCTTCTCTACGTTCCTCCTGCTCCGGCGCCAATTGCCTCTAATTTCATTTGTTCCACATCCTCACAATGACGAAACCGGTCTTAGACATCGTGTGTCGTCAACGAGGCAAAGAGTGTTCCGATGAAGGAGAACGCCAGGATTTGAAGGATACATGAACACTGGCTAGAGATTCTTTGTGGATTCAGCAGTGTATTCAGTGCTTGCACCTGGCAAAAGTGTAAGTGCCAAGATGACAATAACAGCCTAGTGAGTACCTGTTTCATCGTTTGGAAGAACGCAGTCACTTAAAGAGGGGAAAGACCATGGCCTGTTGTGATAGCGTGTCAGCCAAAGGTAGAAAAAGTGATATCTGACGTACGATCCATAGGTGTCAGCCGAAACGATGACTAAGGTGTTCCCGTCGTACTCGGGACACTCTCATTTTCGGTGTGTCGAAGCCTGGTCGGCTGGGATGAAGTCGAACCTGAATCTAACGTCCTTCAATAGCGCTGTCTCGTGCTGACGGCAAGAGACTGCAGACCATCAACTCGGTGTAACGACCAAGGAACGACTTATCAAAGCACTGTCACCAAACAGAAAGAAAGAGAGTAGGGACAGCCTACCATAATAGAGCAGGACAGTTCGTTGACCGGCCGATATTATATGGTAACCTTAATACCAACAACCGCTTAATTATGCATCGCACATGCCCACTGTCGGACGAAGATCATGCTGGACTGTACGCATGTCTCTCCTTGCATATACTTTAGAGTATCCATTCCTTGGTTTCTTCAAATAACTTCATTGTGTTGGATTCAGCACCAAAATGCATCACAAAAATCCTTTCGTACGTCGATGACTTAGGGTATCTTTGTGATAACGATACCTACATTTAGACAGAGGGAAAGGTGGAAATGAATTCAATGAAGAATCGGTCACCTTCCGGAGGGCTTATGTATCATAAATCGCATCTAACAAGCGCAGTCGAGTTAGTACGGCGCCGGAATTATAGGAGTGTCGCTTACAGGATCCTGTGCCTGCGGGGAATTTAAGTTATACCTTTCTTCTTTCACCAGGACAAGGAGTATCTCACCAAGCGTCGCAGCAACCGCAAGGAACTGCGGGGCCGGATACCAGTGTCAACTGGCGTCCGCATAGGTATCGTGAACATGAACACCTACGATAAAACGTGGCAGGACCGTATGGGAATGACTGCCGACTGTGAGACGATCACAGTTAGGAATGTATAGAGGATCTTTCACGGAACGAAGACGAACACCTCACTATTCTGACAACGTACAAGCTGTGGCATCGATTCCGATTTATCACAGCGCAGATAGAAGGGGACGCACGCTTGCACGCCACACACAATCAGCATCTGGGCTCCTGTCAGACACGGATTGCTGAAGGATATATAAAGACGCACATTGACCAAACGCTGCAGCTAATATGGAAAAGGGGACTCGATCCTACAGATCAACGAGACGAGGAAAAACTGTTACCGGAAAGCTCCTGAAAGTGGCTCGAAATTCAGAACTCGACAGAAAAAAGGCACCGCTTGACGTACCAAATAACTATGAACAAGGCGAGATCTTTTCCGAACGATTCGACAAGGTAGAAATAGAATGCGTGGGTGCTCAGCGCAATATGGAGTGTATCGAGCATCCTGCAGATCGGATTACGTCAAGATACAACCCTCGATATATGTCCCCTTCGTGCGAGCAACGCACCACAAAAAGGCGACCTGTATACAGTCCATGTTGTGTGAACCAAGCCCAATGCGAAAGCTTAGGATCCCGAATCGCGTATCGAAAGAGCCACGGATCGTTGGGAATTTGTTTGTAATAGATAACAGTCTGCAAAATAGTAATTCCATAGAAACTAAGGTGTAGTGTAAGCATCGACGCGAATCCTCTAGGAAATATCACGAACACTACAGCTACGGTGGCACCGATGTAAATTGCGTCGAGTGTCACTCCCATGAGCGAGGGAACATCAGCCAGCGGTATCGGAGTGATCGGCGATGGTATTTGGGGAGCCGGTGTTTGAGGGAGTATCGCGCTGCTTATGTACGAGCACATAGTATCCGGCATTTGGGAACCACATTCGATGAAGGCCTGTATCGGATTGATTTCAATTGACCCCGACAAATAGGGCAAAGCTTCGAATTCATGCCCCTACATGGCAATGAAGCAAGCGAGACCGATATCCACGTCGAAACCATAATCTATGTTGAGTGCGTTGTTTTTGGCGTGAGCGATGCTGCGGGATCTAGTGAATAGGCGCAGGTGGTCATTAAGAGTATTTTTCGTCTATCGTATTAATGATCAACGTTGCTCCACGGTCCAAAGATGTGAAAAGGTCACCATTGGGGTCAGACTCTAACCGATAGAGAGCGTGTCCGTCGAGTGATCACACAAAAATACAACAGACAAGTTTTGCTTTTGACAGTTCATTTCGGATAAGGATGCGACTAGGAGCCAGCATATCAGTCATGTCTGCAGACTTTGCGGTTCCGTTTGATCGTGTTAAGGTTGACATGGTGGTTAGGCTGCTTCCACGTTAGCCGTTCGCCAATATGCAAACAAGAAACGGCGTACCTCCAAAGCGTGATGAACCTATCAGGTCGAATACAGGTTATAAACCCGATATATGCGCGCCATTCCAAAACATAATAGACATCGCAGGAGTACCGTATCGCTGCTGCCTCCGTTAGCATGGGCCCTACGTCAGTAGAGATACACGCACTCAAAAAAGAACTTTTATTTCCAAAAACATGGACATCGCTCATCCGCTCACAAGCCTCCTCACGCCGTCCTTAGGTCGTCCAAACAGAGTACTGCGATAGAAATATGTCCAGGAAGAGGCCATCGTTGGCGTACAATTCTTGTCGTCGTAAACAAGAAAGCAAATACAACGCCGAAGCCATATCCATTGGCTCGGACAACCTTCTGAGCTTGGTCTTAACGCCGTGTCATGTGGTGTATGCACCGTCCACATATTATCGAGTGTAAATAGGCGACCTCTTGACTGAGCTTGCTGAAGCGTTCTTCCCCGCCATGATGGATATGCAGGTTGCATGTGCGCTAGTAGCCGACACGAGCGAGCCGTTACTGCTGTCGTCGAGATTAGAACGCGCCTCTGATTTCAAGCAGAAAATAACGCACTCTGCTGCACCATGACCATTCTGGGGAAAGCCCAGTCACGTATCTTCTGTCATCGCTGCCGGAATATCGTTGCTGGTGAGCGGTGCCTGTGTCGAGAGCCTTCAAGATGATGGTGGACAGTGGCAATTTTTCTACAGCGCTTATAATAACCAAGGCCAGCTAATTCATTGAGAAACATGTCGTATTTGAAGAGAAAAGCGTCCAAGTTACACGACTGGCAGTGATGAAGGATATCATTGGGCAAGAACATGGTGAGTGCGAATGCTGCTTCTGAACTCAGGTGGCCTGCCCTCAAGTCCACGTGTTTGCTTAAGGGGTACCATGTATTTCCAGATAATAATATCACAAGAGAACGGCCAAAAGGTGCCTTTGACTGGGTTTTTCTACGCTACGTCTGACGTGGATATTCTTCAGCTTCCTTCATTGACTCAGACTTACCAAACTATGATCACAACCCTATCTCAGTGTCCTCAGTGCGGGTTCGCGCCATCTGAAAAGCCCCTTCCCAATGGGATCTCCATCGCTCAACTGCAGGATTTTTTTGCCTGTAATGACGCTCCCGTATGCGCCGAACGTGCGGAACTAGAAGCCGTTATCCGTGAGGGAGAGCAGTATTTGGCCTTCCTCCAGCAACGCATATCACAAACCCAGAACACCCTCGACTCACTCTTGAAAGAGCAGAACTGAGCAGTGAAGCACATCGCCGACTCGAAATTTGTCTTGAATCCCGTCCGTCGTTTACCCCCCGAGATTTTGAGCCACATCTTTCTTTCATGTATCCATCCGGACAGCGAGCTGTTACAGTCCAACGATAGCGACACGGATACTTCATTGCTGGACTCCCTCAATATCAAGAATTCTCCGTGGAACTTATCCTATGTCTCATCTCGATGGCGTCAAGTTGCTTTAACCACACCTAGTCTCTGGTCATTCATCCGGCTCCAACTTCACAGATACCAGGGCCACATGCGTTCATTATTCCGTCGAGGAACATATTTGGGAAGGTCCGGTACACACCACCTCACTGTCGCTATCGAGAGCAGTGAAGATACATCCGACCATCCCATTCTTCCCGTAATTCTCTCCACCTCTCCCCGCTGGAAAACACTCTCCATCGGTCTTCCCTTCTCTGCATTCCGCATTTTCAACAACATTTCCGGTTCACTGAGTTACCTTACTTCGCTTTCTGTTTACCTACATGGTGAACCAGACACAGAATCCGAGCCGATAGCCATGATCGAAGTGTTCCGTTTTGCACCGCAGTTACAAGAGTTAGGACTCACAGAATGGGATTGGGGGACCCTCTTTCACGACCTATTTTATTTTCCATCAGAACAAATCATCAAGGTGTCGTTACAGGGTAACAACATGCAGCCCCTCGCCCTCTTACAAAAAGCGCCAAATTTGGTGTATGGCAGATTTTCGGCAGACGTAGATTTCCTCTCAGGCGCACCATCTGACGTGTGTTGGCACGCCCATCTCCAGGTGCTGATCATAACCGAGAATGTCGAGAGATCCATAGCCGAGCTGTTTTCAAGACTCGCTTTGCCGGGGCTCCTCCAGTTACAGATGGAATTCAGTGACACAGGAGAGGATGATAGTATCGTTTTGCCAGAATTCACTACACAGACTGCGCCGGTGTTGAAGCATCTGTGTATACAGATGGAAGATTCAATGACTCGACAGTCAAATGTTGACGCACCTATTGAAGCACACCCCGTTCCTGAGGAACCTGAAACTCGGCGGCAAGGTGGTGACCGATGATGTCTTTCTCCAACTCGGAAGGAAGACAGAGTTTTCACAGTTGGTCCCTCAGCTACGCGGGATAGACTTGAGAGGGTCGACGTTTGAATTTGAGGATGCCAACAGTATCATCGTTGGGATGGTCGCATCTCGAAGCGAAGCCGTTGATGGTGGCACAACCTTGCAGACGCTCATTCTGGATGAGCCATTTTGTTTTGAGGATGACGATCTTTCCGCAAGATGGCACACGCTCTGCCAAGAGAGCCTAGATATTCAGTACGGTGGATGAAAGGCGTCGTGGAAGTTTTTGTTGCATTTATGAAACGCATAGCATTCCCTCGCGGTACCACGTAGATTTGGATAGAACGAATGTGTCACCGGTTATTTATCCAATGATATCTGCCGCATGAGCACCGGACGCTGCGAGTCGTAACTGCGCCGATACTACAGCAATATCAGCACTACGATCTAATTAAAGAAAAAGGCAGGACGTGCGGAGCATCCGCTGATGTACCAACTACGACCAACAAGACGACCAACAAGCCGACCAGTATGACGAGAAGCCCAGGCCCGACGGGCCCCAGCTACACTTTCCGTTCTCAAGGGCATGTCTGTATCAGACCCTTCCTCTACGTAACAGTTCCATACAAGCACTGACAACAATTCATGTGTACCATAGACTCAGGTGCCGATCCATCTGCACACCCAGATATCGGAACATTGCACCCATATGGACCCACATTGTAGGATTTATTGGTCCCCAAATTGTATATATCAGATGAGCGAATAGTGTATCGAGATGAAGTTGAGGTGGCGGAACTTGAGACTGTTGCATGGCAATCAATGAAGTGTTCTGGTTGCAGTCGTGCAGAGAGGAAGAAGAGCCCTGCATGGCAGGAAATGCACAAATGGATCTACTGTAAAGGCAAATCCAAGGTGCACGCCAAATTTTGAACAGACACGGAGGGCAAAAGGAGCAGAGTACGCTGCGATTTGGCACCATATGATATTGACCGTGAATTTCGACATATATTACCGGAAAAATTCGCGTCGTATTCACGCGAGAGACCGGTGGAACCAGGAGCGGGATGGAGGAAAGGAAGCGACTTCGGAGGTCAAAATGTTGACCGAACAACGCGTCTCAGTCAGGTGACGTCCGCATTTTGCCGTTATTCCAGTCACTATTCTCCCACACCGGCCTGACCCAACATATCCGGTGGACCGTGACATGCCGATTTCCTCTCAAGATTGCTATGATAGACCAAACCTTCACGAAAGAACTAACACAGAAGCGGCTCGGTAGGGTCATAATTTATCGGACTGCAGGCCCGGTACTGATCATAAATTTTCACCTTTCCAAATTTCACCATTGTTTTTTTGACACCGGTTTGCCAGGAACAAGGGGCATCGCCCCGCCACCAGATCAGCTCCATCCTACATGTTACACAACTTTAGCGAACCGCGATTGAGGACGCCCAAGGAAAAGACAGAGAAACAGGCGTGACGCTTTTGTAGCTGGAAGGAATTGACGACATCATCGCCCCAATGTTTGCGATTTAGTAGGTCCTGGAATAATCTCATCGGTTCTTTCCAGACAAGGTTAATTCCACGAAGACCTTGGTCAGCTGTACTGAAAGCCGCATCCATCGGTCGTCACAGTTGGCACATCAGGTAATAGCCAGACCATCGTTAGCTTAGCCCCCTCGTTTCCAGGTTCTCCTTACAAATGTGCTCTTACCATGGACGACGTGTTGGCTACAAGTCACGACTCGAACATGACAGGCCTTACGGCCGACTCTGACCCTGTCGACGGAAACGCGTCCTGCGTCCTTGCGCCCGAGGCCACACAGGGCCCTTACTACGTCGACGGGTGAATATGTCTGCTCCAACATCACCGAAAACCAAGAAGGCGTCTACACCTATGTCGATGTCGAACTCATTGATGTATCAACGAGCCTGTCTCGGATGCTTACATCGATTTCTGGCACTGTAATGCGACCGGTGCCTACGCCGGTGTAATCGTGTCTGGCAATGGAAATTCCAACGACCCGACCAATATGGTGGGTTCCTTCAATTTGTCTATTTGGCTCGATCCCTTCATTCCATCAATACCAACTCTCTTGTAGCACAAGACTTTCCTTCGGGGTATCCAAGTCACCAACGACGATGGCTATGCCCAATTCGAGACTATCTTCATTGGTATGTTTTCCTCTTTCCATGGCTTCTCTCCTCTTGACAGTCCATTTCCAGGCCACTACACCTTACGAGCTAACCAGATCCATATGATAGCCCACGGTAACGATACCCTCTTCCACAACGGCACGTTCAAAGCCGACAACGATCACCACGTCGGCAAGTCCAATCTCTTGTCCTCCAGATCTAACCCACTGTTTTGAGGACAATTCTTCTTTGACGAAAACCTGATCACCGTCGTCGAAGCTACCTCTCCCTACATTTCCAATACCCAGCAACTCACCACCAATTCCAACGATTCCATTATAGCCGAGGAAGTCGAGGATGCGCCTGACGGGATTGACCTCACGTCTACCTCGGGGACGACATTTCTGATGGTCTCCTTGCGTGAGTACAACACCACATTTCGTCGGTAAGTCTCTTACTGATGCTCATCCTTGCAGCTGGGGTTCTATGGCTATCGACCTCTCGTCGAGCTACACCACATTGGCCGCTGGTGCCCTGACCGAGGATGGCAGTGTGATGTCTGATACCAGCAGCAGTGGAGGTATGGGTGGCAGTAATGACGCTGCCCTGTCCTAAATAGGTACAGCTCTTAGGATATGTGCCCTAATTTTGATATGCGGATTTCGATTTCGAATCATCATCATTACTTCCTTTGCCCATGATAAGCGAACTGAAGGCGAACAGCCAGACTGCATCGCATTGAATGCATATGCGAGGTTGATGCCGCATAATGAGTTCTTGTGTTGAGGAATTAGGACGAGGGAATGATTCAAGGTATTTTTAATGTTCATCCAGAAGAGTACTGCCGAGCAACATCACGCTGCGGATCATGAGGATGTGTCTTAGACCGTGTGCGCGGCAACCTAAGTAGAAGCATACACACCACGACATCCAGACTCCAATGCAAGCATCAAATAAAATGGCACAATCAATTAGTAGTAGTAGTAGTAGTAGTAGTAGTAGTAGTAGTAGTAGTATCATTTGTAAGCAGTTCCATCATAATATCGAAGAAGAACATGAAGACGGGACTCGAGGGCCTTATAATGGCTGGACATGGCTCTGAATAGAGGTCTACAGTTATCCGATTTGAAAGTCAGAAAGCCTCAAGCCCAAGTCATTGAGGTTGTACATCCTTGCAGACCAGACAGTCATTTTGCTTTGAAGATTCCTCAAGACAAGATATGCTCCACCAGGACTAGACATTCAGTACAACAGATGACAAGCACTGGTGGTAAGTATGAAGTTATCAGGACACAAGCCTGAGTTTCTGGCTTTTTTTCTCCTTTCACATTCTGAGTTCAATGTGGCACATCAAGTTTGGCATTTATCCCACATTATTTGAAATGATGTTGCTCTCTCTAAAGTCCATGCTCAATTGCTTGTTGCACCATCAAAGAAATATGAGCTAGTGGGTTACCTTGATGGTTTATGAATTTTATTCATTTTAGCCAGTAGTCACAGAGGTTCTGCAGAATCTTCTTCTGGTGGATATCTAGATACCCACTCTCTTCAATGTTTCATGCTCAACTGGAATGGCTCTCAAAACTGAGCCTGCCACTTTTTGTCTCCTACACTGGATCTGTGTTTTCCAGGACTGTCCCTCAAACTCATTACTGAAGCAGATATTCATTCATTTGTCATTGCCTGATAAATTCTCCAGGAAGTCCAAGACTATTCTGTCTGGACACTGTGCTTGGACCTTCTTCCCGGTCTCTTCAGATCATAATGCAACCTGTTGTCACTGCTGTGGTCCTCAGGATGGAGCATGGCATGGAATGACAGTTGTTGATGCTCAGTAAGCACAGCCTGGTCGGTTTCAAAATGGAAGTCCTACAAGACTCAGAGAAAAATATGAATGAATGGCAGTCTTGCTTTATGAAAGACAAGCTGACTTGCATTCATAATAGGTCTTGATTGAAAGTTCTCTTGCAGTGCATGTATGTTGAGGTCAGGTTCCATGTATATACAAGCAAACAACATTTTGATCAAGTATAAGGCACTCATAATCATGGTACTATGGTGTTGCTGATATCTTGAAGCTTGGAGGATTCACACAAGAACTTCTCCTTCAATTCTTTGATGTAGCTGTGCACCATCAACTGGCCATCAGCACAATAACACTCATGAGCAATCAGATGCTCCCAACCAGATGAATGTAGGCAATTGGATCAACCATATGATAGCATAAATCACAGTAACCTGGATATGTTTGCACAGCACATAGTTAGAATGTCCCCTGAGCCCATATTCATGTAGTTGGTGCTAACTACTTCATTGTATTCCTTGCTGTATAGATCCAACAGATAAACTAATCCTATGGAAGCCAAACTGAAGGCAAACATACCATTGAATGTATTGACTATGCTTAGTCTTCCTCTGAATGCCACATACACATTGTGAAAAAATGAAATGTTCAACTGCTGATGAGAAAAGGAGAAGTAGGTGGCATACCTGAAGAGAGGCAATAAGGGTGTATATAGTAGCATAAACTAATAACAAGAAATGATTCAGTGTGTCTTTAATGTTGCTCAATCCTGCTGCAGTGAGGAGAGCATTGCTAAGCAGTGTCAGGCTGGAGGTGATCTAGCATGTGAGGAACATATCTTAGACAGTGTGCATGGCAGCCTAAGTAGATATATACCCACCATGGCATCCAGACATGAGTGCAAACTCCAAAGAAAATAGTGTGAATGGATTGTCATAGTAGTAGGAGTAGTAGAAGTAGGAGTAGTCTTCTCATTGGCAAGGGGTTCCATAGTAATGTTAAAGAATAATGTGAATGCAGGACTCAAGGGTTTTATATTATTGTGAGTGGAGTGAGTCTGAGTTCACTACAGCAAGTTGTCTCAAAATTTGATTCAGAACAGGGCCAGAAAAGACACAGGATTCAAATGGTAATTAGACATTGGACTGATTCATAGAGGTTTCAGTTATCAGACTCAAAAGGGAGAAAGTCTCAAAGCAGAGTCATTGAAGTTGTCCAACCTTATGAAGAGGAGGGGGGGTCATCTGCTGATGATAACTATGAAGCTATCAGGACACAAGTTTTCCTTTCATATCCCAAGTTTGATGTAGCATATCAAGTTTGGACTTGATGAACATTTTGCATGTGGGAGTTGGAGGTTTTACAGTGATGCAAGTCTGCAGTGTAACTGCATATAGATATGATGGCCCAATGGATGATGTTAGAATTTTTGACCAACAAAGCACAATGATGAGCTCAAGGCCCCTTCCAAAAGGTGCATTTGGCTGGTGGTTTTTCTATGCTATGTCTACTTTGAATTCTCTTCAGCTTTATTGATCATGCAAGTAATAATCACACCTAATGTCTCAAAGTGTCTATGGATTTCTTTTGAAGATTACCCTGCTAGAAAAGGGGATATACAGACAGATCCACCAGGCCATTGTCTTAAACCCTGAAACTGTTCTGAAAATTTGGCTCAGAGCACCCCTATTTGAGACTTATAAGAATCGGTGTCGATGACACTGTGGACCCTTCATAAATACTCCCCATGTTTTTTCCATGACTCTGTTCCTGCAGGACAACCTTTTTTATTCATCAAGGTGAGCTCTTTTTTTCCCCAGTATTCTTAATGATAATTTGTTTTCTTTAGTCATATACATCTCGGATACCATGGGAGAACAACAATATCTACCCACAGAAATATGGCAGGAGATTTTCATCTGCTGCCTGCCGGACCTTAAAAAAGCCACACATTACATGTATTACCGTACCTCAGATCTCGTCCCTCCGCCTCCATCCACACGCGATGCGCCTCTGCTCCTCTTACTCGTCTGCCGAACCTGGTGGTACTGGGCCCTTCACACCCCCGAACTCTGGGCACGCCTATCCATTAATGTCGACTGGGGGATATCCTACCCACCTCTACCCCAAGTACATTCATGGCTCATGCGCTCTGAAAGCGTCCCTCTGATGTTCTCTCTCAGACAGAACAGCGACTGGGCATCGGACCGCATCTTGACCAGAAAGTTCCTCCAAAGGTTGCTATGCGATATATACAGGTGGCAGCACGTCTCTCTCCACCACTGCCATGATGAGGTGCTCCGCACTCTCGCGGAACACAACAACGTCGTTCCTCAGGCCCTGCGCTCCGTGTACCTATCCTATCCCGTCACTCCACCAACCGTCATGACGCGGGAACTCACCAGCGCCCTCCAGCACCTCACCTCTGCACCGACCTTCTCCAGCCTCATCGTCGTCGGCATCAACATCTTCAGATGCCTCGACGACCCTTACCACATCCACTGGGCGCGGCTCACCGAGCTCACACTCGACGACCTCAGCCACGTCTCCACCTGCCTCACACTCCTTGCGCTGTGCCCTCTCCTCGTGCGCTGCACCATCGGCGTCCGCAACGCCACATACACCCGCCTCACCTCAGCAGCCGAGCAGCACATACACCCACCCCCACCACCAGGCCGCACGATCGCCCTCCCCCACCTCGCCGCCCTCGCGCTCATGCTCCCCGACGTTGACCTCCCCATGCTGTTCGCCACCCCGCTCCACGCCCCCGCCCTTCGCTCGCTCACCCTCTCGCTCGCTCACCGCTTGTCCAACATCGCCGCCACCGCCACCGCCTGGCCCCAGGCCGCCTTCGCAGCGTGGCTTGCACAAACTCAGTGTGTGCTGGCACGCATCACGCTCTGCTACACGCACATGCAGAGTGGTGCGTTCCACGCCTGCCTGGCGCTCCCCGCGTTCGCAGGGGTGCACAAGCTGGTGGTGCGCGAGAGGGCATCGTTCCCCGCAGGCTGGGCAGAGTGCATGTCGCGGGATGCGCTTGCAGCGCTTACCGTTCGGGGCGGGAGGGAGGGGGGGTGCGTGCTCCTCCCGAAGCTGGAGGTGCTGGTGCTGTGGGGGCAGTGTGTGGAGGCGGGGGGCAGCACGGCGCTGGTGGAGATGGTTGCATCACGGTGTCATGCTGGAGGAAGAGGAGGAGGAGGAGGAGTAGCGCGGTTGAGAAAGTTTTCATGGTCGAGGGTGGCGGATTATGATTATGTTGACTTTGGGGATCTCTGTACGCTCAAAGCGCTGAAGGACGGGGGGCTGGAGGTGCATATTTGCAGAGGGGGGGGGAGGCCGAGTTGTGGGTGTTTTTGGCATTAGACCGGCGTTGTCAGAGAAGAACCTTGCTGCTGCTGGTAACGTCGACTTCTGCTCTGACATTTGTGTGGCGTTGTGGGATCTCATCTCAACAGTGTACGTGTCATATTTGAACGGAACGGGTCTAAGCGACACGACTGAAAGATGTCATCAGTGAAAAACGCCGTCAAAAGAAGTCCATAGTCACATGGTCAATTTCTGGACTGAATTCGAGACAAGGCGGAATGTCGGGGTGATACAAATGTCACAATATCAGCCTCAAGGTGTTCTCTGCAAAAGTAGGCAATACATACACTTTATATCAATTCATAGCTAGAAAACATTATAAAAGCAAAGAAAACGTTCGAACATGTATACTGACAATCTTTCACGGACACTCGCTCTCATCGACCTCGATAAACCAGCTACCTACGATACCATCCCTTCCCTATTAAGACATCAGTGCGACATTCTCGGCACAACCCAGCCCGCCAACTCACCTTATTCTCACACGTATCAGGATGGTCAAACTTCTGCCAGGCGAACTCGGAAGGAGTAGAGAAACACATCTCAGCCCAGTTGTCCCAAGGCTCTTGATGGTTGAACAACTTTGCTTCAACCCGCTACAACGATCGCGTCACGTCAGCCCAATGTCGAGCAACCGAAACAGCGATGTGGCGTACCCGTTTATGAGCGCCAAAGCAGTCCTAATTGACCGTGATGAGCATGTACACCGATCAACAGTCTGACATACATGGACGCTCACCTTCTTCTGATGACCCCCCCACCAGGTCTTACACGTCGGCTCGTTGGACCTGACAGTCCAGTGCCCAATAGTCTTTATAGCTCCATCCTGTCGAAAAACAAAATGACTTTTTAATACCGATAAGAGAACCCAGAAGAGAACGCACTATCAGTTCCGAGGTGCAAAGTTCAGGATGATCATATGTGATACCGTGGATATCGATGCTTGTCTTCATGCACCAGCCGTGAGCATCCTCGCTGGCTGGTACATTCAACAGTTCCGCATGATAAATCCTCTTCTCATACCCCAAGCATCGCTTCTCCATCGTCAAATCCCACCATGCCAGTTCTGCACGCTCCCTACGCTCCTCGTCAGCGAGTATCGCATCCTCTTTAGCACGGACGGCATCCTCTCTACGGGCCACAGCATCCTCACGACGGCGTCTACGTTCGGTATCGGTATAGTCACTGACGAGGTGGAAGGCAAGTGCCACGACGACGATGAATGCCAGGACTTTGAGCGTGGCCAAACGCTTTCCACATACAGCTCGTGGCTTCAGCGGGGTGTGTTCATCACTAAGACCTGGTAAAGTTCTAATAAGCGCCGGTATACGAAAGAGAGTGCACTAAAGCACCTGCTTCTTCATTCGGAACCGTACGGTAGCTTGGCGGTGGAGGAGACCATACTCTGTTGCAGTACGATGTCAAGCAATGACAGAAATAGTAGGGTAGAAGAGCTTACCTGGAAGAGTTATACATATCAAGATGATGGTAAAAAGGAAGAATGGCGAGTCAGAATACCGCGTTTTAAGGGGCGATGTGGTTGAATCCCACACTGTTCGGCAGAGGTGCCGTTCGTGCGTAAAATGCATTTCTACCCGGTCTGTTCCCCAGGTTTAAATTCCTGGAGACCCCTTTGCCTGCACGTTGAAAGCGACTGTGTCGCTGCAATAGCCCCCACAAAAAAAAGAAAGAAAAAAAAAAAAGAATACCACCTTTAAAGCCTACAAGTGCAGCGCTTAACTGGCTTATTACGGAAACATCAATCTGCCAAATGGATGTCCGATATCGCCTTCCATCGGCTGAGTCGGTAATGATCTTCACAAGGATGATCACCAATGGGAATTAAGATGAAAACCGTGATCAGAGCGATACTGGATTTGTAGTTGTTAAGAGGCTCAACAATAGTTTCACCGAACATTCATACCTGACATCTCTATCATGTTTCCTGATACATCATCGTGGGCCAGTCGCTTTCACTTCTTTCCGTCCTATTCTGGCGCGAATGACCAGTATTTTTACGTTCTTGGTCACGCAATTCCCACAGACATTGCTGTGTCTGCGGAACATGATCAGCATGTACATCAATTCACTCCCTTCCTACTTAATATTTCCCAAACCAATGTCTGCCAGCATTCCCCAACAACTCATAGATGCAATCATTGGCTAGCTGAATGATCCCCTAAAATCCTGCTCCCTGGTCTCCTGTGCCTCCTCCCATCAAACTCACCAATATCATTTTTCTCAGTCCTCCGACTTTCCGGTTCTACATCTTGCAAAAGATACGTTCGACTCGCCTTAAAACCTCCATCATCTCATATCCCACTGTTCGCGAAACGAATCCGCCTATATGGCAGCTAGAGCCCAGCCGAAACTTTCCACCTGTTCGACAGTACGACTAGGGCTGGGATACCTTCTCATTCCTACTCATCGATCTCTCCAGACCATACAGAATTGTCCAGCTTTCTCGGCTTGAGCATCCTCCTTGAAGGGTCACGCCAGCTGCGGCACGTTTCCGTCAATTGCTTGCTACTGAATGGCAGCCATGGCATGCCATGCAGACATAATACCCGCTTATATCGACACTTCAAGCAGTCCGCTCGACGGATTGCAGCGGTTTTGAAAGGCTTAATTTCCGGGACACGCGGATTTATCTCGTGCAATATACCTTTCACTGGAGGCATAAAAGTGATTCGATCATTTCGGGTATCAGAAAGGACGACAAAGCCTGCCTGAAACTGCTGCTGTCCACACCGAAGCACTTGCACATTATCCAAGAAATACATCCTGGGTTGGTTAATCTCAATGCAGATTTCTTCATTTTTTTTTCTCCAACCAGTCGTAGGGAATCCCGAACAATTATCTTCCCGGTCGATGTATATATCAGCGCCTTTCAACATCTGACACTCGGCCTCCCAAGATAGAGCCACATGACATTCGTCTCGTCTCGTCCCGTGTTTTCCAGAACTGTCTGTCGCTCGAACTTGATATGTATCCATCCATCGATTATTCTGGTTTGGACGCTGTGTTTGGACCTGGGCATCCTGTTCCCTGCAGATCACCGTGCGCTCTTTCAAGGTCCATAGTTGTCGTCAGCGCGGCCTGGTCAGTCTCGAAATTGGAAGTCCTGAAGGACTCGGAGAAACAGCGGTGCGAAATCGCATGTATGCTTTAGGCGGGTCAGATGCATAATAGATCCTGATTGAACGTTCTCTTGCAATGGGTATGTGCATATTGTCATAAGCAAACACGGTGCTGACATCTTGACTCTTGACGAACTCATACCCGACCTTCCCCTTCAATTCATCGACGTTAGCTGTGCGCTACGCACAGGCCATCTGCAGGGAGCACATTTATGAAGACTCCAGATACTCACTCCCAACTGGGTCAACCACACAGACGCACAAATCGCGGTAACATCCCCCCCCACCCCGCAAGTACAACGACACCTACACTCAAGGCCAGGGAGGAGCAAGCGGTTGCATGGTAATATCGAAGCGAAGAAAGAACGTAAAGGCGAGACTCGAGGGTCTCATATTATTGCTTACAAGTCGCGCGCGGGCATGCTCTCGAAATTTGATCTCAGAAAGCACAGCCACAAAAAGCCACAGGGATTCAAATAGGCTCTGAAATAGAGGTCACAACTAGAAAACTGAGAAAACCCCTCGAAGCGCGGAGTACGTCGAACCTTGCGGACGGGGGGACGGTCATTTTGGATGGACCCCCCCTTTTGCTTTGACGATTCAGGACGACAGGTGACAAGCGCTGGTGGTAAGCACGAAGCGAGTTTCCGTTCTTTTCTCCTTTCACATCCCGAGTTTGATGTAGCGCACGCATCAAGGCCAAACCCACCAGGATAAGGACTAGCCATCCATGCGGTGTACGCCTCCACGTCAAACAAAGGCATACATGCATCTTTTACTCGTTTATACACAAATTGTCTGTAGGAAAGTCAGCGTAGACTCTCAACGAGCCCATCCATACTCACCACGGGACAAATACCTCTCCAACCGCCACCGCGGACACTCCCCATTCCAAGTCTCCTCCCCCGAGCAGAACAACAAACTCGGCAGCCCAGGCTGCTGGACGACAAACGACGCCGACACCGCACCATACGCCGCACCTGCATTGAATTTTTTTTGTCAAACGTTCAGCCCAACCAACCACCCCACCCACATTTACGTTCGGTGCGTACGTACCAAGAAAGACATCATCCCCCGCGAGCGCCATTGCCATCCCGGCGCACAAGCCCCCCAGAAAGCTGTTCCCCGCACCCGTCGTGTCGCGGACGTTCTGCGACGCCTCGTCTGTCCAGTACGGTGGGAGCCACCGTTTCGCGCACGCGCCGAGTGCAGGATCCATATTCGCGACGAAGCATCCGCGCGCACCAGCGCGAACGACGACGGTCCGTGCGCCGAGTCGCGCGTATGTCGACACGAGGGCTTCGATGGACTCCCCCTCCTCCTCCTCATCGTGGAAGAACGACGCGAGCTCCTCATGGTTGGGCGAGAACACGTCGACCAGGGGGAGGACCGACTTGAGAGCGGAGAGGTGCGCAGGGCCGCAGGCGAGGGGGAGCGGCTCGTAGATGATTTTGGGACGCGGCGCTGAGGGCGGCAAAGTCGATAGGGACGCGGAGAGATCCGTGGGCGAGCAGCAGAAGTGTAGGTATCCTGCGCGGTGAGCCCATGACGCGACTGGCTGGAGGCCACCACCACCACCACGGGGGTTGAGGTAGCGGAAACTGGAACAACATAACACGTCAGTTGGATGGGGGTGGGGGGGAAACATCAGCGTACGCTGCGACGAACCTCCGCGCGCCTCCTGGCGTGTACACAATCTCCGTTTCGAGCATCGCCTCCTCCGAATCCTCGTCCCACGCCCACATCACCCCGCCGAACCGCTCTAGCTCGTCGAGGAACGTCGTCGTCGTCGTCGTCTTCGGCACGCCCCGCCTGGAGCAGCCAGTGGGGAGCCGGATCGTTTCGGGGGGGAGCCACACGCGTGCGCCGATCGCGGCGTATAGCGCGCCCCCGCCCAGGTGGCGTTCGGTGCTCCCATCGGGGCGGTGGATGTTGTCGATGAGGATCGTACCGAAGGTGGCGAGAGTGAGGGAAGTCATAGATGGATCCCTCCCCCCCACCCCCCCCCGCTATCTCGTGTGTTTTGGTGATGTGATGATAGGCCGCGGCCGAGGTGCGATGTGTCTTTCCCCTATAGTCTGGCCCCGGCTCCGTTCAACTGCAAAGTGTCGGGGCGATTTTTTTTTTTTCGTCCTTGATGTCAAGTGGTCAATGGGAGCCTCCACAGGGTCCAATAGACCGTAGAACGTACACGGTATGGGGTGCTTGTCGTAACAGTTTGGTCCAGATTCCAACCGTGCCATGGAGAGAGAGGCCTACTTTTATCGCGATCCATCATGTCATGTTTCGATGCCTTGCGGAGCCTGGAACATGTGTCCCGCAATAGGTTTCTTCTGGACGACGACAGACACTCGGCATCGTAGAACGTGGGGTTATCTCGTCGATACCCATCGAACACAACAAAGTTGGTGATGGTCCGTTGATCAAGGACCAGGGTCCTATCCCTGTTCGTTCCGTGCCCGGCGGGCCGGCTATCGATTGGGTGGATGGGTGGGTGTGGGTTCCGCTTCCTGATTTCATGGTGCAGGGATATCAGGATATCAGCACAAGGTCATCAAAGAACTGCCAGTGATGAATGACAAATGTAGACTCAACGGAACGAGGTGAAGCCTTCAGTTCAGATTGATCTCATAGCGTTAGACGAACACTCTGGTGATCACAAGTTCGATACCACTCCATGGCATAAACTCGACAACAAGGAAGAAGATCTCTTTACGACATGCCATGTGCAGAAACCGCTGAGAGAGTTTGCCCAGATTGAACATTTGAAAGTTTTTTTTAAATTTCAGAACTGTGCTTCGTTTAGCGCTGGTTGACATTAGGCGCCTTGTCATAATGGTTAGTGCCTGCCTATCGGTGACTATATACCCGGCTCTAGTAAATTTACAACTGCTACTTGCTCCTCTGACCACGGGGGGTTGTGGCTCGAAAGGGGCGGTCTGACTGCTCGACGTGGTTGGTTATCACACCGAGCCCGAGACGCGCCTTTGGGCATGACATTTATATAACCGCGTAGGTTTTCTGATGTTTTAGGGTTTGGGTTTCCAGGTACGACGCTAATTAGCAAGGTATAAACGTGGACCCATAACGCGCGATCGGCCTTCGGGCACGGGTAATTAGGTTGGTCTTCCGGTCGTCAGTTTACGCCGGTATAATTGAGCAAAGTCAAGTACAGTCATATTCTGTCATGGTGGTGGTTAAGGAGTTTCATTTACGGATTGGTAAAGTTTTACGTGCTATGTAAGGTGTATCGCCCTCATGACACCATTGATCTGAGGTGGTGTCGTCATCAGGCCATCCAGGGATTGTCGTCGTCACCAAGACTGTTTACGCTAAAGAAGCTACCTGTATCTTGGTCTTCCGGGACAATCCGAAAGCAATTTCCTGCGCAGAAGCTCGCTCGCTTAGAACACGGCTTCCAAGGCCCGAGAGCGAACCAAAGTCGGAACGAATGGCTACAGCATACACTTGAGTGTACTCACGCAGGCTTGAACTGTACGCAGGGAAGGGACGTCCTACCCGAAAGAACCGGGAAGCCAACACGGTCGCCAACATGCACCGATGTCAATATCGACAAGACCAACATTTAATTATAGCCACCCAACTCTGTTCAAGGTATGTGCTCATGCTTCGAACAGTGCCGGAGAAGTATCTCCAAACCACTGATGGCGAGAAATAAATCTGGAAGGAGATGCAATAGTGTTTGAATCTCCACGGTGCCACGGTGCCAGCCAAAAGTTTTTTTAACGTTCGGGGCCATGCGCGCCCACGCCATGCTGATTTCTCCGTCATCGATGCTTGGAAATACCATTTCGCTGGGAGGCCGGTGCTCGTCGTGTTCTCCCGGGACTGTTCCGAGCAATGAGATCTGGTGGAATGGACTCGGGGCCAAGTCGAATGAATCAAATCACACGCTTGCGTCGCCCATGCCCCTGGGCCAGGTCGATCAGGATGAGGCTGTGCAAAGATTTGCAGAAAGCCCGCTCGGAAGAAATTCTCCGGTGTGCTGGTGCTGGTGCTGGTGCTGGTGCTGGTTGGAGTGGGCTATACGTGCACCAATCAAAAGGCAGTTGAGCATGCGCGAGGGAGAGACTGCGAGGCTGACCTGCGGCAAAAAAAAGGTTGACGTCCCGATGGCGGGTGTTGAACAAAGACTCATTGTGAGTCAGTGGGGGGTGATCCTCGATGAAAGATGGCTCTGATTCGTTCGCATGATGAATTAGAGAAGACGAGAGAAAATGTCGGGGGTAGGCATGAGAGTCCCGAAGACTTGATCCGATGTTGTTGCCGGCATGCGGAGAAGGCACAGCAACTGTTTGATGTTGCCGCGCCTCCTGGGTGACAGAAGTAAGTAAGTATAAGCACCCACTAAAAGAGAGTTGTTATGCTCGATGCACCTCATGACGCAGGGGGGGGGGGGGGCCTGCATCTCCAAGAAAAAGAGCTAAGCTCGTGATTGTGTGTCGGAGGAGAATCCATAGGCCGAATGCTCTAGATGGACGAAGCATCCGACAAAGATGGAACCAAAATGAGTCAGAGAAAAATGACGGGCTTACGAAGCAATGAGGCTGCTAATGAATGAGGCGACCCCCGAAACTCTGAGAGAACTGCGTCATAACGATCCTGGCGGCGCCGTGCGCAGCGTGGATCATCGTGACGGCGAAGCGTTCAACATCATACGGACGAAGATCCGAGAAGCTCACGTGACACGTCTGTTTATAGGTTTCCATATATATCCTAGACCGGGCTGTTCGGTAGCAATCGTCGACTTGGTCGAATAACTGCTATCAGTGAGACACAGCATTGTTATTCAAGGTTTTCCAACAGATTCATAATGCTTGGTGACTGCGGGACTCGGCTCCAAGATCCGCACGAGAGCCTTCCGGCACTTTCTCCGCTCTATATAAGGGCTCTTACAAAGTACAACTTGAAACCTTTTACTTCTTGCCTCCGCCCTTCAAGGCTGCCCCGCCCGCCCTTCCCATGCAGAAGCTTACTACAGAATCCAAACCTTTGAAGCGCGGTAAAGCTTGTCTCACTTGCAGGTGTGTCTGCTGCGTCCTTTGTCCTCCCTCGGTGTACTCACACATGATTCCAGGTTTTTAAAGATCGTGTGTGCATGTGCCATATGCCTCCATATGTTGTTAATTTTTCATTAACCAGAAATGTGACGGCACAAAGCCGGTCTGTGGCCCCTGCCTCCGACATCCGAAGGACGACCCTTGCGAGTACGCTGACAGTCCTCGACGATCCAGGACAAAGGTCCTAGAAGATCAGGTGGCGCGACTCGAGGCTAGGCTGAAAGATTTGGAGCAGCCGGACCAGTCTCCATCTGTCACCCTCCACGACCCGTACTCCAATGATCCCTACCAGAACGTGCAGGTCCAAAGCCTCGCCGGTTACGCCCCATCTACCTCCGACACCTTTGCCCAAAGTCCTTCCTCTCCATATTCGGCGTCGACTTCTTTGTCAATAACATCTACGCCGCCCCCAGGTGATACACCCTAATTTCCTCAGCCGCTCGCTTAGAAGAAGCTCATCTTATTAAAAAGGTTCGGCTTCACCAATTTCATCTCGGACGGACGCGCCACCCTTCAACGTTCAAGTGCGCCATTTCTTCGTTCCCTGATTTTGTTTTGAATCTGACACGGTCCGTAGGAACCATCAACGCCAGTCATACGGGACCTGTAAGTCTTGTCCACATCTATGAAAAAAAAAAAAAAAAGAAAAAACAGTTCAATCGATTAATTGCGTCCCTAGTCTTGATCTCTTCTTTTCTTATTCCGCCTACCTAGGCTTCTTCCTCGACGTCACACGATTTTACAATTCGGCCGTTTTGCCTCTGCCGCTCGGTCACCAGTCACGGCCCAGTTCATCAGTCCTCTCCGCTGTTTACCTTTGGGGATCTCATTTGTCTTCCCAACGAGACCAGAAAGGAAAGGAACAGTCCGTATGGGCCCATCAACACCAGTACCTTGCCAGCGCTCTCAAGCACGTATCAACAGGTCTTACAAACACCCACCCGGACAGATTCCTACACACGATTCAAGCAGAAGTCCTTCTCGCATACTACTTCTTACGAATAGGCAACTTCCTCGAGGCGCGACGTCATACCGGAGATGCAGTGTCTCTCGCAGTTGGCTGTGGGTTACACAGACTACGCTCTGAGGCAGCTTGGCGGCCTCCGGCCATTTCTGTTGCTTCGTTCATACGTAATGGAGTAACGACAAGCACCACCACGACGCTTCCTCCTCCGCGCGACAGCATCGAGGAGGGTGAACGGATCGACGCGTTTTGGAATGTCTTGATTTTGGCCAAGACTTTGGCGATAGCGCTCGACTGTCCCACGGACGTCTGTGGGACCCTCGAAGCCCCTGGGTTTCAAATCGATACTCCGTGGCCTCTAGACCAAAAGAGCTACCAAGCGGTGGGTGTTTTTTTCATTCATTTCGTCTATTATCGTTTCCGCAGCAAACTGACTCATAGAACCCACAGGGCATATTACCGCATCCCACGACGTGCACCGTGCACACCTTCTTGCACCCAACGCCTAATACCGATACGCCGGGCTCCCTTCTAACGCTCACCGCTCAAGCATCCATTTTGCTACAACAAGTGACATACTTTGCGGGCCAGTCTAATTTGGGTGAGAGTCACGAGTAAAACTCTTTTTCAGCTGATA